ATGTATATTTTGATTAGTAAGCAAAGCGGTGCTATCCATGGAACTCCATGGTACAATCACCTTTATAAAGTTACTTGTTTATACCTAATAGGTTAGTTGACCCTTTTTGGAAAAATGTTTTAAATAGTTAATAAATGCTCTATTAGACCGAAAAAAAATTAATGTATTTTTTGAGGCCTAGAAAGCTACAAATCTTTAATTTTAAAATAGAATTTTCATGGACATACAAAAACGCTGTCGGCCATTTTAGTCTATAGATTATCTATGCTATGACGTCAACCGGTAGTAAACAAAAACTCGTAAGCACGTAGAAATTAACCTACCTTTATAATAATAAAAAAAAACATGATTTCTAATAAACACCACGAAAAATATAGTAATTATCATTGTTGTATTGTACGAGAATGTAAAACACATCCTTGAAGACTCTAGGAAAGTTGTGGAATAAAGTGCCGAAAGAAATTAACCTTCGCAATAAATACCTGGTTAGAACTTTCTAAAAGGGAACCTGCAACTTTATCGACTCATAGTAAAAATTATTTTTGCGATATCACTTTCATGTAAGCTAAGTAATGTAAGATTGAATAATATTTTCAGTCTCTTCATTTATTATCAGTTTTAATAATACATGTTTTACACCCACAGTAACACGCGAATGACATTTAGTTGTTTACTACCAAAGAGACGTCACAATCATGGCGGATGTGGCGAACAGCGTTTTTAGTGTTAAAAAAGAATAGACTAAAAATTTTTTTTTAAAATTAAATTTCTACAGCAATCTTCTGCTTTTATGAAGTGAAATCGATATATTTAGGTTCCTTAGACCAAATACTTTAAGAAATAAACATTTATTTAATACAATTCGACATGAGTCAACTAGCCTATTGCGAAGTAGTAGTGAACAGAAAAATACGGCAACACTACCTTTTGCATTTGTTGAGTAATTAATCAAAGTTGTACACATATTGCTGATTTATAAAAAAATATCCGGTAAACACATGAGTGAACCATGAACAAAAATTTTACGCAAAGAGTATTAAGTTAAAAATAGTATGAACAATTTTTGGTAGGCTAGTCATTACGATTTGTTTCCTTTATATAAAATACTTAATAAAACATACTTTCTTCTGGTAAGCAGATGGGCGAAGGAAGACCCCTCTTCGGATCGTAGACTACGAGTTTTCCCCGGAAAATGCATTGTTTTATGGATGCACACGTTGAAACTTGATTTTGGCGTTTGAAGAATCAACATTTAATAAGCTATTACTTCGTTAGTTCCGGTGATATTTTTAACCCAGTATTTTGTTTGTTTTCTCATAAGCTACAGTTTTTTTTTATTAAAATACCTATTTTCAGAGTTGTGCATGAAAAACCTTTAGATACACGTTCGTCATACACGCTTCTAATTTGGCAATACAAAAGTCAGGTAATTGCCCGACTTGCATTCAGTCGGACACGCTTTGTCGCCGCGGCTACCCTTTGCTACATACTACGTGACGTGTAAATATTTTTACGTTTATCCAGACAAAAAACCCCATATGTGAGACAAGAAAAAATATGTCAAAATAAATTAATGTGAAAATATTTTGCGATTACTTATTATGACAGTTACTGACACCTTTGATACATAGAGGCTAAAGATCGAGATGTATCCTATCAAAAACCATCCCCGATAAGGGGTGGACGCCACGGGAAAATAACAACCCTCGGCACATTAACAAATTGAAGTATAGGGTTAGTAGAACCCAAATCCAAATTTATGTGTAAATTGGTGCTGTTTGTGCAGAATTGCCAGGTTTTCTCGTTTTTTCCGTGCATTGACTGGACTGGACTAATAAACCTTTACATGCATTTTTATTACCTAAAAATTTTCCATAGTTTTTTTTTCGTTATAATTTCCCACCTAACAAAATAAATACGTGGGACATTCAGAAAGTTTGAAGAAATTAAAAATACTTTATTTTTCAAAGAACTCTCCACCAGCCTCTATACCAAGTTTTATGCGTCTGAACCAATTTTCAAAACATTTTTTCCAGTCCTCCGCAGACACACGCCTTCACAAACGCTGCTAGCGCTTCTTCCGGCGATGAAAACGGTATTCCTTTGCGCAAATTTTTTATTTTAGGGAATAAATAGAAGTCACACGGAGCCAAATCAGGACTGTAAGGAGGGTGTCCCAAGACTGACTGGTATGGAGTCCAAGAAGTCCTTCGTTTAGATCGCAGAGTGTTAGGGTGCGGCCAGAGTGCACTCAGATTCAGATTCAGATTCAGATTCAGATTCTGAAAACAAGCGCGAGAAATAAACAGTGTAGTCTAAGCAGGTTGCCTGCTTTTTCTCGCGCTTTGTTTTCTGAGTCTGAATCTGAATCTGAATCAGGAGTGCACTCTGGCCGTACCCTTCGACTACACTGTTTATTTCTCGCGCTTGTTTTCGGAATCTGAGTGCACTCAGATTCAGAGTCAGATTCAGATTCTGAAAACAAGCGCGAGAAATAAACAGTGTAGTCTAAGCAGGTTGCCTGCTTTTTCTCGCGCTTTGTTTTCTGAGTCTGAATCTAAATCTGAATCAGGAGTGCAATCTGGCCATACCCTTCGACTACACTGTTTATTTCTCGCGCTTGTTTTCGAAATCTGAATCTGAATCTGAATCTGAGTGCACTCTGGCCGCACCCTTAGGGTTAGGCTGGAGACAGTGCTCGACCGACGGTCGGCGTAGCTATATCAGCTACACTGATGGTACGCGCGTGATTTAGTACGCGCGTCGGTTGGCAAATTCACATTAAACATTTTTACTGTTAGAGGCACTATTTATACATATAGCATTGATAACGAGGAAAGTTCATTTTCTATGAGAACTATTATGGGCACGCCAGCTTAGAATGTTTAGTTCAATATCTTTGGTCCTTTAAGAGTATTGATTATGAAATTTTGTAAAGTCAGGGCACTATTAGGAAACTATTTTTGTGTGTCAATTTCGTTGCTTAAATATATGCCGTTCTTGGGGACGGCTATGGGTACGCTAGCTTGACGTCATGCTAGCGTATACAGTAAAAATGTTCTTTATTTCTTAAATTAAAGAGGCTCTTTTTATTTTTTTATTTTTACACTAATTTGGCATTATTTACGCAGTATTTAATGGCATAACGAAAAACCGTATATTAATCGTGTGTACGTTAGCATCAAGGACACGTCAGCGCAGCACTGTATTCATTTACGTACGCAACCGCGGGCAGCGCTGCCGGTCAGGACGTACGGTCAGGACGTACCGTCGGTCGAGCACTGTTTCCAGCCTTAGTGACCGAAGAAGGACCCCGCGGAGCCCGGTGTTAGGTCGCTTGTTGCTCACTGCAGAAAAAACTTCTGGCAGGCATTTTGTGCTATACCATTCAGCGTTGATGCTGCTTTGGTCTCGAAGTGGAATTGAAATTACGTACCCCGTCAAAGTGAAGAAACTAGCGATCAAAATTTTCCCTGCGCTCTTCGATCGCTTTACTTTCGTAGGCGTTAGTTCATTTTGATACAGCCAAACTATCGACTGAGACGCTTTGTTTCTGGATCGTATTGATAAATCCAGTTTTTTCAATTTTTATTGAGACAAGAAAAATTCAATAGGCTCTCGAAAAAATGCGGAGGGAAATTTGAAAATCGAACATTGGTATTTTTACTTTTAAATAATCGAAGTTTTCAAAATAATTACAAGTGGTGTCTTATACACAAAAACTTTTTTTCGCAAAACTTTCTGAGTGGCCTGGTAGATCCAACCAGTTATTTTGCTATATTTTTTCGTCTCTCCCAGGGGCGGGGGTGAAATCCTCATGGATAGCATACTACATTCGATGGCAGGGGGCCAATCGCCTAACGGAAATGCTTTGGAAAACGCTAACGCTTACGATTTTATTTTGTTATTTCTAGCCGCCTGAGGGATTCAAATGCCTCGCGCTCTTTCTTTTACTTTTGCATTGGTAATAACAATATTAAAAAAAATGAGCGTGAGGTATTCGAAAACCTCAGGCGGCTAGAAATAACAATATAAAATCGTAAGCATTAGCGTTTCCCAAAGCATTACCGTTAGTCGATTGGCCCCCAGGATTATGTCCGATTCTTAGTGACTAAAACGCACCCGTGGCCATAAGGACCTTAAAGTCTTTATTTGATGCAGTCATCCCCTGAGAAGGCCATCCCGTTCTCAGGGGATGACAGCAGCGTTGTCTTAGTTTATACTACTTCATAATGCGCTAGACCTGGGTTCCGAACCTAGGGGTAATTACCCCTCAGGGGGTAAATCAGCCATACTTCGGGGGTAACAAAGAACCAATTATTTGATCAAATCTAAATAATAAGCAAATACTATATAATAATACTACTAAATAGAGCATGCGCTCCTTCTTGCTAGCGAGACCGCGGGGTGCTGAGTGTGGGAAGTGGGGCGAGATTGTCTCCTGATGATGACATTATTAGAGACGAAGATGTAGCGGCCAAATTAGAATTTCTTGGACTGATGATAACGTTTTAAAGTCGGGGTAAAATCGGTTTTCCTAATAGGTTACAGGGGTAGCAGTATTGGAAAGGTTAGGAAACACTGCGCTAGAGGAAGGGCGGCACTCCCATGTACATTCGTATCGGATTCGACCGGAGGCCTCTCAGGATCGGGGTTTTGCTATTTTACCAAATTACCTTTAAGGAAGGTGAGGATCTTTCCATTTAGGAAAAATGAGCTTTCTTACTAAGTAAGTATTTATCAAGTACCAACTGAGTTATTACCTACATATAATAACTTGTGTTGTTCCATTTGCCAATGTTTCTGCATAGGTACCTACCAAAACAAGTACTTATAATACCGGAATAATAGATATGACTTTCCCATCATCGAAATAAACACAAACATAGATCTTGAATTACCTCGAATAAGATAGGGTTCAGGAAAAACAAGCATACGTCAAACAAACAACACGAGTTTATATTATATTTGTACATATATAAACTGTGGCCGGTGGCATCATAACGAGTTTAGCGGCGGCCGAGCACCGCGACACACGCTTTTCCCATCGCCTTCATTTTTATTGACCACTGGGGACGTGGAACGTGCCAGACTTGAGAGATAAATTGGTGCAATCATCTAGTTGAGCGTAAACAAACGGGTGAGTGTGGTTTATGTAACACTTGCGATCGGCAGCCAGTGGCAGCACGAGAATCAATCGAAGAATTCATACCTTTAAACGAGTGGAAAACTTGAAGTATTGAGCCAGTTATCAAAGTCGTCTGTGTCAGGTAATTTTGTAATTATTATATTTATGTGAAAATTGTAGGTAGCCTAGTGGCGGCAACCAATATTTGACAGACCTGCACACATAAACATATCTAATGCTGTGGGCATCGCACCAGTATTCTCAGGAAACTATCAATTGTTGTATGGGTGCGGTGCGTCCGTCCGTCTCGTTGCGTTGCAGAATTCAATCTCGTAATATTAATACGTAAATGGAATACAATACTTGGTGATATGAAACTCCTCATAAATCAATATGACTATATTTTCACCTCATAATAATAGAAGTACACCATCATGTAGAGTTGTGGATTATCAGTAATTTAAAGTAATTTAAAAAAACAACTAATGAGCAGGTGTAAATTTTTGTTAAACTTACTTAATCTTATCGAATACTGTTGTAGGAAGTCAAAGGTCAGAAAGGATAAACGAGTTACTTGAGTAGGTAGGTACCTACATGCGACTATCTCAATAGATATTTAAATGTTTACTGTTTATCTTTATTGTTATTTCAAAAAATATTAATTTGGTAACGCTTCTAACAAGGTAAGTTAGTACTTTTTGTGAATACAAGACGGTCCCGAATCATTATACAACAAAAAAAAAATTAACACATTCTGTGGAAATATTTTTGTAACATATCGAATATGATATAAGAAGGTGATGTAGGTAACTTTAAAATAGAAGGTGAACTATGACAGCAGTACACGTTTGATACATCGGTGACTGTTTTTTTGTAAGAAAAAAATATAACGTACTGATTGCAAAAGTGCAACGCACATGTCCTACAAAAAGTAGGTCAGAAATAAAATACAAAATCAAATTTACCTGATTATCGATCCTACAAAAAGTCTGACGTGGGCGGTATTTTTAATATATTTATTTTTTATGTTATTTAATGTATTTTTCTGCAATCTTTCTGTAAATTACTTTCAACAGATAAAGCTGTTTTTTTTCGCTTCCCAGATTTCCTATAATTATGATAAAAAATTAAAACCAAGAAAATTTTCAGAAAGACCAAGCAAATCAGCATAAGTTTGAGCAAACAATTAAGAATGTCTTGCCAAACAAAAACGCAAAAAACATTAATCAAAATTCACATTACTTTGATTAAAACTTGATAGTAAACGTAACCATAGGAACAAGATTCTGTGTAACATATCGTATGTCTTCCGTCCGTTTTTCACCTTTTTACCTACCTACGTCTTTTTAAGACACTTGTTATGTAATAAAAACAAGGAAATAAGAATAAAACAAACAAAAAGGGGAATCACTTAGCTAGCTGCGGTGAAATAAAATAACTTAACCCGGATGTGATGGTGTACAAACGTAAAGTCGTGGGATTTTCCTTCTTTGCTAGTAAATAACTTGGTGGTAAGCTAAACAAACGTATTTATTTATGTTACAATAACATTCACAGCCAAATACAATAACTAGTTTTACTTTAAATCGACCTTCCCCAATCTATTCGGTCATTCTCACGACACGGTGATCTTCGTAAAATTTCTGTCACAATTTTTTTGTTTTATTACGCGAGCTGAGAAACATTTGAGAAATAGTTATTCGAAAAAACTATTGCTGTCACGTATTGGCAAATACCGTATAATGGGGACGACAGAAGTTAACGCTGAAAATTGCGTATAAAAATTGCAAACTTCGAGGTTTGGCTCTCGACGATTTCCTCCTGGGAAATTAAATACCTATATGTAAAATAAATTATAGACAAAAGAATAATTAGTTGTTATACTATGCCCCTATGTTTAGCTTTTGGTTATTTTTGGCCTTTTAAGCCCTCTAAAAAGGCCAAAAATAACCAATAAAGACGTGTCGTTAATCAAGTTAATAAGCATTTACAAAAAAGGGAAACATAGAAGCCCTCTTCTAGTTTCTTTGAAACACAAGTTATCAAAAAAGGATAGACATAGGAGCATAGAATGAGTAAAATTATATTTTATGGCGTGACGAAAATTAGATTCGTATTGATGGGCTTTGAAGAATTAATTAATTAATTATGAATTGTGTTTTAATAAAACAAACATGGAAATTATGAACATACAAACAAAGATTTCAATCGTTAGATATACCCTGATACCAAAAAACTGTGGCCATATTTTGCAATGACATTATGATGATGGCCGTTTTGACACATTCCAATAGTGAATTGAAAGTCATTTTTTTTATCGCAAAAATAAACTAATGCTATTAAATACGAGTCTCATTTAGATTTTTTTATTTGTATTTTAATTAACATTGCAAACAGTAGTTGATCAAAAGGATTGAATCAAATGAAAATTTTTAATGTCTACATAAACTGAGTGATCCTATGTGCGGCGATCGTTTTGATTTATTTATTATACATTTCGAATTTAGAAAAATACAAATGCTTAGTTATGTGGTGAATAAGTACATTGCAATTATATTATCACTGGCTGACCCGGAAAAATGCGTATCGCCTTTATAACAGTCGATAAATGAGGCTATCTTGCATATATAGCTTAATTAAATTTAGGACTTTACAAGCGAAGTGAAACAAACACAAAAAAGTTCAATAGTTTACTGGGATAAATCTAAATATAAAACAAAGTCGTGTTAGTTTGAACACTTATAACTCAAGAATGGCTGGACCGGTTTTTATGAAAATTATGATTTTTTGGAATCTATAACTAGGTATTTAAATATAGGAAAAATCACGAAAAAAAAGTAATGTGTAAAAATGAATGGTCATTATATAAATTAGGTTTGGTATTCCGCCTTCTTCCACAATTAACAGCTCACGTCACAAAAGCACAAAGCTTATTTGTACCTTCTGCAAATCTGTTACTACAATAAAGATAGAAAATAATAAAACCCAAACTTAAAATTGACAACAGTGTATCCTTGTCTTATTTTAAACTTTCATGGTCACTAACATTATAGCTATTAACGGGATTGTTACCATGTACCTTGTTTTTACTCCGTGATCATGGCGCTTGCAACAGTGCCGAAATATCGGAGACTCATAAAAAACAAGGTACATGGTAACAATCCCGTTAATAGCTATAATGTATCCTTGTCATTCTCTATACAGAATAAAAAGGAGATACTGATGTTAAATTTAGTTTAAAGTTTAGAGAATCGTGCCAGAATCGACACCACTTTTTAAGTTGTTGTAATTTAATTTTCTATTTATTGTAATACTACTGTAAATAAAGAAAACCCCAAAATATTACAGACTTAGTCAATATTGATATGGAAGCCCAAAAATCTGAATTAGGGGTTTTCAAGACAATATTTATTGAAAAAAACAACTGTTTTATTATGGCTTGTTTTGTTATGTCTGATTTCAACAATATTGCTTTAAAAAAATATTACTCTTCAAATACAAATTAAACTACGTCCGCTCTGTTAAATAAGTCAAACAAACATAAACCAAACGGGGATAATGTAACCATATATTGGGTAGAATTATGGTTTAAATTTCTACTCGATAACTCCACGCGTTCCCGAGCTAAATGGTCTTGACAAGCAGATAGATAACAAGATGCCCGTATCTTTTTTTACGTTAACTTAGACGTATCTTTTTTTCACAGCTTTATGGGACCGTAGACTTGAGTATATGGTTTAAATTTCAACTCTATACCTCAACGTGTTCTTGAGATAAAGGAAAGAAGTCTGTCAAGACGACAGACAGACAGACGGACAACAAAGTGATCCTTTAAGGGTTCCATTTTTTGTTTTGTACGGAACCCATATAAAACTTATTAAAAATTATCTCAAGTGCAATAGAATACTAGTGTTAAAATTTGATGTGAAGGACTATTTTGATTTTAAGATTAAAGCTCTAAAAAGTGGAATTAGGGCTGAAAAAGAAATTTCACATAGTTATGTGTTACTTTAAATTAAAATGGGGTTCCTAAGTACCTATTCCATATATTTCATGTAGTATGCATTTTATATGAAATACCTATAAAAATTGTATGTAGTACTTAGGAAGGCCATTAATTACAATTGAAAAGTAAATATGTACGTTTCTACTTTGTTGGGGATGATTGTGAAAACCCGGAGATATCAAGGATAGAACTCCTCAAATCTAGGAATAAACATTGGATTTCTATCTTTAGGGAAGAAAAAAATATCTACTTATATTTACAATACAAACAACCTTATATAAGAAAGCAAATCAGATAAAATCGTATTATTAGCTACGCAGGCTAACTAACACGGGAGGAAAGTCATTATAGTATTCGAAATTTCTGTTATTAGATTAGTTTCTCTTTTCTTATTCTGGCTTCTGAACGAGACTGGTTTTCCTAGCAATAAATTCTTTATAACGAGTTTGTTGGTGTCATTAAACTATCAGCTTCTCCCGATTGGTACAGGAGACCGGGTGACCTTGGTTTCTGCTAATGAAGGTACCTGCAGTTGAAGATAAGGTCTGTGTTTCTCCCTGATTTTCCAGAATTTCGAAAATTCTGCCTAGGTACTACTTGGTTTTAATTTTCGCGCATTATTTGAGAAAAGTACTGTACATGCCTTGGCCACAACTAGGCATTGACTCGGCCCACATTTCCACGTTCTTTCATCAGTGCCTCTTTTGCTGGCCGCTGCAGTAATCTTGTATGTATAACTGTATAAATAATTTATTTTACGGTACTCAAATCCAATAAATATTTCTATTGTTCCAAGTTGTACTTGCTTCTGTACTTATTTCATCATTACAAAACACTAATATAATAGAGCAGGATTGTAGTACAAGCGAAGTAAGAAGGAAGTAATGGTGGTTTCCATGGATGCATCATAACAGCTATCAACAAAGTCAGTGACTCCAATGACATAATGTCGGTGAAATAGAGTTCAGTATTATTATCGCAGGGGCTGGTTTTCCTAGCAATAACTCCTTTATAATGAGTTTGTTGGTGTCATTAAACTATTAGCTTCTCCTGTTTAGTATAGGAGACCGGGTGACCTTGGTAATGAAGGTACCTGCAGTCGGGACTATAAAAATGGATAGACTGCCTCCACTGTACCACGGTAATATTTATTACCGTGACTGTACTCTAGCTGTAGATATAATAACGTTTTATATCCATCTTGGATGAGGTGACGTTGAAGATAAGGATGGAGTTTCTCCCTGAAGCAAAACCAGTTTATTACAATATTTCAAACTTTTTGGATATAATTAAACCCATCATGTCATCAGAATGTCCACCACAGCAGAGTAACTAAATAAGATATTTGTATGGACTTATTATATTTATTTTGTTACATCAAATCAAAAGTCAACAACTTATAGAAAGTGTAAAATAAAATGTATTATTGAAAGATAGAAAAGGACAAAGTAGATAAATAATGTGATAAAAAGTTAAAAGATAAAAATATTCTGTGTTCAGTGGGCAAGATTATTGGGGCTGGGGTGGGAGATTAGTTATTAGAGTCAGAAAAGAGCGGTTCGAAGATCGACCCCTGTGGAACACCACATGGGAACTCACTTATACGTTGTACGATAAAGTTTCGGGAGCATGGAGGTCAGCTATCTTTCGATTAAGTTCCATATATCGAGACACCCTTTATTTTTTAGTTTTATTTTATTTTATCGGCATCAGAAATATTTATATTCCATGAACATTTTAACTACCAATTTACCTGATATTGGTGGATCAGTAATAATACAGAACCCTTGAAAAAGCTCAATTTAAGCAACTTGTTATTGCAATATTTTAGTTAAATTAATGAATGACCTCATACGATTTCACCTATTCTACCTGCCTATTATCTTTCCAGCTAAGTTAGGTCACGAAGTCGTGATTAATATGTTAGAATGAATTAATAATTTATCATTTACTGTTTTTGTGATGTTTTGGCATGTTTTTTACCAATTATTGATTTTATCGCGATGATCTTGGCTTACAATTGCGTGGCCACATTTTAGACAGCGCTCAGACACGGACACACCCAGCATTAGAGAAGTTATAATACTGTGCATGTGGAAAATTTTCGGATTTTAAGTTATGTTACGCAAAAATCTACAAAAAGACAAACTATATTTTAATGCTGGGAAAAGCTGGAAGTACAGTTGCAAATGATTTCAACGTTGAATACGACTAGTGACCCGCCATCATGAAGGTCACAAATCACGATTGTTGTCCATTATACAGTAACTATTTTATTATGCATTAAAGAATTATACACACAATGATGTCGATTCTGTCATGATTCTCTAAAGCTAAACTTAAATTTGACAACAGTGCATCCCCGTCATTTTCTATACAGAATGAAAAGGAAAGACTGATGTTAAATTTAGTTTTAAGTTTAGAGACTCACGCTAGAATCGACACCACTGTCTTAGCCAAACTACACGTTAACCTCTCTTTTAGGCATTAATTTACGTCTATAAACCACTACTAACTGAAGGTTTTGATTTTATTTGTAGTTAAAATATGAGGCAATGGCTGATGGTGCTGGGGTGCATCTGCATCCTGGCAAGCCCAGCGTGCTCGATGGTGGTGCCCACACAAGACACCATGGTGGTGGCCAAGTCCGATGACGGTGCTTCTGCTACAGTAAGTTTATTTTTTCAAACATGCTTGGAAATGTGAGCATTATTTTAACAACCTTCTTCGAGATAAATTGAATTTGCTGTACTGGCTTATTACATGCGAGCAGTTGAGAAAAGTTGTATATCAGTCGGATTTAGCGGCCAAATAAATTACATAGTAAACTGTAGTGTCATTTAAAAATAAAACGATATTTTACTTCGAGACATGGCAACCAAGGAGGTAACTTATTTATTTAAATTTTGAACTGGTTTTCGAAATAGAGAGCTGTTTAAGAAAAAAAACAAATAATCACTTTAACACGGGAAAAAATATTGTTGCACATCATTGATTTTCCAGAATTTCGAAAATTCTGCCCAGGTGCTAATTGGTTTTAATTTTCGCGCATTATTTGAGAAAAGTACTGTACATGCCTTGGCCACAACTAGGCATTGATGGACTCGGCTTCGCCTCGGCCCACAGTTACACGTTCTTCCATCAATGCCTCTTTTACTGGCCACTGTATAAATCAATTTATCTTACGGTACTCAAATCCAATAAAGAGTCCTATTGTACCAAGTTCTACTTGCTTCTGTACTTATTTTATCATTAGAAAACACCAATATATTAGAGCAGGATTGTAGTACAAGCGAAGTAGGAAGGTAGTAGTGGTGGTTGGTTTCCATAAGGATGCATCATAACCATCAATAAAGTCATTGACCCCAATGACTTAATGTCGATGAAATAGAGTTCAGGTTACATAGAAACTACATATTAAGTAATCTGTGGTTCAGGTTTCAGCGGATAGATCCATAAATAAAATACTGATGGTCCAACAGTCGTACTCGGAAAGGTCTAATGAATTCAATACTTCGTTAACATACTTGTTTTCTCTGTCTATTATTATCGCAAAGAAAGTAACAACATCAACTTTTGACTTCTCCGAGTAAAGAATGTAAAGTTAGGCGATTTCTTTGCAACATTCAAATGAAGTTCGTTTTATCCCAGACCGCTCGAGAAAGGAATTTTTTTCTCTCCCAATATGACCTGTGCTTTTAGTTTTCATTGCATCTATTATTTTTCTTTATAGAGCACACCAGCCCTGTCTACAATCGTAACCACTGATGAGCCAGCGCCTCCCATCAAGCTGACAGAAATGGAAGTGACCTCAAACATCGCCCTGCGGTACGCACATACCGCGGTGGTGACCAGCGTACGGAACCCGGCCAAGCGCGCTCAGGAGGCCGTGTTCAGGGTACTGCTGCCAGAGACTGCCTTCATCACTAGCTTCATCATGTAAGAAGATAGAAACTCTTTTTGTAAAAAACTTGATAAAATAATCAACTCATTCATTCCAGACTAGAATCGAAATAACCTGGAGATAAAGATATTGGAAAGATTCCGCGAGATTTTATGGATTTAGTAACCTAATTATTTTCTTGTGAAAAAAATCTTGTGATATAAATATAAATAAAAAAAAAATAGTAAGAATTATTTCTGATGGCCTATTAGATGACTAAATAAATATTTTAATAATATCTTTCCATTTTCTATTGCATTTTTTTAATGTTGTTATTTTTACCTACAGATATTCTAAAAACATACTGGTGTCGATCTGAGATGATTCTCTAAACCTAAACTTAAATTTGACAACAGTGTATCCTTGTCATTCTCCATACAGAATGAAAAGGAGAGACTGATGTTAAATTTAGTTTTAAGTTTAGAGAATCATGCCATAATCGACAATATTTACTAACTAAATCTCCATAATTAAATTATTTTCAGGACACTTGACGGAAAATCGTACAAAGCCTACGTAAAAGAGAAAGAAGAAGCGAAACAAATCTACAATCAAGCAGTGTCACAAGGACTGAGTGCTGGCCACGTAGCTGCCAAGTAAACACTATGTATTTATATTTAATGTAGCATAAAATCTTCATATATTACTACAGTGAATATTAGTGGGTGCTTCGACTGCGTGGAAAAATTGGTTTCCCATACTAACTTCCTTTTCTCCTCCTTATATGATGTTTTTTGGGAAAAAAACTTAAAATCCTATGACCTTCCTGGGACTCGAAACCATCTTTTTATCAAATTTCGTCTAAATCGGTTTAGTGGTTAAAGCGTGAAGAGGCAACAGACAGACAGAAAAATAGACAGGCGGACCGATACACTTTCACATTTATAGTATTAGCAGGAGTGGGATTTAAAATCGGCTTTATTTTTCCAGAGCCCGCGACTCCAATCAGTTTACGGTGTCCATAAATGTGGAACCGAACAGTATAGCAATGTTCAACCTGACCTATGAAGAGTTACTTGTACGCCGTAACGGAGTATACAACCACGCCATCAACCTGCACCCTGGCGCGCTGGTCCCTAAACTCACAGTCACCGTCAACATAAAGGAGGGACAAAAGATCACCACCTTAAGAGTGCCAGAAGTCAGGACTGGTAATGAAATCGATGCCACGGAAGAGGATGCGCGTAAGTTTTTTTTGTGTGGGGACAAGAGAGAGGCCTTGATAGAGAAAAAAATAAACTAATTTCGACGGGTCACTAACCAGGGGGTGGTGTGGGGTTGCAAATCGTATTTCATTCAATGTCCCATACCTCTAAATCCGGTCCTGTCTCTAGGTATACTAGATTGGTAGGATAGGAGAATATAGAATGCGATCTTTGTGCAGTTCATTATAAAAGGAATGGGCAATTTGGCCAGCGTTCGTATTTAATAAACCTAAATGTAGTTACCGTATGAATGTAATTTATACTAAAATGATCTTCGATGCTTAGTGTATCGTGTGTGTATTTATATAAGTGTATGTTTTGTTCCAGAAAACACCAAAGCCGTCATAGAAAAAGCTAACAATGATCATGAAGCCAAAGTGGTCTTCAAGCCCGATCTTGATGAGCAACAGCGGTTGATAGAGATATATAAAGAAAAATCCAAAGAATCACGTTCATCTTCACACTCGTATTCCTTTGGTTACAGTCAATCCGAGGATGACGATAAGGACGATACCAGTGGAGTACTTGGACAGTTCGTTGTTCAATACGATGTTGAGCGTTCAAAGGAAGGAGAAATTCTGGTAAGCACGACTAACAATTTTGATTGAAAGATAAATACCATAAAGGTTATGAAGTAAAAGGCGATGGAGGTCCAATCAGTTCACTTGTGCTTGGTTTTTTTGGATCAAGCAACGAACGGTAGTTAATACAAGTAGAAGTACTCCTTTTGAATCCCTGTTGGCTATCACCTCTCAGGTGTTTTCATATTGAAGAGTATATCCATAAAACTTTCTGAAGTGTTGTAGTCTTCTGCAATCATCCCCTTTTTGTTTTACGCAGGTAAACGATGGCTACTTTGTCCATTTCTTTGCTCCACCTGATCTACCACCGCTGAACAAGCACGTAGTGTTTGTACTAGACACCTCTGGTTCCATGATGGATCGCAAAATAGTGCAGCTCCGCGAAGCCATGCAGACTATTCTTAGCGAACTCAAAAAAGGCGACTACTTCAGTATTGTCGAGTTTTCATCTACGGTCAAGGTAAATATGCTGATCCCGTTTTTTGTAATTGCATGGTTAAAGGTTACCAAAATTTGGAAAAAAAGTAGAACTTATTCCTTCTACTGTACTTACCGTTTTAAGAAAAAGTTATAAATATAAACTATCAAAAAAAGTTGGTGGTAACATTATGTTCCACTTTTTCACTTGTTGTCTATTTAATGGTCATCGATGCAAGTATTAAAAATACGAAAATATTTCTGTTGATCTGCCTTAGCAACGGTTAAGTTTTTAGGCGTAGGAGCTTACTCCTACGCCTAAAAAACTTAACCGAATAATGAATTTTGGTCAGGAGTTCATGAACATCGAAGAATTACTATTGTATTCCTTGGTTGTTCCCTGAGACCTCTTGGAGAATGTAATACGTTTACTAATAATTGTATGCATATGTCTAATATTTATTAATTTATTTTTCCACCCTCATAATGTAGCGGAATAAGATATGGACATAAAGCTCTTTGTATTTGTATTTTTTTTTTCATTTTCTATGAAAGGTATACGAAATGAGTGAAGCAGATAAAGAGCCACCCCAACAAGCTGATTACTATAATTACAACTTCGACTATAACTCAAAGCCGAAGTTAGTGCCTCCCTCTCAAGCTACCGCCGAGAACGTGGCCAAGGCTAAGGTGATAGTTAGCAGACTTTTTGCAAGCGGCGGTAAGTGCATAAGAAACGTATCTGCGTCAACGGTCTGAGGCCCAAAAACGAATTTGACAGTTACTTTGTCCTTACGTGCGATAGTCCTGCTTAGTTTTCAGGGAAAGGTTGACGATGCGATACGTTACCGAGCTGTCAAAAATACGTGCTTGGGCCTCAGAACTCACCAGTAAGTACCCTTAGCACGAACCAATATCGAATTTGAATAGTTTGCGAGTGCGAAATGTCAATGTCAAATTTTGTATGGAAACTCGAACAGCAGCGCCACAACGGACGTAACAACAACCAAAAATCAGTACATATTTGACAATGACATTTCGCACTCACAAACTATTCGAATTCGATATTGGTTCGTTTTACTATTGTTCGTTAGTATATTGTCCTAACTGATCCCCGACGGGATTGTGATCCGCGGGGGCTCCATACTGCGCAACCCAACCGTTTCATTCATGCCCCACTCGCGGACCATGGGGCAAGCTATGGCCGTAGCCAGCCATCGTTCATTGCTAGCAATCAATCCATGGATTCCCTGTGGTTAATAAAAGGAGGTAGCCTTTTATTAACCAAAGGGAACCAGTGCACGTTAGCTATTTGAAATGCTTGACAGACAAAAAATTTTTGAAGCTGCCTCTTCTCCACATTATAGGTTTAGATAAGTACATCATTATTCGTAACTTTGACTTCACCACTCGCAGGCGTGCGTGTTATTTACTGCAAATTTGCGTTCTTTAATGCTAGGGTAGGACTGTCAGGTTATAAGAACTCTGTAAGACGAAAGGTAATTCATTAAAAGTTCTTTTTTCAATATACGATCTTCAATTCATGATTGTCTTTTAAACAAATTTTTAACTGCACGTTAAAAGACAATTTAGGTAGGCACAGTCGTATTTTCCGCCCAAATCATATTATACGAAGGTATGCAAACACTATGAATGTGAAGATCATAAAATCATCAAATTGTAAATAAGAAGAAATTCTTTTATTTAAATCATGTATAAATTAAAATGAGGTACAGCCAAAAAGGGACAATTACTATAGATATGAAATGGGACAGGGACCTAATTGACTAAGGCTCGTATTATAGAAAGATTCTCAGTAATTAATCTAGTCTTGAGCATAGTTAGAAAGAGATGTCGCTATATATAGCACCTAGCGACATCCCTTTCTAACTGTACTCAAGTAAAGATCAACACAGACTTTGTTTTGTTTATTTGAGTTATAACAATGGAGCACGTCTAGCTGTTTGTTATGCAGACAACACAACAACAGTACCGAGAACGACAGTGAAACGCTTACCTACCGTAGCGCGCCGCCAATAAAGAATAAATGGTATTGAGTCAGACATAGGTGTCAACAAACTTCAATGGAGAAAACAAAAGCATATTTATGCATTTAGGTAACAATACAGTAGTTTCCCAGAGTTCCGTAATATGTAGATAGGTACCAACAGTACCTATAGACACATTTATGTCGCTGTTTGTTATGCCGATCTACATATACACATATATATGATCTACTAGCGGTGCCCCGCGGTGTTACCCACGGTTTATTAGGGATATTTTCTCGCAGTAAAACATAGCCTATGTGTTATTCCAGGGTGTCAGCTAACTCCATACCATTTTTTTTAAATCGCTCCAGCCGTTTAGACTTGAAGAAGTAACAAACATACACACTCAAACACTCACAAACTTTCGCTTTTATAATATTAGTGTGATTCGATTTAGAAACTGTGTCAACCGTTGTTAGCTGTAGTTTCTTTAAGACAGTGTTTAGTTTTATTACAGTGGCCATTACTTATCATTTTGCATATCCAGGCACGAATATCTACTCAGCTTTAGACGTTGCAATAGACCTTGTCAAGAAAGGCGTAGGTTGGACTCCAGAACCAGCACAATCTAATGAAACTACCACAGAACTGGTCCAGGAACACATCCCAGTGCCCGCTTCAAATACTGAAGTTTCAGCAGGTAACTGTCCAAAATTGTTGGTATTTATTACATGCTTGAACTTTTGGAGCTTGGACAAATTTAGTTATAAGGTACTCACGTGGTTTATTAATTAGATGTTTTGCCCCCAAGCTCTTATGCTTGCACCAAAATAATCATAACAAAATTCTGGTGGACGCAATTTTTTTTATTATCCTATTTATAAACGAAGACTGCTTGCTTGATCAAACTTTTAATTTGTCAGAGTTTACGAAGCTGGAGCCAATCGTCATTTTCTTGACCGACGGCGACCCAACAGTAGGCGTGACAGATCCCACACGCATCATCAACCATCTCACCGAGAAGAACACTGGCTTCAACAAAGCTACCATCTTCTCGCTTGCCTTTGGTAATGTTTACTGTTTTTCACTATATTATCTATTTAATATTTAGGTATAGCGATACTTAAATCTAGCCTTCCAATATCTTCTTACTTGTAACGTCTCTGTATATAAGAATAAAGCAAGAATAAAACAGCCCTTGGTTAGTTTCTTGCCGTTTTTTCTCAGTAGGTAGGTACAAGCTGGTCTCCCGCCGTTTTCGACTTTCACATGTGCTTGTAACAGTTTTTTAGCTGAACTAAAAGTATTCCAAATAATTAAATAATGTAATATATTTACCGGTTCAGGCGAAGACGCCGATCGCAAGTTCTTGCGTAAACTGTCTCTGAAGAACGACGGGTTCATGCGTCACATATACGAGGCGTCTGACGCGGCGCTGCAACTGCGTGACTTCTACCGACAGGTTTCTTCGCCGCTGCTCGCAGATGTCAAATTCATCTACCCTAAGAAACAGGTGGGCTGGCTTTAAGGGCTTAGTTTAGATGGTTACGTGTCTACGTGTGGGGGATATTCCCACATTAAATGATATATTATAGAAATATGATATAAAAATGCTAGAAACTGTAAATTGATAATGTTATTACGGGATGATAAAGAAATAACCGATTGATAGTAATGCTTGTAATGCACTGTTCGATACGTGTTGCGCATACATAATCATAAAAGTAGAACGCTAAATTAACAAAATAAAATATAAAGTAAATAATGAAATATGTACGTTTCACCGTATATCTCGCACCCCTCAAAAACACAAAGAGTTATAATTTTTATTATTTTTAAAGCATGTAACTGCTTGATGTTTAAATCTAATGAAAATATAACTAGAAAAAATTCCACGCGGACCAGGCAGCAGACGGGACTCGAACCCGCACCTTTCGCAATCCGGGCGAATGCACTGACCAATTATGCTACCGCGGCCCTCACGGACCGCGTCGAAATTCCTTCTAGCTATTCTTAAGCTGCAAGGCAGCGCCATCTCTTCGCATTATAGGTAAACCCACAATGTCAAATGAATACTTTTACAAGTATTAAACATTTGAAAGAAGAAATAGCAATTATAGTTATAATTTTTATTATTTTTAAAGCATGTAACTGCTTGATGTTTAAATCTAAAGAAAATATAACTAGAAAAAAATCCACGCGGACCAGGCAGCAGACGGGACTCGAACCCGCACCCTTCGCAATCCGGGCGAATGCACTGACCAATTATGCTACCGCGGCCCTCACGGACCGCGTCGAAATTCCTTCTAGCTATTCTTAAGCTGCAAGGCAGCGCCATCTCTTCGCATTATAGGTAAACCCACAATGTCAAATGAATACTTTTACAAGTATTAAACATTTGAAAGAAGAAATAGCAATTATAGTTATAATTTTTATTATTTTTAAAGCATGTAACTGCTTGATGTTTAAATCTAAAGAAAATATAACTAGAAAAAATTCCACGCGGACCAGGCAGCAGACGGGACTCGAACCCGCACCCTTCGCAATCCGGGCGAATGCACTGACCAATTATGCTACCGCGGCCCTCACGGACCGCGTCGAAATTCCTTCTAGCTATTCTTAAGCTGCAAGGCAGCGCCATCTCTTCGCATTATAGGTAAACCCACAATGTCAAATGAATACTTTTACAAGTATTAAACATTTGAAAGAAGAAATAGCAATTATAGTTATAATTTTTATTATTTTTAAAGCATGTAACTGCTTGATGTTTAAATCTAAAGAATATAATTGCTATTTCTTCTTTCAAATGTTTAATACTTGTAAAAGTATTCATTTGACATTGTGGGTTTACCTATAATGCGAAGAGATGGCGCTGCCTTGCAGCTTAAGAATAGCTAGAAGGAATTTCGACGCGGTCCGTGAGGGCCGCGGTAGCATAATTGGTCAGTGCATTCGCCCGGATTGCGAAGGGTGCGGGTTCGAGTCCCGTCTGCTGCCTGGTCCGCGTGGAATTTTTTCTAGTTATATTTTCTTTAGATTTAAACATCAAGCAGTTACATGCTTTAAAAATAATAAAAATTATAACTATAATTGCTATTTCTTCTTTCAAATGTTTAATACTTGTAAAAGTATTCATTTGACATTGTGGGTTTACCTATAATGCGAAGAGATGGCGCTGCCTTGCAGCTTAAGAATAGCTAGAAGGAATTTCGACGCGGTCCGTGAGGGCCGCGGTAGCATAATTGGTCAGTGCATTCGCCCGGATTGCGAAGGGTGCGGGTTCGAGTCCCGTCTGCTGCCTGGTCCGCGTGGAATTTTTTCTAGTTATATTTTCTTTAGATTTAAACATCAAGCAGTTACATGCTTTAAAAATAATAAAAATTATAACTATAATTGCTATTTCTTCTTTCAAATGTTTAATACTTGTAAAAGTATTCATTTGACATTGTGGGTTTACCTATAATGCGAAGAGATGGCGCTGCCTTGCAGCTTAAGAATAGCTAGAAGGAATTTCGACGCGGTCCGTGAGGGCCGCGGTAGCATAATTGGTCAGTGCATTCGCCCGGATTGCGAAGGGTGCGGGTTCGAGTCCCGTCTGCTGCCTGGTCCGCGTGGAATTTTTTCTAGTTATATTTTCTTTACACAAAGAGTTGATAACGAACTGACAAAGAAATGTAGTCACTGAAATAAAAATAAAACAGAACGCAATTCACTACGATAGAAGCATAAAATTGTTAAAGTTCATAACTAATAAAATTGTCAAAGTTCACTTCACTCAATTTTCACAGCACTAAGAACCTCAAATTTAACAGATCTTGACCCCATCGGCGAGGTTCCTTGATTTACACTTCTGACACTGATAGCACTGACACTAGCTTGATCCGCTGCTGAGGCGACTGCTCTCCCTTGGAGTTCGCCAGTTGAAACTCCTCCGCCGCCACCACAAGAAGATGAGGATAGTGATTATGCATAGCCATCCAGCAGCCAAGACATAGATAGCTCAGTAATAATTTACCTTGTGGATATTGAACTCTTGATGGTTCTCCTGATCTTTGATAGCATCGATCTGATTTTTTAATTTGGAATATAATTGGTCTTGATTGTCTTTATAGTGGTCTAGATTTGTAAATCTAGTATTGATAAGACTATTCAGTGCAGACTGAGGTATGAGGTACTGAATATTTTTAAAATAATGATTGTGTGCATAGATAATAAATGTGTCCCCTTTTAGTGTACATCCTTGCTGTAGGCTAAGTAAGCCATTCCTATTTAAATCTAATGTCTCCATATCTGATTCACAGAATATACGTACCCTGCATGTTACATGGCATGAAAAAATCCATGTTTTATCTCGGTGTAATTTAATCCACCGGTCACTTATTTCCTTTGACACAATATCGGAGCATGACAGCGCTTGGTTAAGAAGTTTTATATCGCATATTGATTTTTTAACCTTTAGATCATAGATTGGTTTATCTAGCGAGCACAGAAGTTTGTTACTAGTATGTACATGTATACAAGTTTGTAGATCAAATTCTGATAATATAAATGCCATATCTTTTATCAAGTTACAGGCAATATATGGGAAAGTTGGTTTTATCCAGCTCGAAGGACCAAAATGTGGGGGATATTCCCACATTAAATGAAACATTATATAAAAATACTAGAAACTGATAATTGATAATGTTATTACGGGATGATAAAGAAACAACTGATTGATAGTAATGCTTGTAATGCACTGTTTGATACGTGTTGCGCATACGTCTTCGATACGTGTTGCGCATACGTCTTCGATACGTGTTGCGCATACGTCATCATGAAAGTAGAACGCTAAATTAACAAAATAAAATATAAAGTAAATTACGAAATATGTACGTTTCACCGTACAGTTTTCTAAGTCATTACATAGGACTGTTTAGATTCTAAACTGTTTAGATTCTAAACAGTCTAAACTTAGCTTTTAAGTATTTAGTCTAGATTTATTTGATAGAAAAAGTGAGACGAGGGCAGGACAGGCAAAGCGTGAGCGATAAGAAGTACTCTTGCTATCATTAATTTTGCAATTCCGGAACGGTCAAAAAGTTTGGTCTGTGATGGTAAAAGTTAGACAACTTTATTAAGCCGTAAGTCCCGGCTGCATCTGCAGCTACCCACTATTACCCGTTACTACCCGCCTATCTACACTGAATCCGCATGATGGTGAATCATGGCCTCACCTCCCTATTCCATCCATAGGGAAGGCCTGGTCGCTCCGGTGAACCGCACGTCGGGTGGGTCAGGCAACGGACAATCCGCGCCGCAAAGAACTTCTTTCGCATTTGACACGCATTAGGGGCATCGATCGATCGATCTTCATAGTGCGTGTTGGTGACCGGTGTAGGAGTATTATTTGGTTTTTACTGGGTGGGGAGGACTCTTCAGATACCCTGTTCGCACTTCTCCCGGTATTTCAAGTCAGCGTAACAACTTTTCCACATATAAAAAAGGAAAGGCCTGTACCCCCGCTGTGGGCACATTAATAGCCTGTTAATGATGATTACGATGATGTTCTCGATACTTGCAGGTGAAGGAGGGTTCTGTGACGAAGCATTACTTCCGGCGCTACTACGCGGGGTCCGAGGTGGTGGTGGCCGGAGAACTGGAGCCCTCCAGCTCCGAGCTGACGCCCCAGGTAGACGCTTGGTGCGGCGTCGTGGACGGTGAAGGCAGGGTCAGTTTCCTGAAATAATCACTACAGTAATAATGACCTTTCATTTATTTCTCACCATAACCCCCCAATGTTTGCGATGTTTTTGCACGATGATGGCTGCACAAAAACAAAAATAAGCCGAGTGAAATGAGCGAGGGCGAATTCTTACATATACCCGCGGTAATCCGACAAACGTTTTACAGGACGATGTCGGATTATGGAATTTGTCCGATTAGAGAGCGCTGCCTAAGACCATTCTCTATAGCCCAGAATGATTTAAATAAGATTACCTTGTAATCCGACAAATCAAAAAATCTATTTGAAGTAGTTTTAATGTAAAATCATCAACGGTGACAGGTGTGTTGGATTACAGAGGATTACCGCGGGTCTATCGTCATCATCGTCATCAGCCGATGGACATCCACTGCTGGACATAAGCCTCCTCAAGGGATTTTCATTTAAAACAATCCTGCGTTTTCCGCGTCCAGTGGGTCCATTGTATTTCGTATTGTTGTGCAGAAACGCGTGGATTTCATACCGAAGGCGCCGGAGCCCGCGAAGAAAGGAGACAAGTACTTGCCGCTGGAGCGACTGTGGGCGCACCTCACGGTGAAACAGCTGCTGGACGAGCGCGACGCGGCTGATACAAACACTGACACCAGCAAGGAAGACTCGGCCGAGAAGAAGGCCCTCGCTATTGCCCTCAAGGTAAACAATTCCTATATCATCATCATGCCAGCGAAGAGAGACAAGTTCCTGCCGCTGGAGCGTCTGTGAGCGCACCTCATCGCGAAGCAGCTGCTGGACGAGCGCAACACGGCTGATGCAAACGCTGACGCCGGCAAGGAAGGCTCGCCCGAGAAGAAGGCCCTCGCTATCGCCCTCAAGGTAAACTGTACCCTTAGCACGAACCAATACCAAATTCGAATAATTTGCGAGTGCAAAGTGTCAATCTCAAATTTTGTATGGAACCTTGAACAAAAGCGCAACAACGGACGTAACGAGAACTAAAAATCAATACACAAATTTGATATTGGTTCGTGATAAGGCTGCAGTTTCTACGTAATTATCATGCCGGCGAAGAGATACAAGTTCCTGCCGCTGGTCCATCTGTAGGCGCACCTCACCGTGCAGCAGCTGCTGGACGAGCGCAACGCGGCTGACGTCAACGCCGATTCCAGCAAGGAGGACTCGCCCGAGAAGAAGGCCCTCGCTATCGCCCTAAAGGTATACTGTTTCTCCATCACCATCATGCCGGCGAAGAGAGACAAGTTCCTGCTGTTGGAGCGTCTGTGGGCGCGCCTCACCGTGAAGCAGCTGCTGGACGAGTGCGACGCGGCCGATGGCAACACTGATGCCAGCAAGGAAGACTCGCCCGAGAAGAAGTATAATAATAACTGTATAAAGGCACAATTAAACTTGGTCGTTAGCTCGTTTACGGGTGCACGAAAGTCATTACTCGATTTCGGACACCCGATGCATTAATTACATTATTTAACTCATGTTTGGGTACTGGAACACGGGCATACGACCCTGTACACGCTTTCTAGTTGGAACGTAGATACCTCAGTGATGCCAGATTGGAGGGAATCAAATCGAATACGGGCTTACTCGACTCCGTTCATTTACACTTAGTCGTTTGTCCGAATTCCAACAATCGTACACGGGCTAGCAACCAAATGTAAATGCGCCTTAAGGTAAACTGTTATTTGTGGCCTGCCCTCCTAGCATGAGCACCGAGATATGATATGTAGCTCTTTTTTATCATGCTCAGTTGTTAAATTACTAATGGATTTTGAAAGTTAGGCGCGATAAAGAACGTGAATGCTCATACTACTGGAACTGCATTTCATATAATAACCCTCTTTGAGTCGGTTTCCTCATTCTTGAAGGTCATGGTCATCTGTAGGGAACAGTTTCTTTAGATAAGCGACGTTAGCCGCCTGTCTGTCGCCGAATGTAAAGTCCTCTACGCACCATCCAGCTTGCTGGATCGAGCATACGGGGTTGGAGAAACAGGATCTCTTATACGTGTAGGTATAGCGCTTTCCCGCATGCTGGATCCAGAAAGATGGACATTGCGTAAAGCACTTTGAGCATTATGTTAATCTTAGTAATCTGTGAATGTGTGTGGAAGTGCTAAGTTAATAGCGGTGTGGTTCTTCCTTTTCATTTAATAACATCAGTCGCAAATTGTGGCACGGTAGACGTTGTCCATTAACGTTTTGTGGGGTCTCTAATTACGCGAGAGCCACGAAAAGGGGAATGGGGAGTAAAAATCTGCAGCCTTTTGATGTTCCCCACCCACATGCACATATTGCGTATTGGCTGTTTGTGCTGGCACAGACGTTAAAAAGTATGTTAGTAGAAATTTAACAGTAGTAGAATAGTTTCAGACGTGTTGGATCACCTTCTGGATGGATTACCCAAATAATGGCATTCCGATCACATATATATTATTACTTACAAGAGTTTAACTGGTTAACACCTTGTTTTTCCGTTTATACCTAGTATGAGTTTGTGACCCCGTTGACTTCTCTGGTGGTTGTGAAGCCTAACGCCACTGACCATGTGGATGCAGAATCTGTAGATAAACAATGTAAGTATTTACATACACTATATATATATATATATATATATATAAACGTAGGTATTATTGAATGTGTATGTTACCGATAATCTGTATAATCCGGCATTCTATTTAATACCTAGACAATGTATATAATGCCTACAATGTCAAGGCATGTATGATATTGTTCATCTTATAAGGCCTAGGTACCTATTCTATACAATGCCGAATGCGGAGTCAGCAATATGTGATAAAAGAAGATAGCTTGTCGAATTTTCTTTGTTTTAATTATTGATATATCCATCAGGTGACTCGCACTAAGTTTAGGTCACAAAACTAACCTAACCTAACTCACTCTGAGTTGGGCAAACGTTCATTGGTCTGTAATTCATTATAGGAATTGTATACATTATCTAGGCAATGTATAAAATAAAAAAAAAATATTTCATACATTGCCTAGATGTTCCAGGAATTCTAAACATTGCCTATGTAGGTATTGTATAGAATACCTGATTTATACAGATTGCCGGGAACTGATATACTTCTTTAGGAATATGGGTATTTCGTATTCGAATATAACGAATCATAATGTATGTCACAACGAGACCTTCAGTACACTTTCTATGTAATCTAATTAACTAATTATGGAATTAATCAATCAAATAATACTTTATTGCGTTCTACAATGTTTTCTTAGATCTTAGTAGGTACATTGCTTTGATCATTGTAGGTCCTGAACAGGGCACAGCAAATAGATAGGAGGACGCATTTACAAATTGTAATTTAGTTATTATTTATTAATGAGGGATTTTCGCATTTATGAGTAAAATTATATAACTCGTAACGTAAGCATTTATCATATCATTTACGTTACAGATGGATATGCATCAAGTGATATCCGTAAGTATAATTATATTATATAGATGTAATATATTATATTAGACAGGTAAACATATCGTTGCTTAGAGTACCCAACACTATTGTTATACAGTTCCTTGAGTAATTTTCTTTGATTAACAAAAACGATCAAAGGACATCGACGAAATCGGCCCTAGCATGCCCAAAAGAATGTCCTTCACTATTATTTTATATGTATATATATATATTTCTATTATTTTTTTAATTTATTAGCAATTAATCATAGTAAACAATCTGTTTAAAAAAATAAAAAATAAAAGTTCTGTTAATATATATACTACAGTCCGTTCACCCTAACTTGTCCTATATGGAAAACAATCTTAGCACTCCTTTTTATTGAAAATACAGCCAATTTGACGACCTCCGTGGCCGAGTGGTTTATACGCCGGGTTTCATGGCGTCGCCGACTCGAGAGGTCCCGGGTTCGAATCCCGGTGGGGGCAGATGTTTGTGTGATCAATACGAGCATTTGTACTCCAGTCATGGATGGTTAATATGTATTTCATATAAATATTATTGTATAATATATGTATTCTATCCGTTACCCTAGTATCCCATAACACAAGCCTTTACAGTGCTTACTTTGGGGCTAGGCTAATTGGTGTGAGTGTTGGAAATATTTATTTATTTATTTTAATAGTTTATTCTTATTATTTTATTTTTAAATGGGTGAATTTGTTAAAAAGTTGTGCCAAGATTGTTTACCTTTATAAATGCAATATAGGCGACCATAAGTATTTATCAACCTATGAATAGAACTAGGTACCTTAGTGAAATTTTGTGTGCATATTGGGTAGGTCTGAGAATCGGACAACATCTATTTTTCATCCCCCTAAATGTTAAGGGTAATCCACCCCTAAATTTTTTTTTTCTTTTTTAGATATATTTTTTTTATTTTTTTATGATACATCATACAAAAATACATACAACCATAAATTTTCACCGTTGGTTTCACAACCATAAGTTCGCTGGGACAGCTAGTTATATTTATAAAAACATTATTTCTGAAATTATATAAAGATAGTTTATACTCCCATCCCATATAATATCTGTTTATTTTTATGAAAATCATAATGATAACCAGGTACCTACATACCTTATTGACGATACTAAAATATAGAAACAGTTAATTGTAAAGACTTTGAACATTTCATTTGAAAAGAAATCTATTATTAAAACAGGTAGGTATAGGTATCACAGGTGCCAACTACCAACACTCATAAATCAATACGAATATAAACATTTATTATTTTTATTATTAATTGCATTTTATGTTCATTTAATGCATATTATTTATGTGCTTACATAGAGGTAAACACATAATCTATTCAGAATATATAAAGTGTACATCTTTTACGATTAAGTATAATAATTATAACCTCCAAATTTAATTCATTCTGTAGTAGGCCACGGTTCCGCAAGTTGTCCGTATCTAGGGCTGCCATCTCTAAAATATGGTAACCAGTATAAGACGCATGATGACCCCGGATTTTGGAGCCCAGAAACCGGACAGACCAATAAAAAAATAGTTAAAAATGTCACAAATCAACTTTTTTATCTTGACTACCTCTACCTCTACCTCATAATAAGTGGTCTCTGCTGCCCATGGACACTTGCAGCAGCAAGGGCCACTCATGCGTTGCCGTAAATTTTTAAACCCGGACTACAAATAAAACCCCGCCCGGACGCTCCTCGGACGCCCCGTAAACTAGGACAAATCCGGGGAAACCCGGACGGATGGCAGCCCTATCCGTATCTCAACAAATGCCTAATTAGAGTTTATGAATGATTCCGAACACAACTAGCATTTTCTTATTGCTGTGCGTTCCAGGGCATTCAATGTATGTGGAACGAGGAATGTCCTTTATAAATCGAAAGAAAATAATGACTAGAAAAAAATCCACTCCGTCTAGGTAACAGGTAGGATTTGAACCTGTGCCTTCCGGTATGCGGGCGGATGCACTCCGTCCGCCCGGATAGCGGAAGACGCAGGCAGAATTTATCTCTGGGATTCTTCATCTTTTAGATCATTTTTCATAATAATCTTGCGTAGTACGTTCTCCTTGTATCTGCATCTACCCTCTTTCTAAGGCCGTATACAGAAAGAAAGCTGGAAGCCGACCAGCCTAACCGTTACATAAAGGAAGCAGATTGAAGCGTAGTTGTCAGCGCTGACCTGCGCGTGTCGAAGCTTGTCGGAACTTGTCGGCGACGTTCGGTGCTTATCGGCGCTGGTCCATAGAAATGCCTGCCCCGGTTACCAGCGCGAACCGGTTCCTATAAGCGCTGATGGGCTTCAAGCTTTCTTTTTGTATACGGCCTAAGAGTTGTCGGTGGTCGTCCCTCACCGAGCAATGAGTTTGTTCACACGGGCGGGTTCCCCATCAGATTTTTACTAAATATTGTTATTATATAATGTTGTTAAAAACATTAAATTATATTAATAACCTAATCATCAAATTTTGTTATTAGCAGCTTTCGCGGCTGGGCTGCCCGGTCTGCCCGGTTTGCCAGGCCCGTCGTTCGGTCCGTCGGCAGCGTACGGCCAAGCCGCCGGTGCTCCCTTGCCAGTGTACGCCACCATGTCTTTTAGCCGCCCGGGGCCACAACCAGGTAATTAAATCAAAATTAAATGAACGAAACATTTTTTAAACGAGTTTCCTCAAGTGAGTTTTAATTGTTTTAACATAATTCTTGACATTTTGTACCCTTCACTTGGTAAATGCTAAATACTTATGATAAAAATGTGCTAAAACTTGTTTAAAAAGTGTTTAATGAATGATTGGTGTGCGTGAAAAGTAAAAAAAGAAATAAATTAATAAAGTTGAATAGGTAGGATTGGGTCATGATCACACTCTATTTATTTCATGATCCCCCACGTGGGCCCAATGTATATTGGTGAGTGCTAATTCCTATGCAGCCGGGACTAACGGTTTAACGTGTCTTCCGAAACACACAGGAGTAACTGTAACTCCCGAGAGTTACAGTTTTAGTCAAGTTAAGCTAACGCGCTGACCACCTGCGCCAACGAGCTCCTCAATACTAATTAATCACATAGTATAATACTTAATTGGAAAAAATCAGCATAATTGGATCGAAACGCATGTATTTAAGGTAGAATAAAGCTTAGCTCTGGCTTTCTTTTTGCACTTACTGTTTTTTTTATTGATTATAAATTATCTAAATACAACGAAATTTGTATGATCGTTACGCCATTACATTAACGTATATAAAAAACGGATACGAATTAAAGCTATTCGTATATAATTACCTAAGCTATCTTATACTACTTAAATCGTTGGATCCAATTTTCTTAAAATATTTGAGTTTCTAATGGCACTTCAAAGGGAAGGGGCTCTTTTCTTAGCGTTGAGTGGCTGTGATTTGCAAGTACAGAGCTTTTGACTTAATATTATGTACCTACCTATTCTTCTTTGATTTAAAATACTTTCGTATGCAAGTAACACTTCTAAATAACTATTCTAATAATTAGCTACATATGTATTTCTATATTATACAATAACTTGCCTAAATAGGTTTACAAAATAATTTGTCATTTCTACTTAATATAATAACAAATCAATTTAGTAGCTAATATACAGTGGAAATAAACATTAATAGTTTACTAATCTAACCTATTGCAAACTTCGTTTATTTATTTCACTCATGTCATTTGTTACAGTGATTTTATTTGCAGCATGGTATTTATTGTTTTATGTTGTGTGTCCTTTAAGTGTGTATCGATTGTAACATAGTAAAACGACATTCATTCTGTTCGTGAGAAAATACTTAACCATCAAAATTTCACCATATGCACGTTCATATATATTTAAAAATAACTGCATAATTGCATGATATAAAAATAGTAAAGATACTCATACTACAGTGTTGCATATAGCATGTCTAAAATAAGTAAACCAAAAATTCTAGAAATAGGAAAACTAACTGGTTTAGTGGAATTAAAATGTTTATTCGTCGCCAACATGGATACAAGATAGATTGTATTACATTTAATGTGCATTCAGAATTCAATTTGTGGCGATTTAAGAATAAGTCCTCACAAATTTACTTACAGATGACCTTAACCCATACAAGATCCACATAAACCTTCTATAAACCCTCAGAACAATAAAATATACTTTATTGTATAGATAGTAGGTACTAGGTAAGTTAGGTACCTAACTTGAGTTTGTCTATTCCACAAAGTCAAAGTCAAAACTTCTTTATTCATTTACAGTTTGTCTATAAAGTCGTGACATTAAATGATGGCGCCACTTGTATGCATGTAGCAACCCTATACAGTCGGACCAAAATGATTTTAATACTAGCAGTTCATTCAAGTAAAATAGGTAATTAATAAAACACACTATACAGTCGTATTTTGTTTCTGTTTTATATATAGTAGGTACCTATGCTTATAAAAAGTTTAGCCAAGCATATTTAATTGAATCAGAATAAAATTATTATAGATAAAATAGTACTTTATAGTGTAAAAGTGTGTAATGATGGTGATTACCGCTGAGGTGCCATTGAGACCAGAGCCTTTAGGTAATCATCAATACACACAAGTATCATCATACGACGTTTTTTAACACACTTGTTAAGAAAATAATACTAAAAATCATTTTATAGTATATAAAAAGTTTATTTAGAGAAACAATTTGTAAATGTGCAGTAAGTAAAATTAGTGATAGGTATCTGCACTAAAAGCATCTGGCCATGGTTCTTTGTGTGGCCATTTCTTTCTTTGGTCGGCCTTGCGTGTTTTCCCAGGAGTTTCAAACTTTCCATCATTCTTAAAACCTTCGTTGACTATCCGACTCTCCGATTTTCCTGAAAAAAAGTAAAAAAATATGTAACGGAATAGAAACTATAACTTATTGACATGAAGCAATTAATTCAAAATTGGTAGAAAACCTGACCGAGTTGAACCATAATTGATATATTATTATTATCAAAAGAAATGGTCGTACTACAATATTACCTATTTACAATGTCAATCTAACCTAAAAATGTGCAATGTAAACAATGCCTTTTTTGGTCTCAAAATCGTAAATTGAGTAAATTTGTAACTTCAGGCAGATTACAAACAAATAGTTACACGATTACATACCCGTCATATAGATGCTGTTCGCCCATAAACATCATCCAAATCCCACATAATTCGTCCAACTTGGTAGGTAGTCTTCGAAACATCGCTGGAAAACTTTAAAAATCACTTCCCGCGTGCCACTCCGATTTACTTTACTCATTTTTAAATTTCTAGGTATGGACCACAACCGCATGTTGCGTTCCAAAAACGATAATTTGTTGAAGATCCTTTTAACTCGCTCAGAATATTATAGGGATTCCTTTACAGTCAAAGTGGCTCAACTTTGGAACAAGCTGCCGTCTGAAATCCGGAGTTCAAAGTCACTTCCCATATTTAAAAGTAGACTACATACTCTCCTTCTGCTGCGAACTTAGTCTACTTTAACATTACATATGTTGTTAGTATGTAGGTATATATTTATGTTCAATTATATATATTTATATTTGGTATATATATATATATATATATATAATATACATGTATTTGTGGTATGTATGTGTATATGTAAGTGTATGATAGACAATTACTTATATGTACGTATATTATATTAATTACTTATTTACATTTCTCATCGACTCTGCTGGCTTACTACATCTTCTTTTCCGTTTAGCTTACCTATACCGCGAAGGTTGTCTGGAAGAGATCGCTTGTAGCGATAAGACCGCCTTTGCCCATATTATTGTTAAATGTATTCTTTGTGCCTATGTCCTTTTGTATGTGAGCAATAAAGTGTTTATTATTATTATTATTTTATACCTTTCTACGTAGTTTCGTCTTAATTTATTACAGTTTTATCCAAAAAATAAAAAATACAAAAGGAAAACTGTTCCATAACTGAAACTCGATGACAGCTGATGTACATAAGTTTAGTGTTGCCAGACAGTCATGATTAATGTTAGGTCCTCAAACATTCATGTGACGACTTTATAGACAAACTGTAGGTACAATTGGCACACTTATGAAAGTCAAATTTGATGCCATCGGTTCAAGAGTCTACCAGAAGGCCTTGTCTGAGAAGAACCGGCAAGAAACTCAGCAAGTTTTGTCCTCTCTTTACATTTTCTATTTTTATTTAGGTATTTGGAAAGAGTCATAATCCACATCAGGTCTTTAATAGTTTAATTACTTTTAAAAGTATAAATAAATAAAAGACCAGTAGTTACTACGAAATAAAAGAATATATGTAAAAGATGTGATCCATGACGTCTTTCCTTACAATAATGTCAATTTAGAATAAGAATTATACGCTTAATGATATCTCTCAAGATTTCAGTGGAGAATCGAGCACATTGGAATGAATCCACACCTTTTTATCGTCTAAATATTGCTGAACTTTATAATATGCTTTTTTCATTAAAATTTTCTTAACATGAAGTTTAAATTTATGTAATGGAAGTTCAGTTACATTAAGTAGAAGTTTATTATATATTTGTATACATTTCCCCATGAATGATTGACTAGTTTTATGAAGTCTGAAAGTCTATTTTTACCTCTTGTATTAACATTGTAATAATCACTATTCTTTAAAAAGGTATGTAAGTTTTAGTGGACATACATAATGTTGTCAAATACATATTGCGGGGAACCGTCAAAATATTGATTTCTCTAAATAATTCTCTCAGTGAATCACGCGGTTTTAAGTTATAAATAGCGCGTACGGCTCTCTTTTAATAATATCAGCCGCTGTTCATAAGTCACTGTGGTCAAGAAGGTACCTAGCACCTAAATGGCACCTAACAAAGAAGTAAAGTCAGCACTCTTAATTTTATTGCTGATAAAACTACTGATGTGTTCTTTGAATAATTAATACTCAGGGCCGGGGTTAAGGCAGGGCAAGCGGGGCCCAGGCCTAGCAGCCCACAAGAAAGGGGGCCCCCACAACAGAGATAAAATAAATATGACGATTTGTCACTAACCAGGGGAGGTGATAGGGGCCTCCACTCCTTCATTTCCACAGGGCCCCCACCACACCTATAAACCCAGCCACACAGGCCAGGCGTTAGCATAATAAAGAAGATAGGTAGCAACTAACACCAGCGAAACATACTCATACGTGTGAATTTCTTTTGGGGTATGCGCAATCGGATTTTATTTTGCAGTAGAGGACGTAGCGTATGCAGAGGCGTTGGACACGGATACTGCTGATTACATCGAGTTACGAGCTACAACAGACATCGTGCCAGGTAGGTACCCACTCGACGCTCCTCTGGTAAAAATCTTATGAAACCACTAACGTAAGGGCTAACAAAATATTATCATGGCATCATGTTTCAAATATGGCTTGTTAACCTACTCTATTCAATATGGAATGTGATTAATCGTACACATTGCATCCAATTCATTAAAATACATTATCAGATAAAATTTAGATATTTATAAGTGGTTAGAACAAGATTTTGTAAACCTATTTCTACTCTTGTATTGACGGCAAGGGCGTTGCAGGTGGGGTAACTGACCTCACTTGACATAAAAATGTTTCCAAATATAAAGCTTATCCACTGAATTGACTTGCTTGCCTGAAATATTTCTGTTTCCAGAAAACTCGACTAGGTGATTTCAATCCCTACCTAAAGATCCTAGGCCATCGGCTGGGGACTCCCGTAAATGACGAAGTCTGTGATAATACTGAGAATTAGTATTTAAATAATGAATAGATAAATAAATTGAATGAATAGATACATAAATTTATTTTCAGTTCACTTACTCAACAGAGGTATGTTGATGCAAACGATTGACATGAATAAAAGCTTGAATCTTAACGCGAACATAGGTAAGTGGAATTATATAAGTAAAAAAACCCTGAAATATAGTACGACCCACTATTACTATACATATTCAATATAGTTTATAGGTAAAACTAAATATTTAAATAAAATATAACAGTTCCTTAAAGTTGTAAGTAGTTAATATAAGTATAGTCTTGATTCATGAATAATGATAGGGCTGCCATCTCTAAAATGTGGCAACCAGGATAAGACGCGTGATAACCCCGGATTTTGGAGCCCAGAACCTGGACAGACCTATACAAAAACAGTTAAAAATATCACAAATCAACTTTTTTATGTTGATCTAGGCAAAAGAGCTAGCGGTCTACCACATAATAAGTGGTCACTGCTGCCCATGGACACTTGCAACACCAAGGGCACTCATCCATCCATCATCCATCCATCAGCCTTTCTCCGTCCACTGCTGGACATAGGTCTCCCCCATAGAACTCCACAATGCGCGGTCCTGCGCTATCCGCATCCAGGGGCTCCCAGCACATTTGACGATGTCGTCAGTCCACCTGTTGGGGGCCGCCCCACGCTGCGTCGTCCGGTACGTGGTCGCCACTCAAGGACCTTTCTTACCCAACGGTTGTCAGATCCTCGATCGATGTGGCCTGCCCATTGCTACTTCAGCGTGCTAACTCTTCGGGCTATGTCGTACACACCGGTCCTTCTACGGATCTCCGTATTTCGGATCTTATCACGCAGGGAAACACCGAGCATAACCCTCTCCATAGCACGCTGCTCGACTCTGAGTTTTGTTGTGACGCCGAGATTCAGAGACCACGTCTCAGTCCCATAAGTCATCACTGGTAACACACACTGGTCATAGACCCTTCTTTTCAGGAACTGGGGAATTTTGGCCGTGAGGATGTGCCTAAGCTTCCCGAACACTGCCCATCCGATGTGGATTCGTCGGTTGACCTCTTTCTCGAAGTTGGATTTGCCCAACTAGACTGTTTGTCCTAGGTAGACGTAATGATCGACAACTTCGAGAATTGCATTCCCAACAGATACTGGTGCTGGAGTGACATGGATATTGAACACGACCTTGGTTTTATCCATGTTCATCCTTAAACCAACCCGTTGGGAAACTCTGCTGAGGTCATTGAGCATTGTGTCAAGGTCCTCCAGGGATTGTGCCATGACCACGATATCGTCTGCAATTCGAAGGTCCGGTCCAATCCAGAAGCTTGAAGACGTCTTCCAATGCAGCGGTGAACAGTTTCGGGGAAATTACGTCTCCCTGTCTGACACCCTTCTGCAATGGAATCGGTTTCGTACTTCTCTCCTGGATTTGGACTGACATAGTGGCGTTTCTATACAGACACTTCAACACTTCGATATATCGATAGTCAATTTGGCACCGCTGAAGGGACTGCAGCACCGCCCAAGACTCGATCGAATCGAAGGCCTTCTCATAGTCCACATACGCTAGACACAGAGGCCGATTATACTCCTCGGTCTTCTGTATGATCTGACGTAGCGTATGTATGTAGTCCATGGTACTAAAGCCCTTTCGGAAACCGGCTTGTTCGGGAGGCTGGAAGTCGTCGAACCTGCGCGAAAGTCGATTTGTAATGACTCTCGAAAACAACTTATAGACGTGGCTCAAGAGTGAGATAGGTCGATAGTTCTTCAAGCGGGTTTTATCGAATTTCTTGAAGAACAACACCACCACGCTCCTGGTCCACACTTCTGGAACAATGCCCCCGAGGATGACAGAGTCGAATAGCTTCTGAAGGGAATTCATGCGTTGCCGTAAATTTTTATATCCGGACTACAAATAAAACCCCGCCCGGACGCTCCCCGGACGACCCGTAAACTAGGACAAATCCGGGGAAACCCGGACGGATGGCAGCCCTAAATAATGATAAAAAATACAATAAGTAGTAACAAATATCTAAATTACTTATGTTTCCTTCATATTTTTTTTTCTCTTATAATCTTTATACTTAATAAACATTTAAATGGTCATTTATAAATTAATAGTAAGATATTTATAACTAAAAACCTTATAATAACTAAAATACATTATTAAAAGTAGTCCCTTTAGGCAAGGTTCCGAAGATACTGGCAGCGTTCCCTCTTTGAATAGCTAGACTAATTCTTTGTCCGAGGTAGCTGTCAGCTTTTCGGTCTCCTTTGATGACGACTAACCTTTTTGCTATTTCCTTAAAAATCCTTACAGCGCTAGGGCCCCACGGACCGAGGGTCTTGACACCGAATGGGACAAAATCATATTCGGAGCCTAGACCCCCGTATTTGCATGCCTTAGCTTTTTCAGCCGCTTCGCAAGCCTGGTGAAAAATTGCTCTGTTGTTGGTTCCATGTAGATGGGAAGGGGCCAGCGTGTCTGAACAGGTTGCATCCCATACTAGCACGCAGCCCATCTTCCATGGTCTCAAACACATACCGTCCGGTATCTTGGCGTCGTTTCTTGCAATACCAGACGGCTCAAGTAGACATGGCACGTTGACGGTGGCAAGGGACCGGCGTAAGATATCGTTAAGTGCGGCATATCTCGAGAGGCGGCCTGCACTTTTTTGGCATGACAGTCCGTGATGTCCTAGCTTGTCGACATCACTGCCACAGGGACATATACGAGGAGCGCAGACCGGGATCCCAAGCCGTAGACAGGTTGCGATTTAATTTAATTATTTATTATGTATTTCACTAAATACCTTCAGTTCAGTATTTAAATTGCTGTCATTTTAGGGGTTGAAAAAGAAAACCGACTTCAAAATTGAAAATGGAACTAAAAGTAAAAAAAATATATCATGTTCATGATTTCGAAGTTACTAGGCGGGGTCAAGATTGCAACACGTCAATATACAGATAAGAACGAAAAATCTAAATACCGATTATAACGAAAAATCTAAAAACCTCCTACTATGAAGTTGGTAAAAAATTAAATATATTATGAACAATATATACATAAGAACCGTATAAATACTTACAAATATATACGAGTTGACAGCCGCTAAAAGGTGGCAATCACAACAGAATAAAGTATTTGCCTCGTTTTTGCATTTGCCACTGCAGTCGACCACGGGCTGCTCGTAAATAAATTTAAGTATACGTACGATTAAATTATAAAATTCAAAATCAACAAACGATGAAATAAAGTACATATTGTATAAGTTTTTAATTTGAAACACAGCTACGACAGCTGGTATGGTAGACGCCCGCAAGGCATGCAGACGCTGCAATTAGTAACCAGCTTGGCTACTTCTCAAAATATCACTGCATATTAGATACACTTTGAACATCAGAGGCCCAAGCACGAATTTTTGAGAGCTTCGTAACTCATCGCCACGGACCTGAAAAAAAGAGAAGTTTTTTTTCAGGTCCGTGCGTATCGCATTCTCAAAGTTTCTATGAAAACTCAGCAACCTATCGGTTGCAAGAAAAAACATAGCTTTTTCCATACAAAGACGATGACGAATCGAACTCTACCTCCTCGGGGTAGACGTAGTTCCATGCAGTAAAAACTTAAATTTTTTCTTTCAAAATCGTTATTACTTTGTAAAATAATAATGATTAAAACTGGGAAATAATCATTAAAACTGAATAACATTAACTGGTAGTTATTTAAATTCCTTGCATTAACTACGGAAATACAAAAAACATGATGCCATGAAAATAGCTTTTTAAGACTTCTACGCCTAAGTCACAAAATAGATAGTATGTACAGCCCCACGTCCTAGTGATTTAATTGCATTAATTATCTATGTTACATATATATACGATAATTAGTGTACAGGAGAAAAGAGCACAATAATCCTAATTAATTATATTCAAACATGTAAGGAAGGGAAATAAAAAATAACTACTTCTAGTTCGACGGGTCCCCAATCGGGGGGCGTGGGGTGCATATCGTAAGTGGTCCGTGGTGCCAAATATTAAAATTCGCTCTCATTGGGGCCTTCTCCTTCCTTGCCCCAGGGCCTCTACTCTGAATCTGCAGTGGTTAGCATCACCCGCCAATCCGCGTTTGGCCTATATTGTGATTGATTGCCGCTTTTTCCTTTTACATGCAAAGGAAGGCTTGACTTGAGACTTTTATTAAAAGAATTAATGAAGAAGTAGTGTCGGTGTTTAAATACTTTTTTTTTATACGAGGCGCAACAAATTACTTCACGCCAGCTGATGTTAAGTGGCGGCAAAAAAAGGCCTCGTGAATTATCGTACGTGTGCGCCCGCGCGCCGCGCCGCGCGCCCCGGCCCGTTCTCCGCGCCGTCACAGTAAAAGCAAATAAATAATAAAAAATTAAAATAACACGACTGCAGTTAAAAAATAGCTAAAAAATCTAGTCTTTGTCTCTTTTTATAGGTAAACCCGTTTATTAATGCTACCATATTTGTATATATTAGGAAGGTAGGTAATTTATATGTAAGGAATAAAATTGGCGTTTTGTATGATAGGAATATAATGTATTTTTTTTTTTCGATTAATTAAATATATTTTACATAGATATGCACCGTTGTTATCTATAATGCGATTCAAATAAGAATAGGAAAGCCAATGACCTCCATCTGTCAAATGTCGCTTGAAAAGTACGGTTTGCAAAAACATCTCGGAACACTTTTTTAGCACTCCGTTTATTCTAGAATAAAAACCAAACATTTTTGAACAAACAATAACAAATGTTGATAATTAATATTAGTTGTTTTTTTTTCATTTATTTAGCTTTGGCTATGAATGGTTGATAACCTAAATCGTCAACCAAATGTCACTTTATGTTGCGTTCAAAAACTCGATTTAAAACTTTCGTTTACATATAGGATGCATGTTCGTATCTGACCTACCTACATGATTATTCATAACTTCTCCGGCGATAATGCAGAGTTGAGCGAAATTGAAGAGCTAGATTCTGATTAATGTTTTTTTTCACACAGTCTTAATAAAGAAATACTATTAAAAATCGGTTGTGTTCTTTCTCAACCTTAGTGAATTAATTTTATTAAAAATCTGATGTTTTGTCTCACTTAATATTAGTAAATAAGTTTCATTAAATAGCAACATTTTTTTGCTCTCTCTACCTATTTGGTTTGAATTGACAGCTATGACGTCAAAATATGGCGCCCCGTCGGTCCTATTCTTAGTTGAATCGCATTATATGCACTTTTGCCATCTCATATGTAGTTCATTGATCCCTTTACTAAAAAACAATGGGGGCGTGAATCAATAAACTCTTTGAAGGCGGTTTGGACTGCTGCATCGGAGTTGAATTATTTTCCTTGTAAAAAGTTTTCCAAATTCCAGAAAAAATGGTAATCTGTAGGAGCAAGGTCCGGGGAGTACGGTGGATGTCGCTGACATTCCAATTGTAGCTCATCTAACTTAGTAGTTGTTCGTTGTGCAGCTAGTTCTTCCTTCATGGTTTGCAGTTGCTGACAATAGATTCTGCCGTAATCGTTTGGCCAGATTTTAGAAAGCTGAAGTGAACGACACCGGCGCTAATCCACCACCAGTAACTTTTTCTGAGTCAATTTTCGTTTAGGGCAGGATTTGGCTGGGTCTCCAGGGTTCAGCCATTGCGACGAGCGCTTCCGATTATCGTAATAGTATCCACTTTTTATCACAAGTAAGGATTCGATTTAACATCCCTTCATTACTGTGTCGGTGCAGAAAAGTAACACATCGGTCGACGCATGTTTGCAAGTTCGATTCACTCAATTCATGAGGTACCCATCGTTCAAGTTTTTTTACTTTCCCGATTTGCTTCAAGTGGATTAATACAGTTTTGTCACTTACCCCGAAGCCTGCAGCTCTCTAGGAAGTGCTTTGTGATGGATCCGCTTCCACAATAGCCTTTAATTCTTCATTTTCCACTTTGGTCTCCGGCCGTCCACGGGGTTGGTTCTGAAGGTCGAAATTTCCAGAACGAAAACGCTGAAACAATAAACGTACCGTGCTTTCTTTTGTGACACCAGCGCCATACACATCATTAATCTTTCGAGCTGTTTCCGCAGCACTGGTGCCATGGTAGAACTCGTACTCGTAAATATACCGATATTTCATGTTTTCCATTGTGTGGTAATAAGCGACGCCAACGAAAAACATAATAAGGAAAAAACAAATGAATTTATAAATTTGAATTTGGAATTCTTAACCAAAGAGGAGATATTTCAGATCAAAGTGGTCAGTACCTACGACAAAAGGCTAATTTCATAGGTAAGGACCTAATATTTGATATGGTCTCATTAAAAACTATCAAATGATACCTAGGTATATTGTAATATTTAGATTTTTTTTTATTGACGTAAATAATTGATATTTTGACATTGTTGTTATTTAAATTTTAACAGTTTGGGTATCATATGTAACTTAGGATAGTGAAAGGATTCTAACGATACCACATATAAATCGGCTCAGCTGTTTAGCAGTTATGGCGGAATAAATTATTGTACATACGAACACGAACCCTGAATACAGACTCCACCTTTTTAGGCAGTCGTATAAAAACACACTAGATTTCATTATACAATAGAAATTTTAAATATGTTTAAGTAAGTTTCGGTTTCAGCCGAAACCGAGAGTAAGACCGAAAATTTGGTTTCGGCTGTAAAATCCCGTTTATAGTTCAGCCGTCCTGTCTTTTTTTTAAATCAGAGTATCAGACAGGATTCGAAAATGCGCCTTCCGCTAAAGTCCGTCCGCTCGGATAACAAAATAACAACAATATAAAAATGAATTATATTTAAGCAATCTGAGTTTTTAATCAAATAACAGTTATATGCTTCAAAAATAGAGAATAAATATAATAATCTGAGATTTGTCAAATAGAGAATTAATGTTTTGCACAGCTTTCACTAGTACGCCGAGGACGACGATGAAACCCGACGTCTTAAGCCTCTACAATCTGCAAGATTACTCTTGGATTCGGCCATTGTTGAACGCCAACCATGAGGTCACGCTACAAGTTAACTCCACCACCGTCACACTGCACTTAACCAAGGACAACGTAAGTTTAAGTAAAAATAATAGTTTCGCTGTCTGCTCGTCTTTCCTCCTGTTGCTGTCGGTCGGCGGTAATCAGCAAGCTGTATCACTTGTGATGATGATGATGACTAGATTGTACCTATAGCAACAATAATAGTAGCGATTTTTAACTGAGCTCGTGGCTTGTGTGAAATATACACTGTCAGGTCATAAGTATTGTCACACAGTAAAAACTTTTTATTTTAGAATACTGGCCACAAAAAAGTTTATTGAATTCGAATTTCGAATTGTTCAGGAAAATAAAAATGTATACTTTTTAGAATTTTACTCATTTTTAAATATGGAGTGGACGCTTAAAAATACCGTGTTGCAGTTATTGCGTTGCATCGTTGCGGTTACGCGCCAATTCAAATTTTTGACATACTGGAAATTTTGAATATAACCAAAAGATTCGGTTTAGTGTAGATGACAGGTCAAGAAGTGGTCGCCCTCGGTCTGTTAGGACTCCAGCAGTGATAAAAGCTGTGAAGGCGCGAATTCAAAGAAATCCCAAACGTAAGCAAAACCTGTTGGCCCTTCAGATGGGGTTAAGCAGAACCACGGTGAAAAGGGTGTTAAATGAGGACTTAGGACTTCGGTCATATCGAAGAAAAACAGGACATCGTTTGAATGCTCGTCTAATGGAACTGAGACTGAAGAGATGCCGCGCTTTGTTGAGGCGGTTCGCGGGAAAAAAATATAGGGAATTTCTTTTTTCGGATGAAAAAAGTTTTACCGTAGAAGAGAGCTACAACAAACAAAATGATAAGGTGTACGCACACAGTAGTGAAGAAGCGAGCAACCGTATTCCGCGTGTCCAACGAGGTCATTTTCTATCCTCGCTCATGGTATGGTTGGGAGTTTCTTATTGGGGCTTAACAGAGGTACATTTTTGTGAGAAAGGTGTAAAAACGAATGCAGTTGTGCATCAAAATACAGTCCGAACGAACCTTGTGGAACCTGTTTCTCATATCATGTTCAATAACAGGCACTGGGTATTCCAACAAGATTCGGCGCCAGCTCATAAAGCGAAGAGCACACAAGACCGGCTGGCGGCGCGTGAAATCGACTTCATCAGGCACGAAGACTGGCCCTCCTCCAGTCCAGATTTGAGTTCGTTAGATTACAAGATATGGCAACACTTGGAGGAAAAGGCGTGCTCAAAGCCTCATCCCAATTTGGAGTCACTCAAGACATCCTTGATTAAGGCAGCCGCCGATATTGACAGGACCTCGATATACTGCGATAGACGACTGGCCGCGCAGATTGAAGGCCTGTATTCAAATTCACGGAGGTCATTTTGAATAAACTTTATTGTCATAAGAATCTATGTTTTGTTGAGTTTATTTTGGTATATAAATGGTTACATATATCGTGAAACGTGAAAAAAACGTGGTAGGAAAGCGACGGCTACTTTCTTCTCTTTTCTGTAAAGATCGATTAATGTGTTACAGAAACTAACAGACATGATAAAATCTCAGATCGAACCACTCATGATGGAAAATATCATCATCAGCCTAAGGAAGGGCACAGGCACAGGCCTTCTCTATATGGATGGAATGGGAGGATATGATATAACGAAAACAATGCTATCATAAAAATATCGTATCTTCTTCTTTTTCTTTTTTTATGGCATGCACGGTTTGTGCGTTCAGCCAATGTCAAGTAAAAAAATATCGTATCTATAAAATACTTTTTATAAGATTTTTTTATAACAACTTCAGTAAGCAAAGACATTATTCACACACTGTTTAGTTCATGATTTTTTTTATGATAATATGATTAACGTTTGCATCCAAATTCTGGTAGAATATCTCACCATATGCACGGTCGCCGGGTCGCGGAGTCGCGTCTTGCGACAGTACTGTGCCGACGCAGCGCTCAGTATGGACCTTAATCAAGTTGCGGTTATTTGACTAAAATTTCCTTTTCTGATGAATAGGCGCCAAAGCCGGCTGATGGGTCAGACCCGCAGTGCGCGGCTGCGACTGACGGAGCACCTGGTGTGTGCGTGTACCTCACGCGCTGCGTCGCCGCGCAAACTCTTACCGCGCAGGCGTACAGCAATACCTATTGCGTTGTAAGTGACAAGTGAGTATCTTAATAATAAATAAATCGGCAGTTAGGCAAAAAGTCGGGAGTTACAACAAGAACATGTGAGGACATCGCCGCATCGCCCTATTCATTTCACCCAGCTTGAGGGCTCGATGAAATTAGGAGGGCCCTATCGACTAAACCACAGACAATACTCCTGCACCTATCACCTGATACACATCCCGAGGACCGAGGTTCCCGAAATGTGTGTCTAGAGGGCAGGTATGTCGTGGCGCCATGTTAAGATTGGCTAGGTACCCGCCTGTAAATCACCCGGCCCACCTCATATTAAATATGCGCGACCAAAGAATTTCACTTTCGAATAGTACGACGAAATGCCATTCAAATGAGTTGCCATTTTGCTAAATGTCTTTGTTCTTATAGGAATTGATGATCAGAGAGAGAGAGATCTTTCAGTGTTCTATGTTTGGTTTAGAGAGATAACGAATTGCTCCACGAAATTTATTATCACAATTTAGGAAAGGCAAATTTTTGAATACTAACTCAAAATCAATTTTTAAGAAATGAAGTTATACCTACCCTATTTTATAACATGTTGGACGTAACGTAACGATAACAATCCTTTAGAATGGTTCAGGTCATGATCATGATTGGGAATGTACATTAATGAAACTGTTTTCTTTTCAGGTACGCCGGTGTTTGCTGTCCAAAATCGAGTGTAGACGTTACAAAATCACCCTGAGTGGCGTAGCTGTTTTTGTTTTAATTGTTAAAGACAGTTATTTTATAAGTGACTGATTCTAATAAACGTTGTGACTAAAATGTGATAGGAACTGACTTTTGTATGGTGCTAAATAAAACTCGATGTAAAGTGAAATTGATGAATTAAATGGGACGATCATATAATTTTGCTGCGTGAAAATATTTTTATACTAAAATAAATGTCATTACATGATTTTCGTTTTTTTAGTATGAATCTATATATTTCAATAATAAAATTCAAGGAAAGTTAGTATATGCGCGTTATTGAAGTGAAACTTCTTTACGCCCGCTTATTTTGGGGGGAAAGCTGGTGAATGCGCTACGCGTTACGAAAAGTGTGTTCGGGCGAGGCGAACGGAAGCTGAGTGGGGGATATGAGCAAGAGAAAGCAGTGTGCGCACACATTTTTTTTCTCTCTTTCCCCTATGTACTACCTACTAGTTATAGTATATGAAATATGTATATGTACATCCATGTATATATTGTACACAGTACACACAGATTTATACATACAGAAGGAGCTAAAGAAGTTTCACTTCAGTCGTGTGGTCATAAGCACACTCGTTTATTATCAGTCGAAAATATCGGTTGCGTCATTGCGATAATTCGTCCTACAGTCCTACTTCTTTTGCGTCGTTATTATTATCGCAGTAGCGTGTAACTTCGTACCTGTGTGCTAATACATAATGTACTGAAAACAGATATCGCAATAACGCGTCTGATAATAACGACCGATAAAAAGCACCTATAGGGGAGGCTTAAATGATCCGGCTCGAAGGACCAATCTACGTGCAACTCGTACAGTTTGTCTATAAAGTCGTGACATGAATGTTTTTTTTTTTGAGTGTGTATGCTGTTGGTCGCAGATGACCTTTACAGCGTCACCGGGTTTGGGGACGGCGAGATCCTAAGGGGACCCCAAGCCGAGAATTGGCGAGTGCCTCTGGAGGTATTCCAGTCGGATGGCGTCTCCCTATGGGGGGAGTCTCCTCTCCGTCTGGAGCCTCCAGACCACTCGAACCTGAGGGGGGTCGGCTCAACTAGAGGGCGTCTCTGAGACTCGGACCTCGGCTCTAGTTAGCCGTTGTCGTGGGGGGAGGGGGGGGGGGGGGCGTGTCGTGTGTAGACCGGGTCTTCGCACTCTTATCCTACGGGTGCGGTGTCTGCCTAATGCTAAGCTAGTGTGCACGTTTGCTAGCTGTGTAGTGTTGGTGTTTGTGGCCTGTGTGGGAGGAATCGGAGGCGCGTTGGCGCGTGTGATTTCGTCGTCGAGGTAGTCTAAGACGTGCCTAGGCCGACGGAATCGGAGGGAAACATGAATGTTTGAGGAACTAACATTATTCATGTGTCTGGCAACACCAAACTTATGTACATCAGCTGTCATCGAGTTTCAGTTGTGGAACAGTTTTCCTTTTGTATTTTTTATTGTTTGGATTAAACTGTAATAAATTAAGACGAAACTACGCAGAAAGGCATAAAAATGAGTAAAGTAAATCGGAGTGGCACGCGAGAAGTGATTTTTAAAGTTTTCCAGCTATGTTTCGAAGATTACCAAGCTGGACGAATTTTGTGGGATTTGGACGATGTTTATGGGCGAACAGCATCTATGACGGATATGTAATCTTGTAACTATTTGTTTGTAATCTGCCTGAAGTTACAAATTTACTCAATTTACGATTTTGAGACAAAAAAAGGCATTGTTTACATTGCACATTTTTAGGTTAGATTGACATTGTAAATAGGTAATATTGTAGTACGACCATTTCTTTTGATACTTTATTATGGTTCAACTTGGTCAGGTTTTCTACCAATTTTGAATTAATTGCTAAGATACCTAATACTTGTGTGTATTGATGATTACCTAACGGCTCTGGTCTCAATGGCACCTCAGCGGTAATCATCGACATTACACACTTTTACACTATAAAGTACTATTTTATCTATATAATTTTGTTCTGATTCAATTAAATATGCTTGGCTAAACTTTTTATAAGCATAGGTACCTACTATATATAAAACAGAAACAAAATACGACTGTATAGTGTGTCTTATTAATTACCTATTTTACTTGAATGAACTGCTAGTATCAAAATCATTTTGGTCCGACTGTACTGTGTGTATTCGCTCTGTGCACGATTACAGCGCCAACTAGCGTCCACAACTTTGTAGGCTCTGTCACATTAACATTTAGGTCGTATATTTGTGAAAAAATATTGAAATGAAAAAATAACAAATATTTTCGACTGATAAATTGTTGTGATACCACGATTTGGGTGGAAAGAAGGTTTTGAAATCATTTTGGTCATTCAAATCAAATGAGGTAAGTCCAAAAAGTGTGTTTAATTTTGATTGTGTCAGGGTTTGTTTACTTCATTTATAGTTATAGTTTTACAGTAAAACAAAAAGAAAAAGCTACTTTAATAGTTTCATTATATAACAGCAAATATATTGAAATGTTCCTGTATCGCTAGTAATAAATTAAATATCGTTTTCAGATCGAAATGAGTATTGTTTTGAAGACCGGGTTTGTGAGTGTTACTGTGTTACTCACAATAAACGAATACAGGTTGATTCACTGTACACAGACTTCGCTAAGGCATTCGATAAGGTGGATCACAAAATATTGATTCGTAAAGCATACCACCTCGGCATACACGGCTCGCTTCTGCGTTGGCTGACTTCATACTTAAGTAATCGAACTCAAATCGTCAAAGTGTACGGATATGAATCTGTACCGTTCACACTTAGATCCGGTGTACCACAGGGATCCAACCTTGAACCTGTTGTTTGTGTTGTTTATCAACGATTTGGTTAACTTGATTTCAGGCAGTTGCCTTGCCTATGCCGATGACATAAAAATTTACAGAGAAATAAGATCTAAGGATGATTGTGACACATTGCAAAGTGACATCAACCGTTTGTACAACTGGTGTTTAAACAACAACATGACGCTAAATATATCAAAATGTGCTGTTATATCTTTTACGAAAAATAAACGACCTATACACAACACTTACATTATCGATGATAAACCATTGAGCAGACTCGACGTTGTTAGGGATCTCGGGATACTACTGGACAGCAAACTATCGTTCACTAGACACTCAGACTATATTGTTTCAAAAGCTAATAAGCTCATGGGATTCATATTTAGAATAACAAAACCTTTTAGAAGACCTTCGAGTATACTAACCCTTTATTTCGCACTGATTAGAAGTACACTCGAATCTTGTTCAGTGGTATGGTTGCCATTCTACAACATCCACATAGATAGAATAGAGGCTATTCAAAGGCGATTTCTTCGATATTTAAGCGCCGAGTTCGGTATGAGGCGTAAGTTGGGCATATACGAGGCTAGGCTTGAATATTTTAATATGAGCACCCTTCAATCCAGGCGAGACATAGCGAATTTATCGACACTTTACAAAATTGTAAACTCTGTTTGGGACGTGGAGGATCTGTTGAGCCGTTTTTCATTCAAAGTGGGAGGAAGTAAAAGGTCGCAGAAACTTTTTTCCGTACCAACTTGTAGTAATAATGTTACCTACAATGACCCATTATATAGAATGAGCAGAGCCCTTAATGAAATAGCCAAAGACGTGGAATTCTTTGCCATTTCCCTCCTCCTACTTACGAATATGCAGGAGCAAATTGTAATTAAATTGATTTTTATTATTATTTATAATTCTTGATTAGTACATACATATTTAATTATTTCTTTTTTTAATTGTAATTGCATATTTAATTATTATAATAATTATTTTTTTCATATTTGAGAGCTAAAATTAAGCAAATATCGTGTTCAGCATCAATTGGGGTGCAAGTTTATGTAATACAATAATTTTGTATAATAATATGTAACTTATAATTTGTACTCTGTCGCTATACCATAAATAAATAAATAAAAAAAAATATATATCAAATTCCAACCACAAACCGTATTTAAAGGAAAGTTGTTGGTAAAGAGCTGGACATGTCCGAGATGTAGAAGAATTAAGAACAAAACAAGGGCAGAGTTCAATAATTCACGCTCTCATCATAAGGCAAACATCTATTACCTTACAAAACGGTTTTAAACGTGAGTAATTATTTCCGTTGGAACTTAATACTAGTTTGATCGAGTTTTTATAGACGTAATATTCAAATATTAATTTGATTGCAGGTGAATACAGCACGAGTAGTTAACTAATTAATGATATTAAAATGTATTAAGTAGAATCGCTTTGCCATTGACAGATACATCTGATGACAGAGCCTACATTATTTCTACTTTTGACTACCATATACGCTATCTTCGTCTCGCGCGTCGCCGGCGCCGGAGGCGCCGCGGCGTGCGGGGAGACTGATCTGGCCGGGCCGGTTGGCCCACTGCAGTGGTGTCTGTGTCGCACTCCGTCATCGGGACGGAGCGGTCGTCGGGGTCCGTCCTCCTCACTCTTCACGCACCGCCCTCGGCGCGGTAAAGCCCACCGGGTGAGACCCTTGAGGGAGGCCCAGTGAGCGGGCGGCGGACTAGGGTGAGGAAGGATAGGACACCAGTGTAGGTTAGGTTGTTATCGTGGTTAGTTGATAGTCAGGGTGGGTGGCCCGCTCATAACATATTTATACCTGTTTTTTTTTTGTATGCATCTTTTTTTATATATATATATATATATATTTTTTCGTCGTCAGTCTGGTGGTTTTGTGTGTTCGTCTTGCGGCGGTAGAATTTCTCTCGGGTGCTCGGCTGGTGCGATGTTGCGCAGATGCGCATGCACCGAGTAGTCCGCTCTCCCAAACATGCCGGTGGCTAACTTTGAAACAAAGTTATTTAAAGTTTCAATTTTGAGGTCTCTGTGCAGTGTTGCGTTCCTAACAAAGTGGCCCGCGTTTGTTATTAAGCGTAGTGTGTGGTTTTGCTGGGCGTTTAGGCGTTTTCACTGACCGTCCGCTACCAGCGCATACCACGCGGGCGCTGCGTAAGTCAAGATGGGCCTTATGTACAGCTTATAGATGTTCACTCTTATGCGTAGTGGGATAGAGCTGCGAAGTACTGGTTGGAGCATTGCTCTGGCGGCTTTCGCTCTTGCGATGGTGTTATTTACGTGTGCTGTCATATTTAACTTCGAGTCAATCGTTATCCCGAGGTATTTAGACTGATGTATCCACGGGATAGTCTCGTCGTTAATGCGTAGTGGCGGCGGTTGTATGCGGTGGTGTCCTATCACCATCGCTTGCGTTTTGGCGACGTTGATGGTTAATCGCCACTTGTTAAGTCACGGGATCAAGGCGTCCAGCGTCGGCTGCATTTTTTCCGCAGCGTGACGCGGGCGGATGGAGGCGGTAGTGTAGGCGGTATCGTCGGCATACAGGGCCAACTTCGTCTCGCCCAGCACTGGGATGTCATCTGTGTAAACTGTGTATAGGGTAGGGGATAAACAGCTACCCTGTGGTACTCCTGCTAGTATAGGGCGCGTTGACTTTGACCACCATGAGCGCTGCGATAGATTATGTTACCCCCACCTAGTACTTCGCAGCCAGCGAAAAGGGTTGCTACATGCATACTAGTGGCGCCATCATTTAGTATCATCAGGAAAGCAACCTTAATGTCACGACTTTATAGACAAAGGTAGCTTTCCAATTACAGCATTATAGTGCATTATGCGGCATAATGCTTACCGTTGAGTGTTCCAACTACAAAAACGCTTCGCACAATTGAGCACTCTCAAAAGTAATGCTTTCGTGTGATGCGTGCAATCGTACCAAGTCAGAGAAAGAAAATTAACAAGTGTTTTTTCTTTAAGTTGGCATTGATCGAAATGTTTTATTTATATGTTATCGTTAGTAATATTATTTATTGTTGAAAAATTATTAAAACTTTCGTTTCATCATAGTTTTTTTTAAATAATCAAAGTTAATTGAAACTGTGTTAAAAATTAAATATAAATATGGATGAAGGTACAAACATTGACTTTTTTTTTCAACACTGAACTTAGCGCACTCTACTGGTGCATTTGAAAACTAATTCACGTTCCAATTAAGCATCAGCATAATTCGCATTGTGCGCCACTGAGTCGCATTATGCTCTGTAATTGGAAAACCACCAAACTGTATTGATGGTGGACCATGGAGCAAAAACAACTGAGACTGGTGTCGATTCTGGCGTGATTCTCTAAACTTAAAACTAAATTTAACATCAGTCTTTCCCTTTCATTCTGTATAGAAAATGACAAAGATGCACTGTTGTCAAATTTAAGTTTAGCTTTAGAGATTCATGTCAGAATCGACACCACTGAGTACCATTAAGCCAGCCGCATATTAATTGAAATTGTGTCGGACGTTCACTGGTACATATCATGCATTCTCTACTAACTAATTTTTTGATTTATAAAATAATAAAATAATTTTAAAATAATCCGACCGTTTGTTTATGCTAGCCATCCTATGTCTATGATTTAACATCGCTACACACAAGTATAGTTCCAACCATACTAAATGTATGAAACCGATCAATGTCAGATCCCTTCAAAACACAACACGTAAGATAAATACAGTTCTGCCTATAACGTAGCATAATGCTGGCAGTCAACTAGCTATTCGGGTTTCTTATATGTTAAATAGACATCCAGTCTGTCCTCTTCATTTCAAGTAAGATAACACATGTAAGGACAGACTTTGACAAAACAAATGCAAATACGAATAGCCAAGTAAAGTGCCGGCATAATGTGTAAATAAATAATGACAGGAAATGTCAAACATTAAGTTCAATTTTGTGTGTTAATCTGAATACTTTACTTCTCCCATTAAAATTTGGCAAAAGGTATGGTAAATTTAGTTGATACGCTTATGATAAATACGGTGGCGGATGGAGCTATGAATTTATTACGCAATATCGTAAGTCAAAAATTTTGCCTATTATTTATCCTCGTTGTCCTTTGAAAGTATTTTCATTTATGTACAACAAATTGAAGTATCATTACTTAAAAGAACTTGAAAACAATAAAAATCTCAATCTTCTTCTACAGGGTGTATTTAAATCGCAACAACCAGCACCACCTGCGGCAGCACCCATTATCATCAAAATGCCTCTTTGGGAACTAGCACAGGCAGCCGGGCCCTTCGTAAGGCTTGCTGGCTTAAGCGGTGCGAGTGCCGTAGTGCTAGGAGCTATGGGTGCTCATCGAACATTCCCAGAGACTGAAAATAAAGAAGATCTCAAGAAAATCTTTGAAACATCGAATAGATTTCATTTCCTCCATACTCTTGCTTTGATGTCTGTACCTCTGTGCAGAAGGCCTTATATTGTGAGTAAAACGGATAAATATAATCTCCATTATAAGCTTTTTCTGTCTATTTGATTGGTAGATCGTCTTTCTAAAATTCTGATAAACTTTTTGCTATTAAAACAATTTGTTAAGACTACTTCAAAACCTGTTTTACTCATTTGTTGACTTGATGGTTGGTGACCTTGACCAATGAAATTTAATAAAAAACATGTTTGTGTGATTTTTTTATTGTGTACAGGCTGGGGCTTTCTTTGTGGCAGGAATGGGTTTATTCTGCGGCACATGCTACTACCATGCATTCACTGGTGATCGCTGCTTTCGTCGTCTGACACCCATAGGAGGCTCATGCCTCATTTTAGGCTGGCTAGCAATGGTACTGTAAGATTGTAGAATCAGGGACATTATTTTTAAAGTGTTCATGTGTTAGTGAATAAAATATACTCTGTGTAGTATTAGGATTATAATTTTATCTTATTTGTTATATTTATAATAGACCATTGCATAATAAGTTGAAAATACATATTTGATTGTAATATTTAGATGTTACAAACATGTTTATCATAGATAATGATATTGACAAGGCATTCTTTTAAATGTATCCTGAATAATATAACATTATATTGTTTATTTTGTTTTTCATTGTTTGATAAATTCATAACTCATTTTCATTACTTACTAGTGTTGTAAATGTGTTATTAACTAGCAACTTGTATAAATTATATTATTATAAATGTAATGTTGCATATATTTTTTTCTATTATAACATCGTAACTGATACAATAGGGATGATGATGGGGTAAATTTTATTTATTCCATCTGTTAGATCATCAAAAAATAATGAATCCATATTTTTTCTTTTCAATCAACCAACAAAAAGCATCAAAGTTTAGGAGTGAGGGCTTGTGAGGTCACTTGCAAGTCAAGATTATACCAAGACATTTCCAATTAATATATATCTCTGTAATGTTTTGATTATGAGAATAAAGAAAAAATATGTGTCTAATACTTTTTTACATAACTACCTAAAAAGTATATTGTTTTCAGGGTTCATGAATGTATGTACAATAAGGATGATGACTAATTTTTTTTTCTTTGTTAATCAGGTAGATTATCAAAAAGTAATGGACACGTATTTTTTTTTTCACATAATATAATCATTGCAGAGATATATTGATTTGAAAAGTCGCATAATGTCACATTTTGGTACAATTTTCACTTAAAAGTGACGTCACGAGCCCCTACTCCCAAACATTGACGCGCTATAACTTTGTCATTTTTTGGTTGATTACCCAAAGAAAAAATACGTGTCCATTATTTTTTGACCACCTAACTGACGGACTAAATAGAATTTCGTTTACTGTATCCCGTCATCACCCCTATTCTTTATTCCACCATAACTTCTAAACGCCTGGGCCGAATTAGATGCGTGTGGCGTCACAGACAAGAGGTTAATGATGTATTAAATTAAATATAATATGTTGTATCTAGCACCCACCAGCTAGAGGCTGTGAAAGTTTACGCTCATAGTATGGTATATTATACTAGCGCAGAGTTGAAGCATACCAAAGTGAATTTCAAAAACTTAACAAAAAGCAAATTCACCATTATCTCTGCAAGAATTGTACATACATACATAAAACCTGAAAAAATACACTTTTTTGGGCAGATGTGTAAAAAGTATAAGACACATTTTTTCAATTGTTCTTAACATCCAGATAACCACTACTCTCCATACGCGTCGTGCAGTCTGCATAAAAAGCACAGCTGGTTGCACTAATTTATCAAATTGTTTACTTGTCAACCTCTGTAGTAACCCCTTAAACAGGTTGATTGGTGACAGATAATAGTTTCACACACTTTGTCTTTATTCAACAGGTGGATTGTGAATATTGGTTGGATGCAATGATGGTCTTGGCGACATCAGTTTTGCCATTATAAATTCGGGACATAAGAATGATAAAAAAACACTAGATTGATCAATATTGTTTACATGGTTTTATTGAAATTGTTACATATTAAATTTTGCACTTTTTCTTTACTCATTAATCATACTTAAAGTTACTCAAAACATACACCGTTTGGTAATAAATGCTATCGAAGTTCATTGGACTACATTTTCTGTGGTCCATCAAACAGCTCGCATAATAATAATATATATTTAATGTATATCATGTACCTAAACAGAAGTGACGGTAGGGGTCGTTGGACACGAACTCCAGAGCGGCCGGTCGCACATCGACAATATATATAATATACTCTATTACACCATCGCGAGAGTACGTTCTCTCTTTATATTTATAAAGTAATATACAAAGCTATCACATTAAATTAACACAAAATAATTATTAACATAATATAATGTAATCTAAAATAATCCAAATGAGAAACGAAAATATATAGAACGCACAGCACTTTCGAGCGTCCGTCACGTTGAGGGGAAGGGGGGGGGGGATCACTCCAATTGCACATAGACGGTGTGGTGACGCGCCAGTCGCGCGATAACTACATATATCACTAACCGCATTCACACGTGTGGGGGATGAGTGGGAAAGGGAGGGGGTGGTAGGGGGGCGGGGTATTCAGGAGAGGTGGAAGGAGTGCTGCCCCTCGGAGGCGGCGAGCCGCAGTTTGGCGCGCATGACGTCGGCACTGCTGTAGTCGGGCAGCTTCAGGTAGTTGACGCACGTCATCACCGACGGCAGGTACTCGTCCGGGTCCAGTGAGGACTCGAGCGACTTGCGCACCACCGTCAGTGGCGGGTTCAATGCCTTGAAGCCTGAATGGAAACACATCATCAATCAAAGTGACACAGTCAAGTACAGAACACACTGGGTGTATTCCGAAATATACACTGGTACGCTGGCCAGCGGTAATGACGTCATGAATCGACGCCATGCTATTGATTCCTTCGAAATACACTGATCAGCGCGGTGACGTCATGAACTGGCGCTATATTCTAGCAGTCTCGTGTTTGTGTGCAACACTCATGCTCCAAAAATTATAATAAATTTTAAACTACAATTTTAACTGTGATTATTTGAAACAATGGAAGTGATAGCTATTACGACAATATCTCGTTTTGTTGTTGAAACACAATTCGACTCATCTAGTTGATAGTGACGATGATAATGAGATACTGCTCGCTTTTTATCAAAATGAAGAGGAAGAAATTATTATTATATTAATATTATAATACTAAACAACACTTCACTAACTGCAGAGCGTATACACCCGGCTAATAAATAATATCGTCACAGTATTCTCACCAGCATAATATGGCGGCACACCAATCCAATATGGCGTCGAAATCATGACGTCATTACCGCGGGCCAGCGTACTGGTGTATATTTCGGAATACACCCACTAGCTCAACTTTTTAGAGTACCTACAGAGGCATAAGCAAAATTTTTTGACAGCTCCGTAACATATTGCATCGTTTGTGCTTAGGCCTCCGATAATATGCGAGAGAAACATGATGTAATACCAGTAAAAAAAACTACGCCAATACATCTACAGTACAGTCGTTAGCACCCACTAAACCGCACTGGGCCCGTGTGGTAAATAATGGCAGGCCTTTGTTCCAGCAGTAGGGACATTAATAAGCTGATGATGATGAACAAGCTGGTCAATATAGTGAATTATAATACACTAAATATATTATAGTACACATTGCTAATTAAAGCTTTGCTCAAATAAAGGTTTTCATCACTATAATATAAATAGTTTTGCCAGGTTGAACCCATCTCAAATTTCTATTACAAAATTAGAAATGTGACTTATCACTACAAAAAATAGTTACCTATCGCTCATCCAATTGAGATGTATCATCGACTACACAGCCCCTAGTTAGATACCTAACGTTATTATATTTTCGGTACTAAATGCATTCTGGCAACTGCTGTGCCTTGATTGGCTAATACAAGGTTATATGTTAGTAAATTATATGATGATGGTACACGGAGTTATTTCGACTTTTTTCACATTTTTTGGCTTCCTAACTCTTCACCAGGTCATCAGGTCACGAAAGTGGACGACCGACACTGATTAAATATTTCCCTGCTCGATTAGGCCAGATGTGTTGTCAGGTATACTTGTCTATCATTATTATGCGTCTAGGGAAGGGATGGGCAAACTTTTCTGCTATCGTGCTAATATTTACTATCAGCATTTATGGCGGGCCAAGTTTTTGCTCAGGCCATTCACGATTTGCGCGCGTTAATAAATATTTGTACATTAAATCAAATCTTAATATAGCAGAGTAACGAATGCCTCTCACCTTGTAGCACAGAAGCAGGCAAACTCAGGGGTGTATTCACCCCTGAGTTAGCTGCGAAGTAAATAAGTAGGTACTAAATTCTGCAGCAGGTTGCATCTACAATCGTTAGCACCCGCCAATCCGCACTGCGCCCGCGTGGTGGGTCACGGCCCAATCTCCCTATTCCATCCATAGGGAAGGCCTGCCCCAGCAGTGGGGACATAAAGAGGCTAATGATGATGATGATGAAGTTCTGCAGTTGGGTGTTCCTTGGCGGAAAATGTAAAAAAAAGTACTTGTTTGAAGTGAAACTTCTTTAGGCACGCTTGACTTAGGGGGTAAACTAGCGAATGTGTGACGATTTTTGCGGTACGCGCGCAGCCGCGACTAATGAGTAAACAATGAACTATACCCGTCACAAAATACGTGAATGTAATGCTTGCTGGGTGATAATGGACCCAGGGGGTATTGGTGGGTGATAACGGACCATTTCCGGATTGGTGGGTGACAATGGACCCAGTGCGGATTGGTGGGTGATAACGGACCCAGTGCGGAATGGTGACCCAGCGCGGATTGGTGGGTCATAACGGACCCAGCGCGGATTGGTGTTTTTTTTTGCTATCAACAAATCTTCAAGTTAAGTTTATGATTTTCAGACCATTGGAGCTAAAGAAGTTTCACTTCAGTCGTGTGGTCATTAGCGCATTCGCTTTTTTTTGTGTAGAGAACCTTCGATTTTTGTTTGATGGCTCGCGGACCGTACTTTGCCCATTCTTGGTGTATGGGCGGTGTAATCGGTGGGACGTATCAATGACTCACCGCCAGTGGGCAGGCGCGGGCTGCCGGTCACGAACTGCAGGAACAGGCGTTGCTCGTCGCGCGAGTAGGACGCGAGGATGTCGATCAGCATGCGGATTGCGCGCGACTCCGCCGTGTACCCGTGATCGGGCCGGATGCATTCGGCCAGCATGCGCGGTTCCCAACGCTGCTCACGACCACCTGGACACATATAATAAATGATTATAAATAAATATTATACTCAAACCAATTAGCCTAGCCCCAAAGTAAGCACTGTAAGACTTGTGTTATGGGATACTAGGGTAACGGATAGAATACATATACAGTACATATATAAGTATATTTACATATAAATACATATTTAAACATCCATGACTAGAGTACAAATGCTCGTATTCATCAGACAAACATCTGCCCCCACCGGGATTCGAGCCCGGGACCACTCGAGTCGGCGACACCATGAAACCCGACGTACAAACCACTCGAATTTGATCATGTTCCACTAAGCACCATATTGGTGTCGATATTGGCACGATTCTCTAAACTTAAAACTAAATTTAACATCAGTCTCTCCTTTTCTCTCAGTATAGAGAATGACAAGGATATACGAGGTAATGAAATATAATCCTACATAATATTTTAAATGTGAAAGTGTCTATATTTGTTGCTCAATCACGCAAAAACTACTTAAACGGATTTGAATGAAATTTGATACGTAAATTCGTTTATGTTTATGACCTGGATGGAATATAGGATATTTTTATTGCCTAAAAATGCTAGGTTCTTGTGGGATTCTCAAAATACTATAATCTTAAAGTCGAGGATTCCTTAAGAGATAGGTTTAAAGAATTTGGTATAATGACGGTCGCATCCCAATACATTTACGAAAATTTATTACTTGTAAGAGAAAATATTAATTTGTTTCTTAAAAACAGTGATGTTCACACCCTTAATACAAGAAACAAAAATAAACTAACTTTACCTGCTACTAGGCTTCACAAAATCAATAATTCATTTAAAGGTCTTTGAGTTCGCTTATACAATAAAGTCCCAAGCAATATCCCAAGAGTTAAGCATAAATAAATCCAAAGATAATATAAAAAAAGCACTTATTAAAAAAGCTTATTACAAAGTATCTGATTATATGACAGACAAAAATGCTTGGGTTTGAACTGTTCCAATCATTCCAACAGGTTTTCTATATTAAAAAAATCATGATTGTATTGACGTTGTAACAACATAATGATTTGTTAATGTTGTTACATTATGCTTTTAATGTTGTGGAGTTTTTTTCGCTAGTTTTTCTCCGCAGCTAAAAAATATGTAAATAACGAGTGGTAGGGAAAAAAAATGTTTGGACGATTCAAAAGTGTTGTACTATACATCCAATTTGAATAAAGATATATTTATTTCTGATTTCTGACTCAAGTAAACGCGCCCAAAGTCGTGAGCGGCCGCTTATAAGTTAATAAATGAGCACAACTAAAAGTTAAATTACAAAATTGTCATTTTTAAGAATTTAGAATTTCATGATATCTATTGACTAAGCTATCAAAGCTTGTTACCAAATCTCTAGTGATAGCACGTTTTTAAAACTCACCTGATGGGCTTCCACAGAATACTTGTTCTAGTTCCTCAGGGTAAAATATTTTGAGATTGGTCAGAGGGAAGACTGATTCAAATCCTTCTCTGAATGCTTCCATTTGTTTACTCACACCTGTAAGAAAAACATAGATAATATTACAAACTAGTTGCATTTATGTTATCATAACTGTGTAATCAGTGTAAATTTTTAAAATACATGTTTTATTTATTTTTTACAATCATTGCCACAATATGAAAGCATAACATGATAAAGGAAAACATCACTACTCTGCAGTGGAGAAACTGCGGCACCGCTAATGGGTAAGCTCTCTATTAGAGCTATAACAATAATTGTTTTTATTTTATATCAGTCTCATTTTCTCTATGGGCAATGTATATTGGTCCTTTGAGCAGGATTTTTTTATTTTTTTATTCAGGTACCTATTAATTATTATTTTACGACTCAGAAAGGAACAGGCATTACTCACACGAAGAATAAATGCATGAAATCTTATTTAAATAATAAAGAAAAATATGTCACCTTCATATAACAGCCAGTGCGTAACGAGATCTATGTAGTTGTGTAGGTTATGTGCAGTGACGGGCAAGTCGCGCCCGCCGCGCCTCAATTCTGTGCATCCATCTCCGGGTAGGATGAAGTCCAGACCCAACTCCTCTATGGGGCAGCCGTCCAGTTCCAATGCACTTATCTGTACAGACATTTAGGGTTTTTATTAAAATTATACTAATTTATCAGATGAAGTAGCTCGAGCAACTAGACATAGAAATATGACTAATTTTTAGTGATATAAAAAACATATTTGAGGATGATATGACACTAAATTTCTTCGGGCAAACTCATTAGACTGCAATCTGCTTACATTAACGTTCAGTGCGACAAGGATCTTAGTGAATTTGGCGAAAATTGGAAATAAAGTCGCCGTCTTTGTAAACGTCACATTTTTTATGTCATTTACGTAGAGAGTGGCGCACTCCCTGAACTGTTACTCACATTCATGAAGATCTTTGTCGCACTGTATAATGATTCTGCATCCCCAAGATCTCTAATGGAAGTAACTGTATCGTTTCGATTTTCTGGTTTTCCGAGCATCACCAGCGTCGGCCACGCGACGCAGGCGGCACAGCGAGCGCCACAGCTCGGCGTTGCTCAGGCTGCGGTGGGCGGGGGCGGGTCGGGTATATATACGCACCAGCTGCGAGCGCTAGTCGGACGTGTGGCGCGCGCGCTTGGCCACGCGACGCAGGCGGCACAGCCAGCGCTACAGCTCGGCGTTGCTCAGGCTGCAGGGGGCGGGGGCGGGGCGGTTATATATACGCACCAGCTGCGAGCGCTGGTCGGACGTGTGGCGCGGGTCGGCGGCGATGCGACGCGCGCGCTCGGCCACGCGGCACAGCGAGCGCTACAGCTCGGCGTTGCTCAGGCTGCGGGGGGCGGGGGCGGGGCGGTTATGATTATATATACGCACCATCTGCGAGCGCTGGTCGGACGTGTGGCGCGGGTCCACAGCGATGCGACGCGCGCGCTCGGCCACGCGGCGCAGGCGGCACAGCGAGCGCCACAGCTCGGGCGCGACGTGGCGCACGTCGCTAAGGCTCAGCCAGCGTTGCTCCATCACCACCCAGCGGTACATCGACACCGACAGCGGGATGTCCACCTAAGGGAATATTTACATACACAACATCAACACGGAATATTAAATACATTTGATACGTTCACAAATATTGGTGAACTATGCCGGCAACAGTTGGGAAAAAGGATTGAATGGACATGCTTAAAGCACCACAGAAAAAAAGACTTATTTTGCCTGTATGACACAATTCTAAAAACTATTATTTACTACTACTATATTTCCACAAGCAAGGTTCTGAATGTTATGCTACCACTGCACATGACCAATTTACTATTTGTACAATTGATAACAATATCCTCATCATGATCTGTAGGAAATGAGAAGGAGAGCCTGGTGTCAAGTTAACAAAAAGGAAACACGAATATTTATTAGAGATGCCAGCATTAAATGTCTATATCGACAAATATCTGTTATCAAATATCTTTACTAAGTCATGTAAACATTAAAAAAGTCATAGAAACAAACAGCTCACCATTCTCGAATCCATGACAGCCTTCGCCATAAACTTGCCGAGGAAGCGGAACTTGGCTTTGACGCGGGACAAATGCGAAGCGCGTGCATTTCTGCCGATAGCCTGCGGGAACAATCCGCACGGCCACGAAACGTAAGTGGCGTCGGGCGCGGGCGACGGAATCAACGTCTCCTTCTCCAAATCTGACGGTTCCGGGGCGCGATCTTCGTCTAAACTCAACGCGTCACGTACAGAAGACGCGAGTCTCGCAGCCGCATCCGAAGACCTGTCAGTCACAACGGGCGGTTGGCTCTTGACAATCTCCCCGCCAAAGGAAGGTTTCTGTTTGAAGTTCTCGCTACCGTGCCAAACGTCTAGATCAGCGCGCTGCAGCTCCTGCGAGACTAGCGCGTAGAATTCGAGCGTAGGTCCGAGGCCGGTGCCGACTTCGTTCTCGTATTGTATTTCTAGGAGGGCCTTGGAGTGCGCGAACTCGTGCATGACGTGTTCCGCTTGCCTCAAGACGTTGTGTCGCTGCACTGTCCGTTTGCGTCGGTCGAGTCTCGGGGCTACTCTCTCGCTGTCAGCGCCTGCACCGGCGCCGGCCGCGCCTCGTTCCCCGCCCGCTTCTAGGAGGCGTTGTAACGCGCGGTCGCGGTCAAACGATACCACGTAGAACAGCAAGTGCCGGCACTCGAACGGGAACACGAACGGACTGCGAATGAACATTAAGGATAATCTTATAAAGTGTTCATTGAGAGTGCTAGTCAAATGAAATTGTTATTAGACCAAATAAGGTAAAAATTGGAATAAGCCTTTGTTGTCTTGAATCTTTATACTCACCAGGCATACGCTATTTTCTTCAACCATGGAGGTAGATTCCCAGTCATTATTACAAGAGGGTCTTGCAATTGTCGATTCGCTTTGGCAGCCAACTGAAATAAACATATCATTTACAATACATGACATTACGATCATTCTTTATACGCATAGTAAATAGATTAAGAAAACCTTTCAGGGAAATGCCAATATTACAGGAAAACACAAAGCGATTGTGCAGTTATTTAGTTGTTAGCATTACCTATACGTATTATTTGAAGCACGATCCCTTCGTCTCTCTTACTCTTATATGCCCATTTAAACTTTACAGTTGGACAAGTAACTCCCTGTTTAGAGTGTCCGTTCTGCGATCGTGAAAATCAAGCCATTTTTTGCCATGGAATGAATTGCAAAAGACGGGTGACCAGAATGTACTATTCCGAGCACCTCGGTGTTTCTGACCGCCCCATCTCCCTTTTCCATCCATATGGAAGACTTGTGCCCCATCAATGAGGACAGCAATAGGCTGATAATGACGATAATTACCTTGGCGTTGATAAAGTCGGCATTGGGTACAAGCGGGCGCTGGTCGGGCAGACACACGGCGCGGTACAGTGTGTGCCAGTGACGCGCCAGTGCGTGCAGCGCGCGCAAAACGCCCAGTGCCGGCAGCGACGCGTCCTTTATATCCGCGCCACCACCCCCACCACTTCCTCCACCCAGGAGCGGTGACCGAAGCATTACTACTAACGGCGACTCACGCGAAGGTACTACACCCTCTGCGGAAATAAGATTAAGCGTCTTGTTAACCACCGATGTACCGGACACAACATTTTATCAAGTAGTTTTACTCCAGAGAATCTGTATTGAAACTTTCGTGATCAGAATATTGATCCTGCCACAATAAGTACTACAAAAATGGGACACTTGAAAATGTTTCCGTTACATTACATAGATAGAATACAGCACATTATGATAAATTAAAATGTGATTGCAACACATACCATTCCAAAGCAAATCCGGTTTCCGTCTTGAAGACAATTTAGTGGGTTGCCCCTTGCCTTTCCGTGAAGCGGTAGTATCCGAGCGCGGCTGTTCGCCGGCCTCCACCGCGCGGTAGTAGATCGTGTGCGTTTGGATCCAAATGCCAGCATTTGCTAGAGAATCACACAAAGCAGTTACATTACGAATAAGGTTTCATTTCATGCTACAAAGCAACTTCTGTGCATCCTAAGTAGTCCTATATTGAATACTATATGTTAGGCTACGAGTGTTCCGTTCACATTTAATATTCTAAAAACTTTTTAAACAAAAAACAGCTGCTTTAATGCCCACTTTCACCAAACGTTTTGACATTTTTATATGGGATAGGTTGTAGCAATATAATTTTATAATATTAAGTTGTAGAAATATTACTAATCAAAGCGCCATCTATCACCATACGTATTCATCATCGAATAATGTAATTGGTTTTAAAGAAGCACAGAATATATTATGAATAAAAAAAATTGATAGTTGCATTTGAAAGATGAGATAGATGGAGTTGTATTTAATAGTGTTAAATAAAAATACACGCATTGATTGCGTGATTAGCTATTGTTCAGGAAGCAGTTTCTTGGTGGGAGATGGGCGGAGCCGTACTAACCGGTCCTGTCGTTTCCTCGCACCAAATATGGTGATTTGAGAGAAATTTGCTGGGACGCCGTTCACGTGATCCTATGCCACTATAAATAGCTTTGCGCAGACGGTTTCACTCTCTTTTGTCTGCGAACCGAACACTTGAACATCTAGTAAATTGCACAGTGACTGGAAATTATAGTCAGTGCATAATTAATTAATATATTTTCCCCGGATTAACGGGTAAGTCCAATATATCTAACTGGTTAGGCTGTAGGTCAAGTTAGGTTTTTTATTGAACTATAGAAAAATGTGTAATTGTTTCTAGGTCCTTTGAAGTGGCTAATTAAAAACAGTATACGATAATTACAATTACTTAATCCTGCTTGGGATTTCTTTGGATATACATATATAAAGAAGTACGCTATATATATATATATATAAATGAGCCTGTGAATGCAATCTTGATCGAAAAAGAGCACATGTGATGACAGCAGATTCTGTTACAACCCACGTGGATACCTGAATCGCTTGATGGTACCGAGATCTTGAAAGCTAAGTAAACTCTCAACCTATTTAATCTTTAAGCAGTGCATTCTCCGAAGTACGAAGTTTCAGATTGTTAGAACATAATAAAAGATTTATTTTTGTAAACTGTAGATTCATTAACGAAAGTAGCTTCATATTTGCCAAACGAATTGTTTCTTTAGAATCTTAATATAAATAAATTTGTATGTACGATACTTGCTAAAACAAAATGTTTCCTTAGAATATTAACATTAATATAACTGTATGTACACCTGTTTTGACTGTATGTTCGTCACTGATTCTCTATACCTAAATTTATAAAAGCCATCTTCAAAGACATTAATTTATAATGTTAAGTGTGTTAATATATGTTGAAAATTGAACTGAATATTAACAATACATATATCTTGTTCACTGCGGTTATTGATTTTTTATTTTATCTCCCTCAAATAACAGTAATACGGCGCCCTGATTATAGATTAATTAATTTCGAGTCTCATGTAAAAGCCCTGAAATAGTCGGTGATAACAAAAATTGTTACAAGGTCTAGTTTTACTTGAATGGAGATTAAGCAAATTTGCTACAAGTGGGCCTAAGATATTCATCCGGTATCAAATCAATATATGCAGATTTTAGCAAAATAATCCAAGAACAAGACACTTACCAAGTGGAGTCTCTGTGTCGGTATCAGCATCTGTCTGTTCGCTGAACTGTCTCACGGCCTGGTACACGGTCATGTTGTAAGGTAACACCGTGTCTCCAATCAGGAACTCCAGTTTGTGTTCGGTGCTGCAACGATAATACCTATTAACAGCCTGATCTTAAGTCCACACACGCACAAAAATTTACCACACAGAAACATCTGTTTTCTCTGAGGTCCTGACCTACCAGCCTGTAAAGGCTGCGAAACGTCAATAAATAAATAAAGTTTCGTGCATTAACCCGTAAAAAACTAGTTTTATTTAATGAGTGATGTGCGTGAAAACCTAAGAAACAAATAAGAAGCTTAAACCCGAACTAAAAAACTGTATTGGACTGTTAAAATATTTCAATTTGTTTAAAGATTTTTTGAACAACGAATGAAGAGTAAACACAGTAGTTCTGAAACTAACCATCATATTTATAAACTAGTAATTAGTTGTTACCCTGCAGGTCTCAGTTAAGCGGTACACCTATAGTAGTTTCTTTTTGACAAAAAAAAATTACGGCTTTACTTGGCTAAGAATTCATAATTGTTTATAAAAACGACGTTAAGTAGTACAGACTTAACAGTGTGGTCATTTGGGGGTGTGTCTAAAGAATGATCGCTAAACGTAGATTCGTCGCATTGCCGCAGATCCTCGTAACTGCGGTGAGTTTGGCATCTATTATATTATAATAAATATACAACTGTTATAATTAGGTAATAAAACACTCATGTGATACTATAATTAAACCCACATTAGTGTTTTAATACCCATTATTATACAACAGTTGCATAAATAAGTATAAACTTGCGGAAGGGTGATGGTGTAAGGGTGTAGTTGAATCATCAATGTGAGAAACAGCCACGGTTGATCAGAATGAGCTTCTGACGGATCCACGTATTCGCGTGTGAACGTAGCTACAGGTATACTCACTCGGCAGTGTGGTGGTGTGGGGGGGTGGCTAGAGCATCGTCCACGTCATCGTCAGAGGCAGCGTCGTCGTCAGAATGGGCGCCTGACGCAGATCCGTCGCGTTGGCGAGGACTCGCGTATCCGCGCTGTGCTAGATATCTGTGTACACACATATATATATGAGTTGCATAAGAATGTAACGAACTAGTAGATGATACAAAATTTTATAAGGCAAAATAAACTAATATTTTCACATCATTCTAACGAACTATGCCAAAAGGTACTTTTAAAATGTCTACAGTTGCATGGTGCAGATAAACAGTCTATTTGAACATTTTGCCAGTGTTGATTGAATCAAAAATATCACTGGAATGATATGATCAAACCACTACATAGTTAGTCAAAGCTTATTCTTCGTTTATTGATAAGGAAATTGGAAGATAATTTTGTAATAAAATAATGTTACTCACCTTTCAATGGCTTGTACTAATGCTAAGGGGTCAATACGGACAACACCTCCCTTCCATTGCTTCAGGTTGGTGCATGTCGGATGACGTTTGAGATCACACTGAAAAAACAATATAAGTTATAATGTAAACATTGTAGTTCACAAGAACTAAATAAACAAAGAGTAAAATTTTACAATAAATAAATAACAGAAAGGAACTTTACGACAAAACGCCTTTACCTTGGCCACGAGCGCCATAGAGCAACACAGCCGAAGCGGATAGGAGGGGAGTAGCCATAATGACATAATACTACTGAAATCATTCTGCTACTTCTTGCGGGGGGGGGGGAATATGCACACAAATGCAGTCCAACATACTTTCGCAAAAACGAAATTGTAATAACGACACTCACACAAAAAAAATACAGTACTAGATCGGGCATAGATGAGACTTTATGATTTTATATTGACAGATCTGAAATTTATACTGTCGAGTCGATTGTTTTGTCAAACAAGCCCGGTAATTGGATTTTTACAAAATAATATAAATTTTGTGTTTAAAAGTGGTTAAATAGATATAATATGTCTATAAAATTCTACTTATATGAGAAATTTAGCACCATCCTTTTGTAACTTTAAAATTCCAGATATGTTTTACAGCAAATTATATAATAGTTTGGCATTTTTGATATCTAACATACATTCGCACGACTTGACCCAGTCTAGTGCAATATCCGAGGGCAACTTAGTTTTGTTTTGAAGTTGGCCCAACAGTGGGGGAAAATCGACAGAGGGGAACTCCCCCCCCCCCCCCCCTCCTGGCCACGTCGGCCGCGTTGCTCTATGTCATAGAGTCTATGACGAGCCCGGACAACGCTTCCACGTTGCTGCCGAACAACTTGAGCGCGCGCGCGTTCCCGCATATAACACACATACCATCAGCTGGTGCGTGTTGAAGAACTTGAGCGCGGAGGTGGCGGAGCGAGTGGGCAGGTCATGCACGCGCACGGGGAACTGTACCCCTAGCACGAACCATTATCGAATTTGAATAGTTTGCAAATCGAAATGTCAATGTCAAATGTTGTATGGAAACTTAAACAGCAGCGCCACAAAGTACGTAACGGGAACTAAAAATCAGTACAAATTGGCAATGACATTTCGGACTCGCTAACGATACGAATTCGATATTGGTTCGTGCTAGGGGTACTGCTCCAAGTGCGACGCGCACGCGTTCACTTTGGCCACGAGCGCGGACAACGCGCCCGCGTTGCTGCCGAATAACTTGAGCGCGCGCTCGTTCCCTTATATAACACATACCATCAGCTGGTGCGTGTTGAAGAACTTGAGCGCGGAGGTGGCGGGGCGCGCGGGCAGGTCGTGCACGCGCACGGGGAACTGCTCCAGGTGCGACACGCACGCGTTCACTTTGGCCACGAGCGCGGACAACGCGCCCGCGTTGCTGCCGAACAACTTGAGCGCAGTCTCGTTCTCTTCCCACTCGGTTCTGAAAAGATACAAAATCAATTCGTTGTTTAAAGAAATCTCCACTAAATAATATTATAAAACTGAAGTACTTGCTTCGTTGATTGTTAGTTTGTTTGGTTGAAAGCTTTTATCTCTGGTCCGATTTGAAAAATTATTTTTGTGTTGGATAGTGCAGTATCGAGGAAGTATATAAGACATTACGCTACGCCTAATAGTATCAATGAAAAATGTTGCAATAACGCAAAAAACTTTTCCATTCGTAAGCTTCCGTTGCGTGCGCCGCGTAAACGTTAAAACTGTCACTCAAATTTGTGTAGATTCTTGTCGCACTGTACTCACTCGGTAGTTAGAGGCATATCGGCGAACACGTGCAGGAACAGTCGCAGGCGGTCTTCGCATGCGGCCATGTGTTCGTCGTCGCGGCCCTCCCCCTCCGTGTCCGCATCTTCACTCTCGCTACCAGTGAGGAATTGGAGTAAAGCGCCGAGGACGCCCGAGTGATTTACCTAAGATGCAACACAAGTTAAACTTTATCAACGCAAAGAATCAGTTTAATACACAGTATAAACACAATTAACAAAAGTCGCGGTAGTCGTGGCACAGAGTAACTTTTCCTGTCTAGGATTATGCTGAGACAGTCCTGAGACCCAAGCACGAGTTTATGACAGCACCGTAAAGTATCGCAATTATCAAATTTTGTTCTTGCGTCCGATAGGCGCTGCTTAGTTTTTATAGAAACTTTGACGTTGCGCTACGTTACGGAGCCGTCAAAAACTCGTGCTTGGGCCTCTGATTGGCATTACCACCCCGTTAAGGCTATGTTTTCACTAGAGATGTGATAAGAAGATACCCGAGGCGAGGATGCGTAGGAATTCTGTTTACTATTTACTAAGTCTTGTTCAATACTTTTGTGTTTCTAGTTTTGTTTTGTATCGCTAGCGGCACGTACCTCGAAGGGCGACACGTCGTGCTGCAGCAACGTGTCGCGCAGTTGCTCGAGCGCGGCACGCTGGTGCGGTACGTGCGGCAAAGCGGCCGCGAGTGCCGCAAGTTGTTCCAGGGGGCCGGCACCGCCGCCTAGGGCGCCCCATTCGCGCTGCAAACGGGCCGCGGTCCACTGGATCCATTCGCGCACCTTCTCCCTGCACCAAACAACGCATGGCTTGTTAGTGAAACTATAAAGTTTTAATTTGAAGTTTTCTTGACAGTGTGAGCGAATTATTTGACAAAAATAACAATGGATGGATATTGTATGCCAAATGGGGTGATGGCGGCTGTACAATTAACACCCATGTAACTTTTAACCCCCGTATGACAATTAACTATTTGATCAGATTTAAAGTTGAGCTAGCTTAGGCTAGCCAGTTAGAGGATGGTGGTAGTCGTTATTTTTTTTTTTGAGATATTATGAATGACGAGTTGTTAGTCAAATTCAAAACCTAACCGGTTCTTGATCGCAGTGAGCAATTTTAATTATGCCATTGAGAAAGAAGATTCAGTTTTGTGAAACAAATCGAGGTCAAAGGACCATAAATATATTGTGCTTAAAAAACACAAACATCATTTTTTTTCTTTGTATAGAATCCACATCAGCAAAAAAATTATAGTTTTATTGTGTACTTTTACATGACAGAAGAAGATATCAATGAAGAAAGGAACGATGATCTTGCGATATTACTAAATGTAAGAAAGTATTTATCAATTTACATATCGACTGACTTGTTCTGGACGGTGAGATTGGCGGGCTGGTGAGGCGAGGCTAGTAGGGCGGAGTCTTTGTGGGCGTGGGGCGCTCGTCCCCACCGCGACGGGTTCAAAGAGGACAGGAACGATGAAGTCTTGGATGCGCCGCCAACGCGGCTCGCTGAACGCGCCGCCGCCGGGACGCCGGATGCTACAATCATATAAAGTGTTTAACAATAAACTACGAACTGACACAGTAAATTAGTTGCTAAATCAAATTTAAACATTTATAACCAAAAATACTGAACATTTTACTCCCATTTCATTACAGATAGATGCCCGGACAAATAAATAACTAATTTTAATCATTTAAGTGGCTTAGGCGGTTCACCCACTGCACCGCGCTCCGTCGCGTTGCGCGGGAGTGCAGATTTTAACGTTGTATGCTGGTATCTCAGTTCGTATGGAAATCCAGCGCCCTACAACACACTGACCAAGGGTTCATCCATAAAGTACGTCACACGTAAAGGGGGGGGAGGGGGTCGACAAAGTGTGACGTGGTGTGACAAGGGGTGGGAGGGGTCCTAAGTTTCGTGACATCACATTTCAAAATCTAGAGGTACTAATCGCGTAATTTGAAATATTAATTAAACTAAAAAATATGTCCAACTCTATCTTTAGGGCAATACGGTTTAAATTGTTTTGTTGACAAGTTCATAGCCGCTTCTGACGCGTGCCGATCGCCGACGAGCCCTTTGACTAATGCCGCCAAACGCACCGCACCTCGCGTAGGTAATGTTTTTGTTTCTATATTTTCATTCGACAATTTGCTTTCGCTGAGTGATCGACGTCGTTTTTTTAGTTGTGCTATTTTGTGGATATAAACATAGTTTAATAAATCAAGTTCAAAATGAATAAAAAGATAGATTTAGGTAATCTTTACCGTAGATTATACGAAACATACAGTGCGACTTACGCTGATAAAAAAAAACAGCATATACAGGAAGAAGTTAATACCTTATGGAAAATTTTGAAAAGTAGTGACAATATCGAAGGTGATGTGGAATTGAAAATCAAAGAGCTGCAGATACAAATGACGAAAAAAAAAGCGACACTAATGAATTTTTTTTCGAAAATTCCTTCGGCGTCAACATCACGAATAAAACTAGAGCGGGAAAAGGAGGGAAAAGTACAAGTAAGTTATTACGAATTTAATTACAATCCTTAATTATCGCGCTCAGGAGTCAAAGATGGACGCGGACTTGAATCGCATCGCACGCGCCGCATTAGGTACTAATAATTATTTAAGACTAGCTTTCCGCTCGTAGTTTTGCCCGCGTGTACTACGATTATGTGTTTTTTTTTTACACCTACGGTTTCATAGGACTTCATACAAGTAATTCTAATATGGTGCTTTTCAAGACCGCGGTATAAAAAGTAACGATATAATAATATTAATTGGAATTTTATTACAATATAACATATAATTTGCAGGTAAATACTAACGAAGGTCAGACACCACTACCAGAAGACACTGATATGGTTAATATACCGTCAAGTGAAAGTCAGCTTCAAACAATACCTAAACGAACGCCTAGTCAGAGTGCTTCAAGGAATAAAATTGTAGTTTTAGAATCTGAACTCAATAGCTTGTTGTTAGCACGCGATGCTGGTATAGCCTCAAATGAAGCAATAAAAAAAATCTCAACTTTAAAGAAAAATATTCAGCAGGAAAAAAATATATTAAAGCGAAAGATTAGCGCAGCAGAAAGACAGAAAAAAAGTCGTGATTTTAAAAAACGAAAAATTGTAGAACTTTGCGAAAAAAATACCGATTTAGCCACAGCACTAAAACTTCGAGATACTTTTGGTCGGCCTAGAATAGAAGAAACACAATCCGGTTTACTTGGAGTCATAAAGGACCTTGCAGTTTTTGGTGGCGCAGCTGATGATCGACGTCGCACTGAAGCTATAAGGTGCTGTAAAACATTAGATGACTTACAAGCCGAACTTTGTAAACTGGGATATACTATCAGTCGATCAGGGTTATACTTGAGACTTCTGCCCAGACGAGTCAATACAGAGGAAGGAAAAAGACATGTCGTAACTGTTCCTGTCAAACTATGCAAACCCGACTCTACGCTACATACGAAACATCAAGATGGTCCATTTTGTACTGCGACGATAAGAAACCTTGAATCGTTAGCTTCAATTTTGGGCCCTGAACAAGTTTTCTTTTTATCGATGGATGACAAAGCACGCGTGCCATTAGGTATTACAGCAGCAAACGCTCAAGCACCAATATTAATGCACCTTGATTATCGTGTAAAATTACCGGATCATGATTTCGTGGTTGCGGAAAAACATAAACTTATTCCCTCTGTTTATGCAGGTATTGTAGTAAAGAAAGATGGTGAAGGAAAACCTGAAGCTGTGACACATTCCGGGCCTACATATGTAGCAATTCGCAGTGGAAAGCATTCGTCCTCTAATGCAGAGACTCATGCCACAGATATACACAAACTTACTGAAATATCGGCCTTCGAGAACTTCATGAAAACTCGAGAAGGTTTTGTAAAACCCGTATTTATTTTTACTTGCGATGGTGGTCCCGACGAAAATCCAAGATACGAGCGAGTTATAATTTCAGCTATACAACATTTTAAAGATTTTGATTTGGATGCTGTTTACATTGCCACTAATGCCCCAGGAAGAAGTGCCTTTAACAGAGTAGAACGACGAATGGCACCTCTTAGTCGTGAACTTACTGGTGTTGTATTAAAACACGATAATTTCGGTTCACATCTCGATTCCAGTAATAAAACTACTGACCTGGACTTGGAAAAACGAAACTTTGAGAGTGCAGGCACAGTACTGAGTAATATTTGGAGCCAATTGGTCATTGATGGATATCCTGTGATTGCCAAATATATTATGCCTACAGAAACTAGACTGGATGTTGAACAGGCTAAGGCATTGAAACGTGATGCGATTTGGTACGCAAATCATGTCCGGGAATCACAATATTTACTGCAAATAGTAAAATGTGAAGTGGTTTCGTGCTGTGGTGTGCAACGATCTAGCCTTCGGCGACTACTACGAGAGGGTTTTTTGCCACCACCTGTTTTAATTAAACAGACGTCAAGCGGGTATATAACAACAGAAAAGGATGATATCGAAGGTAAATTCGCTCCACTATTACTTCAATTATCTTTAAAACTGAGCGCGTCATCACATTTAAAGCAAGTACCGTATGATAGTTACTGCCCTAGTGTTGAGGGATACTTGTGTAAGCGATCTTGCGGCTTCTGTGGTCTATATTTTGCATCATATAAAGGCACTAACCAACACAAACAACTTCATAAGATTAAGCAAGATGAAGTTCCCATTGCAAAGATACGCCCTCAAAGAATAGCAGCTAGACGTGCCAGAGAAATTCTTTGTTTGGATATTAATGATGATGCCTTATGGTTGGATGAAAAAGACGTTGACACCACAAATGTTCCTGACGTGAAAAACGAAGTGAACTGTGAAGTGACTGCCATGCCAGTTATAAATAATTTAAAGGACTGGGTTCAAAGTCCATGGACTGAAGATGATTGAGTTTCTTTTTCTTTATATTCATTAGTTTATTTTTTTGTTATTGTTTCAAATATTTGATATTATGTTGATTTCATAAAAAAGTACTTAATTTAAATGGAAATAAAACTAATTTCGGAACTGCTGTTTTAATTTAATAATTTTTCGATGTTAAATTGCAAAACATGTGACGTCACACTAGGGAGGGGGGGGTCTCAGAAATGTGACCACCTGTGACAAGGACGGGGGGGGGGGCTCAAAAACTCATGAAATTAGTGTGACGTACTTTATGGATGAACCCCAAGCGTCGGCGCGTCACGCACGTAGATTCTGCCATCCGGCGCGGAGACGCCCGGGGTCATCGTGGTATAATAATAATTTGAGCTCAATGGCTCCGCGTGGGTTTTCGATTAAGTATTTAATGTACTCTGTTAGTCCAGTCAGTTCACTGTTTTCCCTAGCAATATCCTACCAAACAGCACCGATTAGTTATAATTTGGCTGTAGGTTCTACTTCCTCTCTAGTTCAAAGTTGTCAATGTGCCGAGGGTTGATTTTACCCTGCGGGTAGACCCCAACCCTTCTCGGGGTTGAAAAATCTTTTATTGAAAAAAAAAAATGGGAATAGATAAACTTACTAAGCAACTTTTATTAGTACAAATTTTATAGAATCAGAGATATTTTTCAAGATATTCGAAAGCAGAAACGTCAATTTTTCAACAAAAAAGAAAACATGTTTGCAGACCGATTTCTCTGTAAATAAGTAATTTATGAAAAAAAAAGGATTTGAGTAAAATTTTAGCTTATGAAAATGATGAAAATGAAAAGTCATTTATTCAGTCTAGGCTGTTACAAGCACTTGTGAAGGTCAAGAAGCTATGCCATCGGTTCGCAAAACCACGGCGGGAGACCTTGAACTGATAAGAACCGGCAAGAAACTCAGCAAGGGCTGTTTTTTTCTCCCTGTATTGTTATATAGAGTGTCGTCAAGTTGAAAAATGACTTCAGAAATACATCTGAAGTCAATTTCCATTACATCATTTAGAATATAAATATATAGTTACAATTAATTTTATACTAAACATTATATTTAGTATATAGGAAGCGGCATTAGATAGGTACAATATTACTGATATGAAAAATGACTAATACCCATTTAATAACAAATTATAAGAAACACTATGTCCATGTATTACGATCATTTAGATAATCATCAACTTTATAATAGCCCTTATTCATAAGAGTATTTTTGATCTGAGATTTAAATTTAGTCAGTGGAAGCTCAATCAGATCTAGGGGAACTTTATTATACAATGCAATACTACAACCCAGAAATGAACCTCTTGATTTTTGGAGTCTGAAACATGGAATGGCAAGCTTGTTCTTAAATCTCGTGTTAAAGTTATGGGTTTGGCTTTTTTTGCAAATTCATCATAGTTTTTTCTTACATATATTAAATTTTCATAAATGTATTGCGACGCCAGTGTTAAAATAATAATTTCTTTAAATCTTTGTCTAAGGGATTCTCTTGCCTTTAAATTGTATATGGCGCGAACAGCTCTCTTTTGCAGTATGAAAATACTTTCGATATTAGCGGCTGAGCCCCACAACAAAATGCCATATGACATAACACTATGAAAGTAACCAAAGTAATCTAATCTTGCTGTTTCCACATCAGTTAAGAGTCTTATTTTTTTTAACAGCGAAAGCTGCAGAGCTCAATCTACTTGACAAGGCATCAATATGAGGATCCCATTGCAGACGAGAGTCTAAAGTAATACCCAGAAACTTAGTAGAATCCACTAACTCTACAGGCTGGTAATTTATTTTTATACTAGTATTAACCTGCCTCACATTAGGCTTAAAAAAAGCTAACAATACTGGGTTTAGTAAAACGATAATATATACAAATATAAAAAAAATATATTAATAAAAATATCCTTCCCCGACAAGGGATGGCGACCACCCATACGGAAATAGCTTAGCTTCAACGATCGCAGCCGAACGCGCTAACCACTTGCGCCATTGAGCTCCTCTTTGATTTTTTTTTCGGTTTGACAGGACTATATAGGATTGTGGTATTTCCTCACCGTGCGTGGCCTGTTGGTGCGCGTGCGGCGCGTGCGCGGCGTGTGGCACGTGTGGCGCGGCATCGTCACGGCGGCGCGCGTGCCTGCCGCCCGCGCCGCCAGACCGCTTCACCGCGCGTTTACGTTTCAACATCTCCGCTAGCTGGAGCGGGCTACCAGATCTGGACGAATTAGCAAATATTCAACAAGCGGTCAGTCAACAGTTTGCTTGTTGGCAATGGCGCGCCCACAACTTAAGAATAGGGCAAGCCCGAAGCTTCCAAAATTACGATAAAAATGAAAATCGAAAAGATTTAGTGTGAGATTTGGCAATGAATCCTTCTAATATTATAAATGTGAAAGTTTGTATGTTTGGGTTTGTTACTCAATCTCGTAAAAACTACCGACGGATTTGGGTGAAATTTAGTAATTAATAACCTGGAATAAGATAGGAAACTTTTTATCCCGAAAAAATGTTAGGTTCCCGAGGGATTCTCAAGTATGAGTAACTCATTAAACGTACTTTGATGTTAGTCATATTAAAATTCAAATTTATAAAATAAGATTTCTCAATTCTTTAGCCAAATACAACTGTTTGTATTTATTTAAATTAAAAAGTGGTGTCAAGGAAAGTTTGTTATCATTACTACATATTTATTCAAGACATCGTTATAAGAAATTGAAAGTTACCTGTGAACTGTAGTGGACGTCTGTTGGAGAGCGGAACCTGACGCAGGGCCTGGTTCTGACCCGCTGCATTCACTGCTGGCCGTTGCTACAAAAATAATTGCAATAATTTATTACATGATTTTATTTATTACATTACTTTTTAGAAATAATATGAAATACAAACTGCTCTAAAAAGTGGTTCTAAGCAAACTGCGCTCAAGTGGGCGGGGCGAAAAAACTGCGATCAACACTAGATCATGGGATTGGTTAAGATTTCCGTTTAACATTGTTTTAGCCAATGAATGGATAGCTGAATTCACTTGCAGATATTTGGTCAAATTGGATACCTTGGTTACCTTAACGATACCGAATCAAAAAGAGATCTAATGTCAAATACAACTTGCCAACACGCCACTAATACCTAATGGCTGGGTAATACTTTCTTGCTGAAAATCTTTTCGTTAATCTATTGTCTATGGGAGTGTACGCTAAAACGCCATAGTATGCTTTAGTTCTTGTTCTTACGTCATCATCATCGTCTTTCATAGACTTGTATTCCAAGTCAAAGACAAACAGCGAATATTTTCTATACTTACGTAGACTAGTCGCGACGAACGAGCTAGATGCTGAGAACGCGAGCGATAGGTTGTGGTCCAGAGAAGTGGCCGACGTAGAAGCGGGCGGAGACGAGCCGCCGCTCGAACGAACGTTGCTATTGCTTGGAGACTGTTGGGAAAATGTATTGATTAGTTTGGATACATTTTGTTTTGATGATTTACTTATCCTCAAATTTCCCTTATCTCAATAGTAGTTATTTATTTTTTTTAACGCGGGTAGGCTCGCAACGAGAACGATGCATCTGCGAATGCGTTAAATAGCCTAACGCAGTTAGTAAGCCACTCCATCCCGCACTCGTGCTCCCACCAACCTCGTGAAGCTATATTCTTTGGTTTTCGACAAAGAATTCGACTCGATGTGTGCCTTGATATTCATCAATAATAAACTGTGATGTTTGTCATATGACAGTGTGTGCAATATTTATATGCCCAAATATAGTAAGAAGAAAACCTTCACCGCAGATCACAAGCCATCCGATAAAGGTTTCAATATTGAGTATGTTACGCTATTAGCAATGCAACGATCGTTATCAGCTCGTTGAAGGCTTTTTAACCGACTTATATCTGCTATCCCAAATATGTACCTATTTAAAATAACAATATATTTAACTAGGCTTTGCGATTTTTTGCACTTGCCGAGAGCCTTTCGTTGAGACTCACGGCCGAGGTGGAACCAGTGGGTACATACAGGCTTACTCATATTCTTTCTCGGGTGCAAAAACCAACAAGCGACTGAGATCCACAAGGTAAGGTCCGAGAAACCAAGACGAGACGAGAGCATGTATACACTCGGTCTCGGCGAGTGAGTGCAACCGGCATAAGATTATACCCTAGCAGCGACCCGCACCGGTTATGCACGGATGAACTTCACTTTATCTCGATAAAAAAAATTGCCAATGTTACTAAGGGATAATCTAGTATTCTAATGGTGAAATATGATGAATTGGGAGAATGTCGAAGCTTTTACTACTTATTTTAACGCGCATTTCGATTTACTCGAAATTGATATTTTTAATAAAGAATAACGTGTATCAGGGTTTTTCGAAAATCTACCCCTAAGAGAGAAAAAAAGGGGATAAAAGTTTGTAAGAATAATCATATTGTTTTAGTAAATAGACTGAAAACTTGGTACGAATAATTATCAAAACAAATTATAAAGTTTACCATTTTAGATTGATGACAACACAGAATGGATAAAAATAAAATAGAACCCGATTATTTAATAATATATATATTTATATTGACTTCGTCCGTATGAAATAAGTGATATAAATGTTATACCTTAATCTTGGGTGTCCGGGGCGCGTGTCGCTCCGCCAGCTGCGCCACCTGGTGCAGCACCCCCTCGCGGCGGAACTGCACCGCCATCTCCTCGGGCAGCTGCTGCATCAGAATCTCAGCTAATTGTAGCGACCCGACCACTATGCGGAGGTCACTCGACGCCATCATGCCCGCGATGTGCGACGATATCACCTGGAGGAACGACGTATTATATTTCAGTATTGTGATTTAAAATAATACTCATTTTGAAGTTCATGTAGAGCCTTCCGGTATTTTATTTTTGATATTATCCCACTTAAATCTTAACTTTTGAGCGGATTAATATTTAAAAACGGTTCGTTTGTTGAGCCATACCTGCATTTTAAGTACTTGCCGCAGCATCGGCGCGTCGGCGTAATAGACGCAGCGCAGTATCGCTTTTAGTGCTTGCGAGCGAACCGCCGGCCCCGCCGAGCTCCAGTAAACTTCGTGTAATACGGCGAGAAGAGCGCGGGCTAGCGATGGATTGCTTCGCATCATTGCGATACGGGGATCTGAAATACGATAATTATGCTCAAAAATATTTTTTTAGCTTGCATGTTGAATACCATGAAAGAATTTAAGTTACAAGTATAGCATTGAGCAGGAAAATATATGTGGTATTTGTATTCCATCGCCATCTGAATATGTCATGACGAAGAAGAAGTCAGAAGTCATATCATATTTTTAACTCCCTATACACTTACACGTAATTCCTTTAGTAACTTCACAACCACCATTAGATTTTCAGCGTACTACCATTGACGAATTGTGTTTACCTGGAGGACAAGTGACACCGTTGAATGGAGCGCACGAGTGTGTGCATTATATCTCTAGTATTTCCTGTTCACCTGTATGTATAGCTGGACAGGATTGACAGATCTACGGTTGAGTTGCTGCATCGCCGCCAGGTGTGTGTGTGTGTGGTTGTGCGTATGTGTGTGTGGGAGGGAGGTCGTCACCTGGGGCGGGCGGGGTGGCAGTGGGCGTGGCGTCGGCGCGCTGGGGCGGCGGCACGCGCTGCACGGGCCGCGCGGTGCCGGTGTGGTCGTTGAGTTGCTGCATCGCCGCCAGGTCGACAGTGTACGAGCGGCCCAGGGTCGTGAGGCAGACCTCCTCCTCACCCGCGGCCGCACCTGCTTCCAGAGCGCGGCTTTCTGCCCATGAATACGAACGCCACACGCCTGTGCAAACACACCATGTGACGTCAATTCAATAGTAACTGCGGCCGCTGCGGTCTCGCAAAAACATATCTGTCTAATTAAATCTGCATAAAACTAATTCTGTACTCAACAAAAACAGCTCTGTCAAGTATTGCATCGTCAGTTTCTATCAAAACCAAGCAACGCCCAAATCGGACTTAAGAACAACTACCTTTTTCCATACAACATTTGGCGATGACGATACTTTACTTTAGCCGACAAAAATTCGTGCTTGGGCCCCTGCAATCAGGGGGATGTTAAAACAAAGACTTTTCTTTTGTTCACTCACCTCTATCATCCCTCCACTGCCAATGCGCAGTTCTATCTGTAGGCGCAGACCAGGGTCGGTCCAGATACGCGTCGACGGCGAAAATGCCGTCCGTGGGCAGGCGCGGCATCAGCTCGCCTATGAGGCACGTAATCTCGTACAACTCTTGGGGCAGGCGGGGCAGCAATTCCACTTGCTAAAATGGAAAAGTCTCCTTTAAAATTCTCATATTTTAATGGTATTGATTCCAAAAATAAAATCTTCAAAATTTATAATATATATTTTTGCAGCTTTCAGAACATAATGTGAATTATCATGATAACATATGAAATGAAAGATGAAAATCATAATATGCACTTCATTCAAATACTTATAAGAAATCTCTTTTCAATGGTAATTTTTTTCTTGCAACATCTACAGGATATCTTTTTTTTTTATTTATCATGGAAGGTTTAATCAGATTAATTATGTCACCCTCGAAGAATCACAACATAGTCATTGGCTACGTTTAATACCAAATTTAAAAATTTTAGCCAATAATCTAACTTTTACTGAAAGTAGAAAAGCTAGAATATTAAAAGAAAGAAAGAAAACATTTTATTGGTTACACAGCATACATTAAAAACAAAACAGAAAAGAAAAACAAGAAAACTAATTTAAGGTGCTGCTGTGCAGGGCCAAACAGGTTGCTGTCTCAGCCATCAGGTCAGCTATACTACTGTGGTAGTACTTTCACAATACCACAGCAGCGTTGATTTCCAGCCAGCGCCTAGTGACATCCGAACGCCAAACAAAATGTGAGTGATTATTAAAAGAAACAAATGAATAAAAAACATTAAACAATAAATTTCGTTCCATAAAATAAATAAATAAAATAAAGATAATATTTATAATTAAAATACGCTACACCTATGGTAGAACTACACTCATCCGCTGCGCCGTGCCGCGACACGGCTGCAACGCACCAGAGAACTATCTGTTTCATACAACTAATCTACTAACATAACGCTCAGGACATCTTTTAGCTGATAGTATTTTATTTAATTTATTACATACAAGTGTATTGAAAAAAACTAATAAAAGCGATCCCAAAAGAAAAATCGGCCAGTCACTAATAAAAACCTAACAAAGACTGGTTTCGATTTTAACGATTCTCAAAATCTTAAAATCAAATCTGACAAGAGTGTATGCTTGTTGTACGAGCCCTTGTTAAAACAGTACATTGAATTGCTATTTCTTGATATCGAAGACAGGAAAACTCCTCATAAACTTGATGAAAATATTTATTATTAAACTTGAAAGTAACTGTGTGCACACTGCTTGAGACAAACGCGAACTAACTTGGGCGTGATTATGAAATATATTTAAACAGTAAAATATTGACCTAAATAATTACTTACGGTAAAAAAAGCTTTGCTAGTAGGAAAATGTGCGATTTGATCGTACACTTGTCATTCTCTCTTCAGAGTGAAAACGAGAGACTGGTGTTAAATTTAGTTTTAAGTTAAGAGAATCATGCCAGAATCGACATCAATACACTCCACGTCCACCATAAAGTTGGCATCGTACACAACACCATACACACCTCGTGGTGCGCGCTGGAGCCAGCGCCGGTGAGCAGGCACAGCAGCGTGTCGGCGATGGAGCGCTGGTGCAGCGCGAGCGCCAGCTGCGGGCACGCGCAGCACATCACCCACAACAGGCGTAGTACCGTGATGAATGTCCCGCCAGAGATCAGGGGTGGCTGCACCACCAGCTGTGGGACAAAAGAGAAAACTATCATCAGCGACAATCGTTACTTACTATTTGTCGTCAAACTTTAACCCTTTGTTTACACCAAGGCTTAAATTCACATATTTGTTAAATTTTAAGCCGGGTACACATTAGCGAGCTGTAACCGTAACATGCGTGATACAGTACGAGGTTCCAGTGTGTACGCTTGTAGCTCAATTGTAAACGTCGGCTCTGCAAACTGCAAAGCGCACGCGTACCGCTCGCAGCAGGTTAGCGAACCACGTATACACTGCTTTTTGGTTACAGTCCATGCAACGGTTAAGGCTCGCTAATGAGTACCCGGCTTTATACACTGTCTTCATTTTCAGTTCATACTGAAATACACGTAGTACTTATATTTAAAGAACTCCATGGCCGAGTGGTATATACGCTAGGTTTCATGGCGTCGCACATTGTGTTATTTCACCTCAAAATTACCACTCCCTTGATTAAAGGTGAATCAGATAAAGTTCTTCATTCTAAGCGCAAGAGTAAAACTCCCACGATTCTAACTATAATAGTTTCGACGAAATCCCGGTTTTTCTTTTTTTGTACCACATTGTGAAAAAGAAATAAAAAAAATATTTTGTCTAAACTATTACAGTTATTTTATTTTTTACATTGTATTTCATATTTTTATCCATATTATGAGTCTTCTATGGCTGCCCTAGAGCTTGTAGGAACCGAGAAATCGGCGATTTAGTGATTTTCGTTTTTAATTTTTTGTGCTCATGTTATGCAATATTAAAGCTTATAATTTAGTTCGAAGTGTAGCTAATAATGTAGACTATCAACTCAAAAAATAACAAGCTTTAACTCGGTGGTATATCGGAAATATTAAGAATTTAAATTTGTGGGACAATGTCCCACATTTTGAAGACTTAATTTAGAAAACTTTTGAAGTTATGCTCCTTTTTAAATATTATACTATAATAACTATATAAATACGTTGTTATTATATTATTTACTATTTATATAAGATTATAAATGTGTTTGGTATGTTTGTTACATAATCATCCACTTTTGTGGGCCAACTTGTTTGGATGAAATGTGGCACACAGGCATTAAGTTCTTCCCTATTAAGTGCAAATAAACAAATTAATCTGTTTAAACATTATCTATAATTATAGTATAATATTTAAAAAGTAGCAGAACTACGTTTTGAAAATTAAGTCTTCAAAATGTGGGACATTGTCCCACAAATTTAAATTCTTAATATTTCCGATATACCACCGAGTTAAAGCTTGTTATTTTTTGAGTTGATAGTCTACATTATTAGCTACATTTTGAACTAAATTATAAGCTTTAATATTGCATAACATGAGCACAAAAAATTAAAAACGAAAATCACTAAATCGCCGATTTCTCGGTTCCTACAAGCTCTAGGGCAGCCATAGAAGACTTATAATATGGATAAAAATAATACCTTTTGAAATACAATGTAAAAAATAAAATAACTGTAATAGTTTAGACAAAATATTTTTTTTATTTCTTTTTCACAATGTGGTACAAAAAAAGAAAAACCGGGATTTCGTCGAAACTATTATAGTTAGAATCGTGGGAGTTTTACTCTTGCGCTTAGAATGAAGAGCTTTATCTGATTCACCTTTAATCAAGGGAGTGGTAATTTTGAGATGAAATAACACAATGTGCGTCGCCTCCTCAGGGTTGGAATTCCGGTGGGGGCAAATGTTAGTATGATGAATACGAGCATTTGTACTTTTCTGATGGATGTTTATAGTTATGTGTATTCTTTCCGTTACCCCCGCATCCCATAACACAAGCCTTATAGTGCTAACTTTGGGGCTAGACTAATTGGTGTGAGTGTGGGAAATATTAATTTTTTATTTTACTTGATACAATACTTGCATCGAACTTGTGGTATATAAACAAATATGTAAAATACATGAGTGATTTATACTTGCAAAGATACAAGTTGTCTATGCACTGTAAACAAAACTGTCGCAACAAGTATTCTAAAAGTTGTGAGTAATCAACGATATTAAATACCCTAGATACACCATCTATGTCAAAATGTGTCCCAATCAAGAAGTGTTTGAACACTACTCAAGTACTTCTTGGTTTACAGTCACGCGCGGACCGTAAAAAAGTCAAGATGGAAGATGATGAGAGCTCCGTGAAAAAATGAGAAAAAAATACGTGTAGTACGTAAGTGACTTTTTTTTTGAACAGGTATCTAATCGATGTTTGTTAATTAAACGCATTTGAAGCGAATTTTGTTCTAATACTTACTATTAACTGATTTAATAAAAAATATTTGTGATATTCAAGTGCATGGTCGTCTCTTTTCCTATAAGCCGCGTCATTAAAGAAACGAATCTAAAATGGCGGCGGCGATCATGTACTCTCACTCTAAACTATTGCTGTCTTTAGTCGCACACGGCGCGTACTGCATGCAAAACAAATATCAGTTCTGACTTTGTTCTTGCACTGTCTCGACAATATCTAATAAAGAACTTTTTCATTTTATCTTTCTTTTTATTTCTTGACCCTACCATCTGTCAGTGCAGGTACATAGACGCCAATTTCAATTCGTTTCTTTATTGACGCGGCTTATAACAGAGCATTCATGATTGCGCGTAAAGTCAAAGAAATAAGATCTATTTTCTTCCGCATATAGCAATAAGTCATAAATTTGATGAGCTTGCATTTCGAACTGTCATAACTCTTTGAAGCATGCGTTTTAATTAATACAATGTACCTTTTGGATAGGTTTTGGCCATGATTTTGTTTGTGTTGGTGTATCTAGGGTATTTAATATCGTTGGTAAAACTAGTATATGCCTTGTTTCTCGATGTAAAGCATAAGTAAGAAAATTTTCTAGATCTCCAACAACTTCCTCTCTGCTACGCTTGACTTAAAATTATATTGGTGGCAAACAAGCAAATGGACCGCCTTAAAGTAAGCGGAAGCCATACCCTATGGATATGTGAAGTCTTGAAACTCATTTTAGGTTTAATGATTACATGGTAAATAAAGAAAAACATAAAGACGGTAATACAACGACAATCACCTTTACACAAAAGCCAAACATCATCATTCTGTAGTCACTGGTCCAGTTTTGTAACTTATTACGGTTTGTGTACGAAATCCAAACATCCTCTTTATAATAAAAAAAATGCTTTATAAACACAAGAAAACTACTGACCAGTTGCTGAAGATTAGCAAGCAGCTCGGGAGTGGCGATTTCTTGCAAACGCGCAGGATCGTGTTGGAAGCTGTCTACGAGGCGCGAGAACGCCAGACATACACATTCTACCGATTTCTTGTCCTGTTGTGTGAGTCTGCAAAAAGAAAAATTTGAGGCATTTCGCTAACGATACATTGACAGAAATATTATATTAAATTTCTTCTTTCATGGTACATCATAAGAAAGATAGTGACAAAATTATACATCTCTCTCAACTCTGGGACTACGATATTGAGATACTGTTTTCGTACAAAATAGCATCTCAAGATCGTACTCCAGATCTCTTTTGAGTGTCTCTTGGAATACGGTATTCTCATTAATGATGGGTATACGCTCTATTACTGTTCAAAATGTCATGATTAACAAACATAGAAAATGTATGATCATTTTCCATTCTTACCTATTAGCAAGTAGTTGCAACGAGTCTCTGACAAGGTGGAACTCATCAGGAGTCAGGTTTTGGCAGCAGTTGGCGGTAATCGAGAGCGCTGCGCGTTGTGCACTTATTGAGAAGAAATCCAAATACGTGAGGCAGGCAGACACTCCACGCTGTAAGGAAGAGCAAAAAATACCGTAGAAGAAATTAGCCTACAATTGACGCCTATGTTCTATTCACGGAGAGCTAGTAGACTTTTCTTTCATTGTTTGGAGTATCGACGCTCGAGTTATTCTGGCTAATGACAGCCCCTTCTCTCGTGTGACGCAGTTTTCCTTGCCTTTAGCAAAAGGTTGTGTACGTAAAGAAAGCGCTCCAATAACTTGTTTCCTCGTTAATAGAGCATGTCTAGTCTAGACTAGTATTTGTAGCACAAGCTCTGTTTAGATTGGGACAAAAAGACAGGTGGGAGTTATCTAAAACATAACCCCCGTCGTTTCTTACCAATTGTGTGTGTGTGTGTGTGTGTGTGTGAGTAAAGAAAGCGCCCCACTAACTCGTCTCGGTGAACATAGTATACATTATAGTAATAGCCAAACATTGGTGTCCATTCTGGCATGATTCTCTAAACCTAAACTTAAATTTGACGACAGTGCATTCTTGTCATTCTCTATACAGAATGAAAAGGATGATTTATGTTAAATCTGATGTTAAATTTAGTTCAGAATCAACAAAATTATTTAAAAAATCGAGTGTGCTTATGACCACTCGACTGAAGTGAAACTTTTTTAGCTGCATGTGTATGTATGTATATATACATATTTCATTTACTAGCTATAAGAGAAAGACAGAAAATATGCGCGCGCACTGCCTTCTCTAGTTTATATCCCCCACTCAACTCCCATTCGCCTCGTCCAATCACACCTTTCGTAACGCGTAACGCATTCGCCAGCTTACCCCCCAAGTCAACCGTGCGTAAAAAAGTCTCACTTCAAAAACAACAGTTTAAAATTCGATTCTCACCGCTTGCAGTATAGCCTTGGAGTGCCTTCGCGAGAGCATATCCAATGCAGTGAGACTTTGTTCGGCTACGTCTATGCAAGTGATCGCTTGCAATTTGTCCAAGAATGCGGGCACGGCCAGCGCCACCGCGCCACTGCTACGAGGTAGTGCTTCCAACATGTAAGTCAGGGCACGGCACGCGTGGTTCATCTGGAAATGGTCGTCTAAATGAGTTATGGTTCGTAATGTTATATCCTAACTTATTTTTATCATAAAAGCGAAAGTGAGTTTTTACGCTTTCACGCCTAAACCACTGAACGGATTTGGATGAAATTAGTAAGTATAAAACACGATTTATTGAAAGTTCCGGTAACGTATCGCATAATCAAACTTTTATGAAAACTAAGCAGTGCTATTGGACGTAAAAAGAAACTAGCAGTTACATAAAAAAAAATGACAATTATGATACAATTATAATAATTATGATAATTGGTGGATTGAGACATAGGATACTTTTTATTCCGGAATAATGTCAATGTTCCAGTAGGATTCTCAAAAAACATAAAGTTGACGCAGACGAAGTTACGGGCGCCCGTTAGTATTTTTATATATTGATCTTGATACATTAACACTCGGAAAGTAGTGCAACGCGCGACTGTTTCATGTTTATTTGACTTGCTCCTGCCACTGAGATATCCCCCAGGATCTTCGCAGCCGGAGATAACCGTAATACCATCTAGTGTGAAGGAAGACTGTCACGATTAATTGTATAGATTTAAGACTAAGCTTTATTTTTGTCTTAAAATCTAAATGCTTATAGTTAAGTAGAGATGACAGTGAAATACTAGTAAAATTCATCAACAAACTAGTCTATCAATCTTCTTCTTCTTGAATTTTTTTATGTCCTTGAATCGATATAAGCAGTATTTTGTATAAAATAAATTTGTCTAGCTCTATGGCTCAGCGTTATGTACAGCTGTCACTTAAACTAGACAACACTTCTGCACCAGTCACCTGCTGAAAAATGTACTTACCAATTCGAAATTATGTTCTGCGGCGAGGAGATCGACTTGCGCGGGCATCACCCTTGCACAGCGAAGTCGGCCAGGGTGGCACATTTCTTAAAACTAGATAATACTCCTGCCCCACAAGTGTACCTATTGTTAATCAGCCACAGCAACTAGCACATTCCTTAAAACTAGACAATACTCCAGCACCCGCTGAAAATAGGACAAGTGTGTATCTTTTGATGATACATCTCAAACACGGCTTGCAGTTGCTGACCCTCGTCCCCTAGAGCCTTTAACTCAGCTAGCAGTTGGGCAGCTTTCCATGCGGCTGCGATATAGAATATTGATTGGAAGCCATTCACTCATCGCCCAGGGAAACAGACCAGGTTGTCCTTGTTGCTGATGACCACTAACTGTTACTAGACAATATTCTTTCTCCATAAGTTTAGCCACTTACCAATTCGAAGTTATGTTCGGCGGCGAGCAGATTGACCAGCGCGGGCACCACCTGTCGCACAGGGAAGCCGGCCAGGGTGTCTTCATTGCCCATGACCAGCAACTGGCACATTTCGATCACGGCCTGTAGCTGTTGACCCTCGTCTCCGGTCGCCTGCAGCCCGGCTAGCAGTTGGGCAGCTTTCGATGCGGCTGCGATATAAACGACAACTTAATCGAATATAAAAAGCGTACTGTTTTAAATTACTCATAAAGTTGTGCTTTTTGAAACGTGCCATTGAATAATCTTCAGATACTTTGAGTTTGATATTGTATCAATGTATTACACAAACTTTACATTATCTCGGCTTTATGGTTTGTAGGGTTTGTGTGATAAAGACAAAAACAAATAAGTAAAGAAAAAAAATCCTCCTACAACCTTATTAACACCAACTCAAAAGGGTAAGCGATGAGAATCTAATGTAATAAGTGTTACATCCGCAAATCCGCTGAAAACGCTTACTAAGTCGAGTGGCAATCAACCCACAGCTCAATTTGCACTTGTTCAAAGGTGGATTCTTCCGCACCTCATCGCATGTTTACAGGGATACAGAGTAACCACTACACAGATTATACAACACAACTCACCAGACTTGACAGTGACAGTCCTGTGCAGCTGGTGCTGCACTTCCAACAACGCCTGCAGGTTTCCCCCTCCCCCTCTATAGCAGGGCATAATACCTGACCAGAGTTGGCAGTGACAGCCCTGTGCAGCAGGTGCTGCATCCGCGGGCCCAGCGCGCCCAGTAGATGCGGGGGCAGTCCGTGCGCCTCCAGCAACGCCTGCAGTCTCCCCCCTCACCCTCTATAGCAGAGCATAATACCAATACAACTCACCAGAGTTGGCAGTGACAGTCCTGTGCAGTAGGTGCTGCATCCGCGGGCCCAGCGCGCCCAGTAGATGCGGGGGCAGTCCGCGCGCCTCCAGCAACGCCTGCAGTCTCCCCACCTCCCCCTCTTCGGAGGAGGACTCCTCAGCTCCCGCGCCCGGTACAGCGCTCACCCCCGCCCCCGCGCCCCCCACTGCCCCAACCAGACCTACACCCCCGCCCACACCGCTCACCCCACCCGCGCCGCCGGCGCATTCTTCCGCTGACGATGCCGCTAGAAATAAAATTATACTTGATTCAAATTGCCTTACTGAATGCTTGATTCGTCAAATATTTCGCAGAATGTGTTTTAGCTGAAAAGAAGTATGGACGCAAGAAACTCTTCAGCACTTAACAACAGTAGCACCATTTACATAAAATTATGTGGTAATGTTTTTATATTATATAAGATCACTCATTCTACACCATAGAAATAGAGAACAGACTAAGCCAACACTCTCATGAAATTTTTAACTTTCCAGAAAGAGAGAAAGCATTGGTGCAGGCAATACCAGACAGAAATTCTATCAATTTTATTTTACAATTAGACAGGGAATGATCTGCCCATAATCTGTGTTCTACACAAATTGTACGGATTTTGTACACCTTATAATCCTTATATGATAAAGAGAAAGAAGAGAAAGTCTTGATACGTTTAAATATTATTTAAACATATCAAGAAAACATATTACATTACTGGTAACAAATTGATAATTACGAAATTAAAATGATATGACTGTGAGAACGCGTGGTACGAATAATGACCGATGACGAACTGATTCATAATTAACCTAAATAAATGCATGTGGCGTAAAATGCCGAAGGGGCGTACAGAGGTGTACCCGCTGGCTCGTACACAAATAGTCGCACTCAGGCATCAATTAACTTTTATGTGTGATGGCCGTTGATGCTGTAATTGGCGATAGCAATAGAATAATATGACACATCCTTTTGGCAAGTAATAAATTTCATTCGTTTCTAAGTGCGATTAAGGTGCTCATTAACATGCTCAAAATTGGTATTATTTATTATTTTGTCTTTGTCCACCGAATTAAAGTCTAAGAGTGATGTTTAGACACTAATTAGAAAAGGCTGAATCAGATCAAATGTACCTTTTATAAACACACAATCAAAATGACGTAGACTAGTTAGACGTATGTCCATGTTAGACCATTCCCAATAAAACCTTATCATTGAGAGACTATTAGAGCTTAGTTGGGAGCTTGGAGGTGGGATATTAGGGTTCCAGTAAGCTATCGCCCGTATATGTATATAATCATCCATATTAATATTGTAATAGTTTGTCTGCTGTCTGTTGTGTTTTCACGCCAAATTCACTGAACCAATTTTGATCGTCGTCGTGAACTACGACCAATTATTCCATTCTACCAAGCCGCGGGCTTCAGAAATAATGTCACAAAAACCTAGCATGTGAAAAAAAAACACCCAAAGGTTACACTTTTTACAATTTTTTCGAAAGGTAGTTTCTTCAATAAACCTCTAAATATTTTGTCAACAGCGAAAAAAAGAGATCATATTCTTTACCTTTGCTCTTGAGTTTAGAGTCGGTAGACACATTGTCAGGCATTGTGGCGGCTGAAGCTGATGCCGGCGGTGTGGAAGATGTAGATGCCACGGCACCCTGAGTGAAAGAAACAAACAAAAGTTATTCACACGTATTAACATATTACAGCCTGTCTTAATAATCCAACTCCAGTATGAAGTCTGTTAGAGTTAATCCCTTCCTGGCTAAAGCCGCGTTGACATGCTCAAAGTCTGCTTTGACAAAGTAACTTTGTTTGATAACTTTGACGTTACTTTGATCGTGTAAAACAGTAATCACATCGCACTTTGACGTTGGCGTCCAATCAGTGAACTTGATCGCGTTCAACTTTTCAAGCAAACTTTGAAAAGGACTAACAAAAAGGCGTCTAATGTCTCTTGTATAGGAGCTCCCTTTAAAAATTTATTTAGCAACAAATGATGACAATGTCTAAGAAGATTCTGAGCATTGTCAACGCGGCTTAAGAAACGAAACGAGGTCGATTTATTGAAACTGGCTGATAGTTGATACCGACTATTAGAAAAATATTACCGTGGTTAATGGCTGGGGGTGAGACCTGCTGGACGCACCACCAGTGCTGGCACACGAACCCAGACTGCTTTTGCCTGTGAAAGGAAATATTATGATTATAGAAAAAACAACTACTGTAGCAATATAATTTTATAATATTAAGTTGTAGAAATATTACTAATCAAAGCGCCATCTATCACCATACGTATCCATCATCTAACAATGTAATTGGTTTTAAAGAAGCACAGAATATATTATGAAATAAAAAATTGATAGTTGCATTTGAAAGATGAGATAGATGGAGTTGTATTTAATAGTGTTAAATAAAATTACACGTATTGATGACGTGATTAGCTATTGTTCAGGAAGCAGTTTCTTGGAGGGAGATGGGCGTAGCCGTATTAACCGGTCCTGTCGATTCCTCGCACCAAATATGGTGATTTGAGAGAAATTTGCTGTGACGCCGTCACGTGATCCTAGGCAACTATAAATAGCTTTGCGCAGACGAATTCACTCTCTTTTGTCTGCGAACCGAACACTTGAACATCTAGTAATTTGCACAGTGACTGGAAAGTATAGTCAGTGCATAATTAATTAAAATATTTTCCCCGGATTAACGGGTAAGTCCAACATATCTAACTGTTTAGGCTGTAGGTCAAGTTAGGTTTTTTATTGAACTATAGAAAGATGTGTAATTGTTTTTAGGTCATTTGAAGTGGCTAATTAAAAACAGTATACGATAATCACAATTACTTAATCCTGCTTGGGATTTCTTTGGATATTTATATATAAATGAGCCTGTGAATGCAATCTTGATCAAACAAAGAACACTAGTGATGACAGCAGATTCTATTACCATCCACGTGGATGCCGGAATCGCTTGATGGTACCAATATCTTGAAAGCTAAGTAAACTCTCAACCTATTTAATCTTTAAGCAGTGCATTCTCCGAAGTACGAAGTTTCAGATTGTTAGAACATAATAAAAGATTTATTGTTGTAAACTGTAGATTCATTAACGAAAGTAGCTTCATATTTGCCAAACGAATTGTTTCATTAGAATCTTTATATAAATAAATTTGTATGTACGATACTTGATAGAACAAAATGTTTCCTTAGAATATTAACATTAATATAACTGTATGTACACATGTTTTGATTGTATGTTCGTCACTGATATTCTATACCTTAATTTATAAAAGCCATCTTCAAAGATCTTAATTTATAATGTTAAGTGTGTTAATATATGTTGAAAATTGAACTGAATATTAACAATACATTTATCTTGTTCACTGCGGTTATTGATTTTTATTTTATCTCCCTCAAATAACAGTAAAACGGCGCCCTGATTATAGATTAATTGATTTCGAGTCTCATGTAAAAGCCCTGAAATAGTCGGTGGTAACAAAAATTGTTACACTACAAGTTGGAATATTTAAATGATGAGTGCATTATTGAATTTAACAATCACAATTTTTTCCTTGAAGAATAATCTTTTGCTAGCACTTCACATAGCTATTCGGGTTTGCTAGTTGAATATTTGACAGCAGTACATTGTGCATTCTGATTATGCTCTTAAGGTAACGAAAAGGAGAGACTACTATCAAAGTTACAAATAGCAAATACAAATAACCATGTGAAAACCAGCATATAGTGTCACTAATTTGTGTGTAATCCCACCCGAATCCTTAAAATATCAGATAAGTATAGCTATTTTGTAGTCTCAATAAAATGTTTAAGACTTAATACAACTAAAATATTCAAGACTTTTTATGCTCAAATCAAGGAAAAGGCTAAAAAAAAACTCGCTAAATTCTGTTATCTTTTGACGTTGTGAATATATTTTTATCTCGAATGAATGACCAAAAAGCAAAAGGGTTGATTTATAGTCAGTAGTCAACATGACCTACAAATATAAGCGATACCAGAGATTTCCTTCGTAGCAACGTCGGATCCTATGAAGCGTAAACTCACGTTGTGTTTAAAAAAGTAATATAATAATGAGTAATAATGTTCGTGCCTTTTAACTAAACCTGGTAAACGTAATGTATAATGGTGGCAGCAAACTTCTTGAATAAAACCATAGACAATCAAACTTGCTTTTTGTATGTGAAATTGATACCGCGCTTCCTTGTTTGTGTATGGTTAATGCTCAAAAATTTACCGGGAGATATAACTACGCCATCTTTGCAAATGTTGCAACGAGGCAGAGCAAACAGTCTCTTCAAGAGTGGGCGAATACCCAGTGAAATACCAGCTTACTGGGCCAGCTCTATGAGAGCGTCAACATTGTAAGTGCACCGAGAGAGTTCTTGACTAGGATGGCCGGAATAGCTTTAAGTTTCGGCTCAATCAAGGACATAGAGAGAGAACTGCCCGTTCCATAACAAACTGTCAAGTAAAACTAGGCAGATAAGGGTGCGAGAGATGAAGCGATTGGAAGGCCCATAGTTAGTCTACGTATTTCGAATTGTTAATTTCATGCGAGTGTTGCTTTCTAACTTGCTCTCTATGGGTTCAATCCTCATCATAATATTTAAAAATGTGAAAGTTTCGTGGGAAAATGTCGGAATGCGATGAAATTTGTCGCAATCCATGTAATGTAATAATAATACTACTACCTAGACTGAGACATAAGATACTTTTTATCCCGGAAAAAAGAACTAGCGGCGGATTCATATGCGATAGCCCTCATTGTATCGACTAAAGACGAGCGAGTTCTTTAAAAGAGGTAGCTCACCTATTCTAGCTTCGTTTCGTTCGTTCGTTTTTCGTTCAATTGATATCATACACATAGACATAATTATATGCGTTTTTTTCGCGTACTTATAATAAAGAAATCTTGTATTAATACGTGAGTAGGAACTAGGTAGTTAATACTTTAAAATTATAATGTTACCTAGTTGTTGGAAGCACGGAAAAGTCCGACGAAATTTTCCTGAACAAAATTTTAATTTCATGATCTTCCTTTTATTTAAAATGCTATGTTATTTAGGAAAAAATAATCCTTATGATTAACATTTTCGACGTTTATCATAAAATACGTCATGCGCAACACGCGACAGCCACAAACGCCGAAACGAGAAGCCAGAAGCGGCTACAAAGTTAGCTGAAGCGACAGCCACTTGTGGCCATCGACACTTGCCGTCGGTGGCTGCTACTTTTTTAACACATGCGTGCAGTATCATAATGGACTCTGACGAAAAAGGTTTGGGTGGGGAATCGCGCCAGTGACGTGTGGCCCCGTTTTGTATCGGCGCATTAGTGGCTGGTGCGGGCCACAAGAAGCGAGCAACGACGATTTGTAACGTGAGGCGGCCACCGGCGTTTAACCGTGTGCGGCGAGTCCATATAAAATGTATAAAAACTACAGGAAATATGCCGGTGGCGACCTTAATACGTTACCTCGTTTGTCCCGTCGCGTGGACGCCGGCTGCGGCTGAGGCATGTCGCGAGCTCGCGCTCGCCGCCCGCCCGCCGCACTACTGCTCGCGCCCTCACCGCCAGACACCTTCACAGATACACAATGGTAAACATTACTTATAGTGCGACATGGATCTTTATGAATAAAATAATAATGCGAGTGACAGTTCAGAAAAGGCGCCACTTTCCTACGTAAATGTCATCTAAAGATATATAAAATGGTATGAAAGTCAAAACTGTACATTGAATATTTTCGATGTACAATCGATACCGAAGCCAAAAATATAGTTTTTGGAATTTTTGTCTGTCTGTATGTATGTCCGGGATAAACTATATATATATATATATATATATATAAATATAAATAAAAGTACTGCATGGATTTACTTAAAATTTGGTATGAATATTATTAAGAAGTCGGGTCAACATAAAGGCTACATATTATCACGCTATCACCTACGGGGAACGAGCAGTGAACCTTTATTTCTAATTAACTCCACGCGTACGAAGTCGCGGGCGGCCGCTAGTACAAAATATGACGTTTACAATAACGGTGGCGTTAGTTCCACTTTTCGCAACACTCATAAAGATCCTTGTCGCACTATAAGGTTAATAGATCTGTTTTTTTATTTTAAAATAGTGGCAACCAAGCATATTGCCCGCCTGATGGTAAGCAGCCACCACAGCCTATAGACGCCTGCGATACAAAAAATATCACAAACGCCGTTGCCTACCTTGACCCAAACCGCTACCCCTTGCAGTCCTGTCTACTCACCGCACCGGTAGAAACAACTCCACTAATAGATAGTGTTCCTTTACTGTAGTCTTCTGCAAGGTGGTGTTAACTTCCTAAGGCGGGCGCTCAAATTCGAGCGGGAAATCCGCTATGCCCTATCTCTCTTAATCTATGATCGTCCCGAAAGATGTCAAAAAATCTAGTTTATAGCCACGTGTTGACTCCTTTTAATTGATTCCTTCGCTAATAAGATGATAGTACACAGAATTTCTCGTTTCTCTGTTTTAGAGCAACTTTCTTGATGAGCAGCCTGAGGATTGTCTAAACACAAAAAAAGTTCAACACTGCTCATTCAATGCAATAATGCATTCAGGAGTTCTCTACCATAATAATTGCATGTAAAAAATTACTTGTCTTTTTGTTCCAGAATCCTGTCTCTGGCGCTGTGAAGTACTAGCTCCCCTCGTCAAGCAAGCACCCAGAGTAGACCCCGTCGCAGCAGCGATACTCTGATCAAACAAACAAATCATAATAATTTGCTGCTAATTATACCAAAACAAAAGATCTACATATAATTAGCCCAGCATCTTTTTGTTTCAAACTTTCTACTATTTAAGCATGAGTATCTAATTAGCCATATAATTTTATGAGATACAAAGATATGTTGAATTAACTGAACTATTATATGAGTCCATTTACCTCATTTATTTATAGCGAAACCTTGCACACAGTAAGCATCACTATCAAACTGATACAAACAATTACTTGAACTATTATTTTATCATTTGCTGACATTAACAACTGGCAGACCAAATGAAGATATTCCAAGAAGTTAATTATAAATTAATTCAAATGATTTTTTGATTGAATGCTACATATAATTTTACAGTTACATTTCCAGTATCTCCAGGTATATTTGTGTCTTAAATGTATGTTCAATGTATTTGGAAGGCGCATATCAATAGCTTCGTAATTGTTTGTACTTCAACATAATTATATTTTAATGAACATATCTCGAATAATAACAAAAAAAATATCTCACCCGCCGTGCGTTAGTTTGACGTAAGTAAGGAAGGTCTCTCGGGACAATAAGAAGCTTGCTGGCTGAACTATGATGCCCTTTCGATGAACTAGCTTCTGTAAAGCAAAAGGCACATTCTTAATTCACCTCAACTCAAGAAGTATAACATAATTTTAAGATATAGGTTATTAGTGATTACAATAGACAATATCAATGCATGATTATTACTTAAAAAAATGAATTCATATAACTTCTATACAATTTAACAAATATATGGCATATAAGAAAAGTATAACTCAGTACTTGAGATAAACAACATAATTACAGTGGGATTTAAACAATTAAAAATATTATTCATACCCTATGAATAGTATTTAAACAAAGAAGTCTCACCTTGTATATCTTTATAAGGCGGAGGAGTGACTGTCCTTCCGTAAGTGTCAGTGGTGCTTTTGCGTTCTACTATAGTTTGGCTGTACACCACGTCGCTCGTCGACGGACTCGCTATAATATAAATACAAACAGTTGAATGTGTGAGCTATTATCTACAACGAACAACTGCACCTGATACAGACGATAACACTTGATAAGCAGTCTAATGTAGTTCAATAATAGGCATCATGATCATTATGATGAAACTGGCCAATACTTTTGGTTGCCTGTTTATAGCAGATTGAAACTGTCTATTAGTTTTTATAACAGTCATGAATGAATTGACTTTATTTTCTTTAAAATTGCTTATTCCTTAATTCCTTAAAATATATTGTGCTCACAAATATCATTAAAACAATCAAAAACTGTGATATATTTACCTGAATTATCACAAATAACAGTTGAGGTAGATGATCCAAGGTCACGAAGATTTCTATTTCGCAACGAATATGCGCACGCACTTTGAGATGCTGTTCCTTGATCTACTATGTCAGTCTCTTGTTTAAGAATCCTAGCTTCCCCTAGTGCCTCTCTGCTTGTGTCTGGCAAATCTTTACTATACGGATCTATTTTAAATTTCTTTTTACACTCTTCTAAATTAAGCAAGCAACTACTACTTTTTCTACTTGATAAGGAACGATGCGAAGATCTCTTCCTCTTTTTACCTTTTCTCCTGCTTGCTGTTGGACTATATACAGAATAATCAGAGTCTAATAACTCTGTAACTGTCGATGAGCTAAACGGTGAATATGCAAAATCTCTATCTTCCAGGGGGAGTAAACCACCTTCTGAATGATTAAGTGGTAACTGTGGTATAGAATTATCTGTCTCCTGGTTAACTGATAACTGTGGCAGTGTTTGTACCTTTAAATTGTTCGGGAAAGGCTCACAAGCACTCTCAGTGGATTTAAGAGCAGTCCGTGAGCGTGTGCAATACGCGACGCACTCTTCAGTGCTGTTTGATATGGAATGGCTTTTGCGTTTCTTCCTGTCATGCGAGGAAGTTCTTCCGCGTTTCGTGTACGAACTATGATTGTCTACGTCTCCACTTTTGAAGTGAGCGGTGTCGCAGCGCGTCTCGTAAACGTCGGCGCCGTAGGACCAGCGTTCAGTGATGGAGTAGTCGGAGCGGGGCAATGAGTTGACGAGCCTAGAGCTCCTGCGCAGCTCCACGTGCGGGTGTGGTTCGTTGTCGGCGTGTCCGGACGAGTGCCGGCTGGTGGACCGCGGCAGGGGCGACGTCACGTTACGTCGATTACGACGGCTGTGACTCACTTGACGCACCTGACGCAACCACCGACCGCCCACCACCCTGCTAGGAGAAGACCTGCACAATCAATTTCATATATTACTCTAATATAATAATTAATAGTAAAGAGAGATATTGCCATTGCAAATCTTAATATAAACCATGTGTAGCTTTCAAATACATCATGTCTACAGGTTATTATAATGCAAAGATTCTAAGTAGAATTATTCGTTCATATTAAATTTTATACAAATCAACAGAGGTAAATTTTTAAGTGGTATAGGCAACGAATTAGATGTGTTTGAAGTCTCTTATAATAATAACATGAGGTGTCTCTAGACGCCAGGAAGGCATGAAACAACGAAAATTGTTTTACAGCAAAAATCTTGCAAACAATTGATATTGATAATAATAATAATTGGATATAAACAATCAACACACGCTCCACGTGGCCCAGGGAAAAGGAACTACGTCCAGCTCCATGGGTCGCCAAAATAAATGGGGCCCTACCCGCTAAAAGCTTAACAATACTTCTGAACCCGTCACCCGACATTTTGAGGACCTAGTTCTCCAGAAATTGTGTCGAAAGTCCGGGCGTAGTTTTTGGCACGATGTTAACCTTCCTGATTTCCCCAGGTCAGACCCGCAGGTACCCGCAGACAGATAATACTCATGAACCCGTTACCCAACACGCACTTTGCGGGTGTGGTAAACGTGTATGTGCGACAAAGACTTGGAGAAATGGTAACCACTGCAGTGGTAATGAGTAAACCTCCTCCCAAAAAGGGGACTTCTCAGCCCAACCATCTATCGATCACCTTAGTCGGTGTAAGAGCCTTAGAAAAGGTTCTTAATAAACACATAATTTCGATGTGATAAAGCGATCGACCGTGATATAAAGCACAGTGACTCACCATGACGACCGGGTGAGTCATTCGCTTTCAGATTTACCATCGCCAAAGTTTTTGTAAGAATATGGCAGAGGAGCTTTTACTCAAATCTTTCGGCATACGGTCTGAGACTGCTTAGTTCTGTGCTGCGGTGTCTGACTGCAATTTTCGTAGCATGAGCGTAGAACACGTGTTCTTAAGGGCTGTTATACATTGTGATTATATATTATACCTCAGGCTTTGGTCGTACCTATTAGTCTTGGGAATTTTCTTTTCAGATTATTTAATATTTACACAACTTTATTGAAACGCAGTGTAACGCTAAGAGCATTCTCTTCTAGACAAACTTTGAATGGAGAGGATTAAGAAAATTACTAAGATTTCAAAAATGACAGCCTTTTGAAATAGGGAACTGAATTAATTCTATTAAAAATTTGGTGTAGAGAAGAGCGAGAATTTGAGTACTCCCGCGAAGGCGAATCAAAATCATAAATCAATATTCCTTTATTCAAATTAGATGTATAATAATACAACTCTTTGGAATTGTTCAAAAAAATTTTTTTTCTACCACTCGAAAAACGAGCGAAAAAACTCCACAACATTATAAGTATAATGTAACAACATATACAAATCATTATGTTGTTACAACGTCAATACAATCATGATTTATTTAATATAGAAAACCTGTTGGAGTGATTGGAACAATTCCAGCCCAAGCATTTTTGTCTGTAATATAATCAGACACTTTGTAATAAGCTTTTTTAATAAGTTCTTCTTTTATACTATCTTTGAATTTATTTATGGTTAACTCTTGGATATTGCTTGGGACTTAATTATATAACTGAACACAAAGACTTTTTATATATTTGGCTGTCCAAGGATAACCTTCTGTGGTCCGCCTGTTGCTGGCGGCTGTTCTAAAGTATTAATTACATAAATTTACAATCACTGGGAAAGTTTTGGATACTAAGAGTGTATCCAAAACTTTCCCAGTAACACTTTTCTTCCCCATATAACACTGACTTTTCCAGACCGCTTTGAGCTTCCCTGACATTACAGAATGTGGACACCCTGGCTAGAACACTCTTATGCCTTGTGTATTATAGTTTCAAAAACCAACTACGGTACAGGTTCGGGTGTCTTCTCCGAAGACATACACATCTCAACAGCATTGGGAGCCTATAACACGGTCTTCCAGGCAGAGTGTGTGGGCATCATCAAGGCCGCTGAAGCGATAGATTGTCGCGAGGTAAGAGGAAAACACATTCGTATTCTCTCTGAGAGCGCTTCTGTCCTTCAGGCACTGGACAACAATATAATGACATCAGGCTTAATTTATGAATGCCACTGTAAGTTGACTAATATTGCTAACGACAATAGATTGACTTTGCAGTGGATTAAAGGACACAACGGCTCAAGGGGTAACGATGTGGCGGACTGCTTAGCCAGAGAAGGTTCTAGCAGGACGGCCATTGGTCCGGAGCCTATTGTACCCATACCCTATCGACAGCTGCGAACATGGATAAGGGAGCGCTGTCAACGACAACATAATGAATACTGGACAGAACTCACGGACTGCAGGCATGCTAGGGAAGCCGTTCCCAAGGTAAACCTGCAACTAACACGTAAGTTAATCAGACTTCCTAGGCAAGCCCTAAAACAAATCGTGGGTATACTCACGTGTCACGGCTATTTCAACAAACACCTTTGTAATATAGGTATTTCTGACATTCCTCTGTGCAGAGCCTGCCTGGAGGACGAGGAGACGAGCGCCCATGTGCTGCTGGAGTGCAGGGGCGTTGCAAGACAAAGGACTTCTCTAATGGGAAGCCCGAAGACTATAGTAGAAGCCTGCAGTAACGTTCGGGGACTGCTGAGCTTTCTGGAGGAGCTGGGATGGCAGGACTGATGCCAATCCCCACGCAAAATAGGCACTAGATGTCGAGTTGCGGAAACAGCCCGCCGTTCTACTAAGACTAAGACGTTCCTTGGAGAGCTTTCCTTCCACACACTTTTCCCCTTTAAATTTCAGTGTTTTATCTGGAGTCAACTTATAGAAAATTCCAGCTTCATTAGCATTGAAAATGTCAGGTATATTACCCTAGCGTAACAATTTCATAAGTCCATATCCTAAGGTATATAGTATTTTGTTGCTAATTTGTGCCTATTTTGTGCCGCAAGAATTAATTTTGTTGCTCCATGATTTCTCGGAAAAACACCAGTTACGCTAGCGTATTATTACGCTAGCGAAACCACAGCGATAACTCGGAGGCAAAAGCAGTTAGAGAGATCAGATGAACGGCATATTTTATTGCTATTTTGTTGCTGTAAGATAAGCTGGTTAGATATGAAAAAAATCCCCCCCTTCATGGGGGGCTAACTACCCTAATTCATAGATATTTCAGATTTTTCGTATCTCGTGAACTAAAGCAGCTAGCGGCACGAGACAAACGGCGTATTTTGTTGCTTTAAGGTAGGCATGCTGCGTACATCATAATCACAACCCTTATCGGGGTATGACCAACCCCCGACCCCAAGACACCAGATATTTCGTATCTCTTGAGCTAAAGCAGCTAGCGACCCGAGACCAACGGCGTATTTTGTTGCTATTTTGTAGCTATAAGATAGGCATGCTGCATACATCATAATCACAACCCTTATCGGGGTATGACCAACCCCCGACCCCAAGACACCAGATATTTCGTATCTCGTGAGCTAAAGCAGCTAGCGACCCGAGACCAATGGCGTATTTTGTTGCTTTAAGATAGGCATGCTGCGTACATCATAATCACAACCCTTATCGGGGTATGACGAACCCCCGACCTCAAGACACCAGATAATTCGTATCTCGTGAGCTAAAGCAGCTAGCGACCCGAACCCAACGGCGTATTTTGTTGCTATTAGATAGGCATGCTGCGTACATCATAATCACAACCTTTATCGGGGTATGATCAACCCCCGACCCCGAAGACACCAGATATTTCGTATCTCGTAAACTAAAGCAGCTAGCGGCACGAGACAAACGGCGTATTTTGTTGCTATTTTGTAGCCATAAGATAGGCATGCTGCGTACATCATAATCACAACCCTTATCGGGGTATGACCAACCCCCGACCCCAAGACACCAGATATTTCGTATCTCGTGAGCTAAAGCAGCTAGCGACCCGAGACCAACGGCGTATTTTGTTGCTATTTTGTAGCTATAAGATAGGTATGCTGCGTATCATCTGGTGTCTTGGGGTCGGGGGTTGGTCATACCCCGATAAGGGTTGTGACTATGATGTACGCAGCATGCCTATCTTAAAGCAACAAAATACGCCGTTGGTCTCGGGTCGCTAGCTGCTTTAGCTCAAGAGATACGAAATATCTGGTGTCTTGGGGTCGGGGGTTGGTCATACCCCGATAAGGGTTGTGATTATGATGTACGCAGCATGCCTATCTTACAGCAACAAAATACGCCGTTTGTCTTGTGCCGCTAGCTGCTTTAGTTCACGAGATACGAAATATCTGGTGTCTTCAGGGTCGGGGGTAGGTCATAGCCCGATAAGGGTTGTGATTATGATGTACGGAGCATGCCTATCTTATAGCAACAAAATACGCCGTTGGTTTCAGGTCGCTAGTTGCTTTAGCTCACGAGATACCAAATATCTGGTGTCTTCGGGGTCGGGGGTTGGTCATACCCCGATAAGGATTGTGATGATGATGTACGCAGCATGCCTATCTTATAGCTACAAAATAGCAACAAAATACGCCGTTTGTCTCGTGCCGCTAGCTGCTTTAGTTTACGAGATACGAAATATCTGGTGTCTTCGGGGTCGGGGGTTGATCATACCCCGATAAAGGTTGTGATTATGATGTACGCAGCATGCCTATCTAATAGCAACAAAATACGCCGTTGGGTTCGGGTCGCTAGCTGCTTTAGCTCACGAGATACGAATTATCTGGTGTCTTGAGGTCGGGGGTTCGTCATACCCCGATAAGGGTTGTGATTATGATGTACGCAGCATGCCTATCTTATAGCTACAAAATAGCAACAAAATACGCCGTTTGTCTCGTGCCGCTAGCTGCTTTAGTTTACGAGATACGAAATATCTGGTGTCTTCGGGGTCGGGGGTTGATCATACCCCGATAAGGGTTGTGATTATGATGTACGCAGCATGCCTATCTAATAGCAACAAAATACGCCGTTGGGTTCGGGTCGCTAGCTGCTTTAGCTCACGAGATACGAATTATCTGGTGTCTTGAGGTCGGGGGTTGGTCATACCCCGATAAGGGTTGTGATTATGATGTACGCAGCATGCCTACCTTATAGCAACAAAATACGGCGTTTGTCTCGTGCCGCTAGCTGCTTTAGTTCACGAGATACAAAAAATTTTAAATATCTAAGAATAAGGGTAGTTAGCCCCCCATGAAGGGGGGGAATTTTTCCATATCTAACCAGCTTATCTTACAGCAACAAAATATGCCGTTCATCTGATCTCTATAACTGCTTTTGCCTCCGAGTTATCGCTGTGGTTTCGCTAGCGTAATATTACGCTAGCGTAACTGGCGTTTTTCCGAGAAATCATGGAGCAACAAAATCAATTCTTGCGGCACAAAATAGCAACAAATTAGCAACAAAATACTATATAACTTAGGATATGGACTTATGAAATTGTTACGCTAGGGTAATATACCTGAAAATGTCACTTGGAACATATTTTTCTGACAATTTTCGTCACACTGTATTATCCATTCATGAGTAACTTTTGTATCAACACTTGGTGCTTCTCCACTTATTTTACTATTGTTGATATTATTACGTTATTTGAATTTTCCGAGCCATCCTTCTGATGCTTTGAAAGAATTTAAACCAAAGTTCTTTAGCGAAATTCTCCGCCTTAGCTTTCACGATCGGCCCCGAGCTAGGCATATTCTTCTGGCGCCAATTATATATATATTCTAGTTTGATCCAAATCTTCGTATTTAGGCTTCTTTAATTTTTTGGAAGATTTCCCCTTCATCTCTGCTTGGAGATTTTTTTCTTTATTTTTCCATATTGTGGACACGGTAGAGCGGCTAAATAAAAGTGTCTGCCAACATGACTTATCTTCTCTCCCGTTTCTATTACGTATCAATAAAACTTTTTCGTCAATACAGTGATTTTCTTTTACTAGTCATGTTTACAGTTGGAAAGTTTGTGAGCAACTAAGAGTATGATAACGTATTAAGTCCATGACTCCTACTTATTACAAGTGCAATCCCAATTTGTAAACAAAAGAACGAATTTCTATGAAATTTTGGTTTGCATGATGCCGGCAGTCGAGTTTACGGGCTAGGATAATAAGGCTACAAAATAACGTAGACAGCTGCGCGATTTTCACTAATTTTGGCAACTTAAAAGGTACTTTTTATTACTTAATTGTTGTCGTTATTGAGAGTGTGTGTAATGCTATATGGAGAGTATCATTGTATGGAAAACAAATTAAACCAACCAAAGACAAGTGATTTCGACGCTTTAGGGAGTTCGTCGTTAAATCGAGTGACGTTACATGGAGTTTATACTGTATATATATAAGTGAAAAAGCGTGTTGCGCTTTTCATTGTTATATTTTTCAAATCAATTAATATATTACGTGATGAATAATGTTCAATAATTCAGTAAAAATTTAATAATAAAGCGCCCTACGCTTTTTTCAGTTATATAAATATATATATATCTTAATATCAACTTTAAACATGGCTTACTCTGAAGCCCTAATGAAGTAAACAGAGTGTAAATTTTGTTTATTTTTTACTTTTTAGTGCAGTTAGTAAAAGCGTGTTTTTAGTTCTTTAAACTATTAATATATTTTTCTCTTTTTAGTTTATTACAAAACATAGAACGAGTTTATTGCGACTGAATACATATCCTCACCATTTCCGATAAGGATTCACTATTGCAAGACTTTTTTATTACCCACTTTAACATGAAATAAACAGAATATATTTAGACGAATCTAATGAGCCCAAACTCGATATGTTTACTAGTAGGCAGTCCCAGGTTCCATCAGCCACCTTCCAGTCCCATGATCAGATCAGCTCGATGTTACAATAATATTGTATTGTCATCTAATCTACATATAATTACCATGTTTTATTATGTTTAGATGAATCTCATGAGCCCAAACTCGATTCTTCTACTAGTAGGTAGTCCAAGGTCTATCAGGCGCCTTTCAGTCCATCAACAGGTCCTCGTCATCAGGAAAAATGAACAGAATATGTTAAGACGAATCTAATGAGCCCAAACTCAATATGTTTACTAGTAGGCAGTCCAGGGTCAATCAGCCAACTTCCAGTCCAACGTCAGGTCCTCGTCATCAAGAAAAATTAAGAGAATATGTTAAGACGCATCTAATGAGCCCAAACTCGATATGTTCACTAGAAGGCAATCCAAGGTTCCATCAGTCACCTTCCAGTTCCATCATCAAACCGGCTCGGTGGTACCATAATACTGTATTGTCATCTAATCTTGAAATCAAAAGTTGGGCAAAATCGAGTCCAAATGATTCAGTTACATACATACAAACAAATATACACGTGAAACTAATAAATGCATGTTAATACGTGCTTTTTGTGTTTAATCTGTAACTTTTTGTTCGACTACACATAAATGTAGCAAAACCATCTATTTGGTTGCATGAAACTTAGAAGCCCAGAAAGACAATGAATATCTGGATCATTCCATGAGCGAAGAACAAAGAAATAACTTTCGGATGGAGCATAACTACAAGTTATCAAGAAACTGATTCTATGTCGAAATGAGAAATTTAATTTGTAATATACATAATATTCTTCTATTCTATGCTATTTAACAATCATCAATGCACCTTGTATAGATATAAAATAAAGAGCAATTAATGATAAATATATCTTTGTGCAGTAGATTTAGGAATAATATTGACTACTGTTTTATAGAATTACACCTTTGTATAGGTGGTACCCTAGAAGATACATGAAGTGAAGTAAGTATACAATCGTACCTGCAAGCATGAAGATTCCTTGACAACTTAATTAAATGCTATTTTAACAAGTCATAGTGTGGCATGTGGTATTTTTATGCTTCAACAAATAATTTCCATGTACATACAATAACTACTCTTTGAGTCACACGTTTTTATTAAATTAATTTGAAACTGTACTTCATTATTATTGCCCAAAAGTATTTCTTTCATTTTCATTACTTTAACATATTTAGTTAAATAAGATTCTTGATCACTTTAATATTATATAGATCTTTACTTCATTTTAATAGCAAAAAAAGGTTTTTATCATTATGGTTAACATATTTAGTTAATTCAGCTTGTTTATTAGTAGACTTGAATATTAAAAACATATTTAATATTAATGACTAGCTCCTCACACAATATTTGATTACATTAAGAAATTGCTAATGATGCAATTAATTATTCATTAACCTGTTATTTTATTCATGAAAGTGGCATAACCAGAGTTCATATCAAAGGTCTGTCAACATATCTCACTAATAATCTTGTCATTACGATGGAATACTATACTCATACTTGTCTCGATATGATTATGAGCCACCTACATGATCAGATCCATTTTAAGAATGAAGATAGAAATTAATGTTATATTGTTTTAAACTTTCTTGGTCACTCACATTATGGAGGCCATACACATTAGGTTTTGCATGATGGTTTTAGCCGTACATGCATAACCAACATGCAAGCCCTAGCGTGTATGTGGTAAAACTGTACAGTTTTCGGTGCATGTAACTCGGTTATGCATGTCGGTTATGAATGCACGGTTAAAACCATCATGCAAAACCTAATGTGTATGGCCTCCATTACTCTAATTTATGTTATTAGTGGGATTGCTACCATGTATCTTGTTTTTTGCAAAGCACCAATATTTCAGCACTGTTGCAAGTGTCATGATCACAGAGTTACTCAGTAATTACAGACATTAATATTTTATCAGAGGAAAGCAGTTAAATTGACTCGACTTATTTATTATGGTTCAGGACCTATACCGTAATGATAAGTTAGTTTACCATCATTTTCATGTATACTAACCCACTGGACTCTCTCGTGAGTGCAGAGTGCGACGACGGTGTAATGTGTTGCTCGGCCATAGACGACGCTGGGGAACACACGCAGCTGCTTGTGTGGGGCCTGCGCAGGCCGCCCGCGCGCGCTACCTGCCCGGCACCATGCCACGGCTCGCGCTATACCTTCGCCTCAGCATCCACTGCACTGCACCCACCCACTAGCACATCACCACTCGTCACCACCTTACACTACACTGACACTCGCTTCGAATGACCAAAATGCACTGCACACTCACTGCGAAAGTATCTGCAACAAAAGATGATACACTTATTCAACGATCCGAACAATGCTACGTTACATAAACATTTCAATAATTACCACGAAAGAACTGTCAACTGTGATTTTAGTTAATGTGTTAGCCAAGTTAGCAAACCAAGTTTACAATGAGCAAAGATAATAATAATATATTTTATTATCAGTTTTTCAAGCTAGAGAAATGGATGATACACCACGGACGGAGTTTAGATTAGATGTTTCGAGTTATTTTTCAACAATGTACCTACTACGCACAGCTGGCCGTCTGTCAGTGAAGAAAAATGATACCAGTGTCGAAACGACATTCTGCTAACAGTAAATTATTGACATTTTAAAAATAATTCTTGGTAACATTTATTCGTACGAAATATCGAATTTCGTCTATAAATCTCGAATAAATTTGAATATAAAAAAAGACTCCAACATAAAATTTGAACAAGAGATGCCACTAACACCAGGCTTTGAAAAATATTCTACGCTAAGTTCATCATTTATCGATTGTTTGTCTTATTATTTTTTTATCTAGTTATTATAAAATTATGAAATTCTTAGTTGAGAATGAGCTTTAAATAGCTCTACGCGCCTAGCATGACCAAAAAACGCGAAATGAATAAGCTATTTATCAAATAAAACTAGTTTTTACGGGTTAATGCACGAAATTTTATTTATTTATTGACGTTTCGTAGCCTTTACTTATAAAATACTTTATTAAGTAAATTTAATAATAAATTCATACATAGACAATAAAACTTTAAAAATCGAACAATGAAATAACCGAACGCTCAATAAAAGTCTTTCGAAGGTAGCTCGACAAATTAAATAAAAGTTTAATTCTGACGACGTAGCCTGTAAAGGCTACGAAACGTCAATAAATAAATAAAGTTTCGTGCATTAACCCGTAAAAACTAGTTTTATTTAATGAGTGATGTGCGTGAAAATCTAAGAAACAAATAAGCTATTTATCGACATTATTTGTCAGACTACATACTACTATAATGGTGTTGACATTTGATTGTTGATAAAAAGTTTTATAATATTGCGGTGCTCATGCTACGGGGGCTGATCAAATAAAAAAGTCTATAACTATACTGTAAAATCTCCAATGTATTTTTTTTTCTTTGCTTTAAATTAGAATGCTAGTGTATTATAAAACTTTTCAATAATTATTCTAAGTAATGGTTTGATTATTTATAACAATAAAACAGTCAGTTGTTTTACCTATATAGTCTACCATTTTGGTAGAACTGACGAGATTTGGCAACACAGGTACGAAGCCTTTGTAAATGCTACGTAGTAGTACCATAGTCTACCGGTAGGCTATGGTAGACAACGGTAGACATTTTTATTTTAAAAAACATTACCTAATTGTTTTCACATAAGTCGTCTTGCTTTTAATCATTATGTATTTAGTACCATCAGCATCCGTACCGACAGGAAATGTAAATTATAAAAACCATATTTCAGTGGTTCGCTCGAACGTACGTAACCTGGGGGATCGACCCCATACTCCTAGGACCAATAATTCGGTGTGTGTTATCCACTAGGCTATCGCGGCTTAGTGCAAAATGTCACATTACAAACTACCTTTTATAGATTGTACACACATAAAAAAAAAGTTTGCGATCACTTTGAAAAATAGATTGCTTTTTGTGTTACAGAAGACTTTTTTGTAATTTCTTTTTCTTATAAGATTCTAAATTTTAAAATAAGTATAAGCACGTAAAACATTTAAAAAAATGGATGCGTGTAACTTATGTACGCGCGTGAGAAGTTATACTTCTTTAGCATCATTAAAAATATTTTTTAATTGCATGCAAATAATTAATAATTACAATAAAATAATAAAAGGACTGGAAAAGGATAGTTAACACAGTCAATTAAGTTCAGTTTTAATTTGAAAAATTAAATAAATATTCAAAATATTCAATTAAAATCACTACTGAATTTAAGTTATTAGTCCATATGTAATTAGCACTTGTAAGTAACTAAAACACGTTGTGTCTATATAGAAACTAGAAACATGTGGATAAATATTATAAATATGAAAACAGTGATCAGAGGCGACGAGCGTGCCAACATTGTTTTTGACAACGCGATCATCTTATGGAGCTCCGTGGATCGTTCGAAGTACCTTTCGAACAGATTTCTAATAATGGTGGATTATTAACCACTTAGTGGTATTAGACACTAACATTCATAACGCGCCCGCGGCCAACTTCATGGTGTTACTATTGTGTTACGGTGATGCGCGCGCATCTCGAAATTTCACTCACATGATTTTTTCATAACGCGCCCGCGGCCAACTTCAATAAGTTACTTTTGTGTTACAGTGATGCGCGCGCATCTTAAAATTTCACTCTCATAATTTTTTCATAACGCGGCTAAAGAAGTATAACTTCAATAATTCAATTGTTTTTCCATTTAAAAAGACATGCAACCCAAGCTGACACTCATTCAGAAATCTGACTTAGTCAATATTATCGATTTAAAAGCTTTTTTCACGAAAAGTTGTGATTTAAAAAATGCCACGAGGATTATCAGATGTTTTACGAGCCAGAATTGTAACTTTGAGGGAAGAAGGCTATTCTTAGAGAGAAATAGCACGCAGAGTTGCCATATCCCAATCCTGTGTAGTGGTGGTGGTGGCATCGCAACGTGGTTACGTTGCAGAGCTACCACGGCATGGATAATTTAGCTGATCGACCCCACAGCGGTTTTGACAGCTGCTCAGAAGCACTACATCAGGTTGCTGGTAGCCCGCGACCCAACAATAAACGCCACTAAATTAAAAGCAGAAATACGGGCCGCCTCCGAACTTGAAGTTAGCACTCAGACCATTCGGAATTGCTTACACAAGGCTGGATTACGAGCACGGAAGTCTTGGCACCTTTGAATTCACGGGAACGTCAGCGACGGAGATTACAGTGGGCTAGGCTCCGGCAAAACGAAGAAGACGAAACGGAAAACATTTGGCACAACTGCCCTTTCGTTGACGAATCGAGAATCAGTACTCATCCAGATAACCGACGTGTCCATGTTTGGAGAAGACCTGGAGACTCTGAAAGGCAAAGAACGGCCACAGGAACGGTTCATCCCTTATCAAGGCTCGATGACGGCAGACAGATACAAAACAGTCTCTTGATGAACTTGATCCTCAGCATGCCCAGAAGGATCTCCGCCTGTGTTCGCGCCAGAGGAGGAGTTATTTTGTATTAGATAAACAACAATTTATTAATAAGAGGTTTTTAAATTTGGTTAAACTATCTTTTATTTCTATCAAAGTTCTATTACAATCGCCTTAGGATTGAATTATTGAATTTTGTATACTAAAAAAAATATTTGTTTTAATTTTGAATTTCAGAAAGTGTATTTTTAAATAAAAAAGATATAACGTAAACATTTTCTCTTGATTAAGTTAAATTTTGAAAATTTATCAGCTTTTGCAAGTGATCTCAAACTTTTTTTGATGTATGTATATGTCCATGTCCTATATACGAGTTAGGTTGGCTATTACTTCTTCTAAAATTATTGCTAAAGCTCTTTTAACTTATTTATCACAAATAATAAAAAGCAGCTACTTGAAATATTGCGAACTGGTCAAAAGGATAATGTTAAAATTGGCCTAAGAACCAACACCAATTTGGCATTTATGATAATTCTTAGTATATTTTTTGCGATAATGATCAGTATTTAGATTGTGACGGACACTTCCAGTTAAGTAAGCTAAATTAAAAAGTTAAAAAATAATCTGATACAATAAATACCATTTTATGTGTATAATCTATGGCAGCGCTGCAAACAAAACACTCTTTCTTCCTTCACTTCACTTGGCTATTCGTATATGCTATTTTAAAACATGACATCAGTCTGTCCTTTTCATTCCTTATTAAGCATGACAAGGACAAACTGTTGTCAAGTGAAGGGCCGGCATAAAACTCGTTACTCTGTGGTTGTGGTGCATGCAGTTTGCATTCGTAGTAATCTGTGGCATTCGTGCATTCTAAAGAGTAGTTTAATAAACCGGAAAGTGCATTCTCGTTTGTTTCGGATTACTTGTTGTGTGTGTTTATTTGCGATTGTTTTTCCTTTAATTTAACTACTTCGGCTATCTAATATGCCATCGGTGTTACCAAAGAGCAGAACCCTTATTACCAAGTGCTAGTGAACCTGTGCCACAACATCCTGAGAGGATCATACTGCCAAATTATTCAAGAACACCTGACACATTCACGCTGCATATTTACACAATATACCTACCTACATATGATATACAAATAAATACAATAAACAATATGGTACAATTATGTCAAAAATAGTCAATAAATAATAATTACAGATTTTATTTTATTCATGATTCCTACCTAACCAAGTTTTTCCTAATAGTTATTCTTAATAAACGCACCGAATAAAATGAATTAGTTGTAATATTAATTCACTTCATACTGAGTTTATACTAAATTCATTAGGCATGCGTCCGATATGTCAAAACGAATCCAAAATCCGATTTCAAACACAAATCGATACCGAACGATTTCTCAACAAGAAAATCCGATTTCAGAAATCTAACCGAACCAAAACGCTAGCGATCTAATACCACCACAAGTATCCAAATGTAAATCGGATTCGAAATTTGTGCTTTCGTTTTCGGATGTCCGATTTCGTGCTCGGAAGTCCGATTTCGGTTTGCTGTTTACGGAAATCTATTGTTCTTCTCTAAGGCGGGATTATTTATTACTGAAAAAGATGTCGTCTAAAAACATCAAAAGTCGAGCAACTAACATTTTTTTGAACGCTAACCTGAAGTAATTAGGTTTGATTTTGTAAATGGTTTGAAAAATAATAAAAACAAACAGAAAAACAAAAAAAAATACTAAAAAAATATGTAAAAAGAAATCATTGTATATAAGCCGATTTTTAAATGCGCCGCAAAAGTTTTACTTTTATCCGTAAAGATAACTTTTCTGCTAGTCCTAAGCCACAGAATATATACTCTTGCCTAAGCCTAGATTTAAAGCATAAAGGAAAATCGCGCAAATCTACGAGTATCATTGCTTCGTACAATTAATTGTTTGTGATTGTCGTTAGCTAATAAAACCAAATCATAACACAAACCAGTGAATTGGCTAAGTTCGGCACATCTGAAATCGGATATCTAAAAACGGATTTTAAAATCGATTTTGAAATCTGAAATCCGATAAATATCCGTTTGCGTTCAAAACCAAAAACGCCC